CAATAGCCGCCAAAAGTTTTAGAACGTTATGGTCAATACGTAGGGCTTTTAGTCATGTCGACGCTAAGACGTTTTTGACTTTGTATACAGTGTTCGTTCGTCCTAAACTTGAGTACTGCATACAAGCGGCTAGCCCCTGCTTAAAAAAGACAGTGAGCTTCTGGAAAAGGTTCAGAGAACGGCGACTAAGCTGGTTCCCGGAATAGCGAAGCTTCCGTATGAATCTCGACTGGCCAAGCTGAACCTTTTCCCGTTGTCATATCGCAGAACTAGAGGCGACTTGATTACAGTCTACAAATTGCTTAGTGATAAATTTGCACCTAACATGCCCTCATTTTTCTTGTCTTCCAAAACAGAGAATTTACGAGGACACTCCAAAAAAGTTCACAAGCCGAGAACAAATTACTTGTCAGCTGACTATCGACTTTCCCATCGAATCATCAACGAGTGGAATTCACTACCTCAGCACGTGGTTGAGGCTCCATCCGTCGACTCTTTCAAAAGAAAGTTGGATCAACTGAGAGACCACCATTGCCAGGACTAACATAGGCCATCGAGCCTCCTGTCCTCCACAAACTGAAACTGAAATTGATATATTATTTCTTGGAGTTACATTTTCTAAGACTTGATGACTTTGTACACCAGGGATATTTTGCTTATTCTTGGCTTAAATATTATCCTACTACGCATTCTGAGGTGTCTTTATCTGGAAGGAAAAAGGAGAGGATATATCAGACACAAAATCAATTTTGGAAATCTACACATCAAAATCAGATCATCTGTTAATCTGCTACCGGACAGAATAGGGGTCTACCTTCACAAGCCGCTCTTTGTATGAGAAAATTCGGGGTTCTGGAACTGCCGTCCTCTTTACCTTTCCAAGATATTCCATACACATAGTTCCCTTTATTATCATAAAAAGAGCGAGAACGACGATTTGTGCAGGGTCATTTCTCTCGATATTCTGCAGCGTATTGATATCCGAGTCAGCCATTTAACAGAGGCCTGAATGTGGTTTCCAAGTCTGGATCTCACTAAGATTATGTATACTATGTTGAACATGTTGGTCTCTAGCTTGGTAAGCATCCGTCTTAAAACTTATAGAATTATGAAATAATTAGCTGCGACGGTGCAGTAGTGAGCCATGGTTTTTAAATCAAGGCTCACTGTTAACTTAAGGTCTTTGTGAGTACCCGTTCTCCCCATATGCTGTACCTATTTACTTTTGTAGACACATCTGGTCGCGTTGATGGACATCAGCTACATTTAAGACCAACTGATAAGAACACCTAAGATGGCCTAAAAATCAAATGCATATACATCTCCTGTTATTCCTTCCCAAGTGTTTGCATTGTCAGTGTAAAATAGCATCGTGAACACGACCATAGTTGGGAGTTTTCGTACATACATTACGAAACCTAAAGGACCTAAGAGAAAGCCTTGTTGTTTGCAGTTTAACAAGTTGTTGGCTTCTACGAATGTCATTATGACCCTTTTTATTATTCTTCCCAGTATTTTGGCTACGATAAGTATGTGATTTGTTGAAGGTTGTCTTCATCCTCACTTATGAGTTGAAACGGCATTTGCATCCTCCTAGTCAATAGGTAACTCACCTTTACCAAGTGACATATTGAATATCATTATCACTAGGGCAGCAATGTATTGAACAATTTGCCTCAATATTTTAGGTTTTATTTCTTCTGGTTATGTTGGTTTTGTAGTGGTACTGGTTCGAAGCTAAACATATATTTACAGCGAAGATTAATTTTCAACGTGTAACACTAAGAGAAATTCAAGAATGGTGAACGCGGGAACAGGTAATTAATCGGCATGCCGTGGCTCAGTTTTGCAAGTGTGGTCATTTTTGCGCAACACATACGTTTCTATATTAAATATATTGTTCTATCTGCAGAAAAATGTGTTTTTCCTAAGTGCCAAATATCATGTTGCTGATTGTCATGAAATGACGAGTCAGTGTATAAAATGATTAGGTAGTCATGTAATGACAAATCTACAATTTAGGATTAGGTTATAGCAATGCTTATAACAAGGTAGACTGTAAGTCTACGGTTTCATTATATCAAGAACGTTTGTAGTCTGAAGCACGTAGTGTCGATTAGAGTACACAATGAGCAGACGAATTTGTGACTTTGTATCTGAGTCTGGCCCTTCGTCTAAGAAAGGCTCCGACAAAGTGAATTAATAAAAACCGATCTTAACTTTCGATTGCTGAGCAATGTAGATTTATTCAGAGAAATCTGAAAAATACAAAAATATGGCTACAAAAATTCTTGAAAAAGGTTAATGTACACAACAGGGGGCAAAAGTTGAGAAATAGCGACAGTGTCAGATAAGCCTCTTTGGATGGATTTTAAAAAAGTGATCAATACTTGGATGTCTTTTTGCTAACAATAATCTTAGACCACATTGCGTTTGTCTCCTCATTTTTTACTATCTATCCCCATATTATGTCTTAAAATCATTCTTCCAACACGTTCCGTACCCCCTTTATATTAAAACCAGTACACAGTGGATTAGCATGTAGTGACCTACTTTTATGAAGAGGACGCGATTGGCATAATGGAAACAATTATCATTATAACCAGTTGTACCAGTGATTGTTTTATTGTACCTGATTGTTTAACCGTACCAAATCATACCTTCTTCCGTTTACTGTGACCTCGCACGCTTTCCTTTACGCTACGTAGTACCACTTGTACTATTTGGCACGATCTCGGTATTATTTTGATACCACGAAATCGCCAACAAATATATTGTATTACGACAGTCATTTGCCTTTTGGTTTTTGGTCTACGAAGAGATCAAACCTAATATCTGGTCGGGTATGGTATCCCATGTAGGCAATACCCATGGAGGCGATATCCTGTGTTACTCAACTTCCAATGTCTTTCATTATGAGCAGTCTCTCGGTCATCATTGTGCGTTCTTATTTACGAACACTTGTCAGCTGTCATCCTGATTTCTTCTATAGACTATATGGTGACAAAAATTAAGTAAAACGAATGCACATACACAAGATTTCCACCTTGTTACTGCGATGTTCTTGCATACTACCACTATCCCCAGGTCTAAACTTGAGAATTTTCATGAATTTCCAAGTGGGAGAAAGTTTTTGTAGTTTGGATGCGATATTTTCTCTTAAATGTTTATTTCAACCATAACAACGGCATTCAAATATGCACAAACTATTTCAGTCTTAAAAGTCGGAACTTGGAGATGAATAGATAGCAAGTTCATCATCCTTAGCTGGTACAATCCGCTTGTATAGAAATTAGTACTTCTTGTATATATGACTTTTACCATGATCTGCTAATAATCCCTTATCATACATAACAACTATTATAATTCTAGTACACCATTTATCAGTTAGTGTAAAATCAAATATAAAATCTAAACTCATATCTTCCTGTCAATTAATTTTAAATAGTCAATTGTTGATTACAGTATTACTTACATGTAAATTAAAATTAATATATTCCATATAACTATCGATTAATTTATTACAATATACATCTTGTAGTGTCGGTTATTATGTTAAGCTCATATACCTTATTCTAGCTTTCGTACAGCCCATTCTATTCATCCTACTTGAGTCTCATACTGACCTTGTTATTTATTCGCTTATCAATCTTGACTGTTTTATATTAGCGAGTAGGTGTTGTGTACATTTCTTATCCCATTACTCATCACATGTCTGTAACTTACTTTTGTGTAACTATAAATATTGATTAACGCTTGGTTAAATGGCAGTTGGCTTACCAGCCATCTCCACTCTGCGTCGTTTTTCTTCTTTCTACTCCATTCGCTCTATATACAAAATATATGTATTCAAAAGTCCATTCTCGTTATTTGACTTATTTAATTCCGTTATTGACTAACGCGATTAAAGTCGATGATTATATACGAGAATAGGCGATATATATATTTCAACAACAATCATCATTACAATCTCCTTGGTGTCAGATCCATGGGCCACTAAAATCTAAAAACATTATTTCATCAATATAACATTTTCATTTGCTCATGACTTACAAACATTTTAAAATTGAAACATAATTAAGATTATTGAAAATATTAGTACATTATCATTAGTCAAATTCGAATAAAAGAAAAATCATTTCTATTATATCACGAAAAAAATTTTAATTACATAGAAACATACTACTATTATATATCTATTTATATATTATTTTTTATTCAAAATGTAATAATCTAAAGTACATACATTAAATTTTTTAAAAACAGCAAATATTCGGACAATGCCTTAGTAACAATAATAATAATAGTAATAATAATAATAAGGAACATTGTACAAATTTTGAAGTTTAGTTCAATTTTAATGATAGAATTGAATAGTTAAAAAAATAATACTTTTTTATTTTATTTTTTTAAATTTATATTCAGTTTTAAAATTGTTTATTATTTTGTTTAATTAAAATTATAATAAAAAGAAGAAAAACAGAGCGATGGAGAGGGGGGGGAAATACTTTTTTTTCAACTATTTTATCACTCTTTTCTAATATGTAAAAAAAAATTCACATGTAGTGGGGGCGGGTGTGTGGGTGTGTGTGGGTGTATATTATTGTTTGATTATTGACTGTAAAAAAAAATTGATTTTGAATATAAATCAGTCACTAAGCTAATTAATCAAGTATACATTTTAATAATGATTATATATAGAATAATAGTGAGGTAATAATCAACATTCATTATTCCATTTGTTGTTATATATGTAATTAATTTATTTGTTAGAAAACTTTTGAAAAATAAATTCCAATATAATTTTTCTTCTTTTTTTTCCCTTGATTCATATGAAATGAAGAAATAGTAATAATGGAAGCATATTCAGCTTTACTGGAGCATTTTCCTTATATATATATATATATATATATATATATAGAAATGTATTAAAAGTGTACTCAAACAGTAAATACTCAATTAATTCATATGTGTAACTACCAACGGAATTTATTTATATATCAGTAAATTAGATACGATTTGTTATCTGTGTTAGTACTGAAAAAAATAAAAACAAAATATATCAGAAGATTATTAATTAACAAACATTTATCGATTTTTATCAGAAAGGAGTTTTGTGGATATTATAATATTTGAATAGTTGAATTCATCAGTCAATGGAAGCTAAACCACTATACAAAATCTGAAAGCACTGGATAGCGGTTTCTTCCTAATGTGGGACTTCTTAACATCACGCATCCACGATCCCAGCCCGGGATACGAACTCAGAACATATCGGTCTCGCAGCGAACGATTAACCTCTAGACCACTGAGCCTCCATCCAACGGTGCTAATGTCTAACATCAACCAATCTACGAAATTGAGTCACCGATTTTAAAGTAATGATTATTGTACAAAATGTCGCATAATTATTATTTTCAGTTAGGTTAAAAGATTTGTGTGAGATATGTTCTTTCCCTTCGTAGTTTAACTATTCATTCTACTGAGACAAAAAGATTCAGAACATTAATAATGGTTTCAATTAATTCAAACACTAACATATATAAGCGAACACTATTGTTTTCGATTAGATCTTCATAAGGCTTCACTCTAATATAAAGTAATATTTATATGCATATACGAAATTGTTAAACCAATCAAGATAGTCTATGATTCAATGATGATGACGGCGGGATAGATTACATAAATAAGTGAAAAGTATAAATCAGTAGTGTGATGACAAGTGTACTAGTTGTGATAAGAATAATAAAGGCTTGAATCAACGCTTCATAATGGGAAATAGGTCAGTGATTAGAAAAATATTGACACCAAAACATGCATAATACTCATAAAAGTCACAAGATTAAGTAATATTAAGTGTTCAGATCATTGGACTGTGAAGCGTATATTTGAGAAAAGGAAAGCGGTGGGAGGGGGTGAAAAAAAATAAACGAACAAAGAGTATGGAAAATAATAATAAATAAAATCCTTTGTTAAGCCCAAGGGAGAGACAAAGGTTGAAGTTAGACAATAACACCATTGGATGCCCGCTCAGTGGTCTAATGGTTAAGCGCTCGCGCGCGAGACTGTTAGGTTCTGTGTTCGAATCTCGCGGGGGTCGGGACCGTGGATGCGTGCTGATAAGAAGTCCTACATTAGGACGAAACGGCTGTCCAGTGCTTCCAGGTTCTCCATGTTGGTATAGCTTCAATTGACTCATGATTTCAACTGTTGAAATTTCTAAAAATCTCCACAAAACCCCTTCGGAGTTAAAGTTGTTAAAAATTTCTTATGAACTCAAATACTTGAATTGTTAGCTCGAATTCCTATATCTTCTGCTATGCTTAAGAGACGAGATCGAAGTCCATAAGGAAAACTGGTAGGAATACGATAACTAACTTTAAATGACCTGTTTCTGTCTACTACATGACCGCTATCGATCAAGTGTGATAGAACCGAGCTGCGTATTGTCATGACTACCTTTTCTTAACCACGGAATAAAAGGTACTATCAAGTTACTACCAGTTCAGTTCTATCACACTTGGTCGATAGTGGTCATGTAGTAGACAGAAATAGGTCTAGGGCAACGTTTAATCATTTAAACATTATATCATAAAAACAGTAGAATGAAAATAAATTCACTAACTTTAATTTTTTCGCAACATTTTTGGTCCTTAACAAGGAAGTGTTATCATTTAAACTGGAAGTTGTCATTTGTGTAGATTTATTATTTAGTGGTTGTGTTTGGGAGATTATTCTTTGTCTAGTATCAGATGGTACATTGGTGTTTCTTGAAATAGGTCTACTCGCATGAGACGGGGTTAAATTAGTTTTTTTGGAACTGCGAGATTTCATAAAGGTATCTGGTTTTGGAATTGAACTCTTGTATGGTGATAAATAAGGTGATGTATTTAATCTTTTCCTATTAAATCATAAATATGACGAAAATTCATAAGGAATCAACATAAATGCAAATCGTTTAATATGATTAGTATGAAAAAGGATAATGCTCGTTTATAACATAGACTCTCAATGAATCGTAGTTGATAGTTAAAAAGGTGACACTGTGGTTCCATCAGGAATTCCTTTTAAAGCTAATCAGAGGTGAGTACATGATTATTGCATAACCGAGTGGTTATAACTTTTAGTATTGCCCAGTGTTTGTGCCGTATTAATTATTTATTGAAATCAGAAATGTGAACACTTAGATTTCTGCTTAATTTATTACTGGTCACTAGGTAGCTGGTTCGATTCTGTGTGAGCTCAGTGAAGCACACAGAAAGTCTTAAATTAAAATGAAATAGTTGTTCAGTGCTTCTCAATGATTCCTGTAGATGATAATAGCTTGTGACAAAAAGTAGTTTCAGGTTATACAATTACAAGACACTCAAATATATAACGGTATATAGTCGAATAAAATATTTTTTCATCCTTCTACTTATCTTGTACACACCTGGAATAATAAAACCTTATGGTAGTTATTACAATGACAACTTTCTTGTTACATGTTTACATTAGGTCTTGTCTATTAACCAGATATAATCTCGGTCACAACTCTCAATCAATTACAAGCTCTGCAATGGCACTATTGTCAAAGTTATCATCAATATCTCTTCTATACAAGGGAGATATACTGAAGTTGAAATCCATTTCATAAGACCCAAAAGTACCCAAAATCAAGCTTTTCATTCGAAATGACAACAATTGATCGAGTATCTAAATATAACCGCCATTAATATCAAGAAACTAATCTATCAAGCCCTCTGATGAAAACATAAATACCAAATATCACATATCAAATCATAATCTAAGTTCTAAAATTCACCATAAAATTTTATGTGTTTCAACTGATGAATCTCATACTTAGAATAAATAAAATAATATAAAATCTCGAAACAATAATCTTCCTTAAAAAGAAGAAAAGAACTTACTTTGATGGAGTTTTGTTCTTTGAGCTGGATGGTTTGGTTGTGGACCTTTCATCATTCTTCTGAACGACATCATCAGCACAAACTTCGGATAGAAGTGAAGCGTTCGAATTTCTCTACATTTGGTTCACAGCTTATCCTGTACACTTCGATGTTGATTGGTTCTCGTTGACCTTAAACCTGTCATTGTTTACTTTGTTTTGATTGTATCTTCCATTGGTTTGATTTTTGTTCCTATGTTTGTGCATAATTTTCTTGACTGCTTGGTAAATTGAATTAATTTCAATGTACTTGTTGATTGCTGATTGGTCTGAGTGCCAAGTTTCTAAAAGTTCTCTGATGTTTTTGAAATTTTCTCTATCCAAAATTTCCACATTTTTCCAATCAAATGTATGTCCGCAATTGTTCACATGCATTGATATAAGTGAGGAAATGTCATAACGTTTGACTGATAATTGATGTTCATACAAGCGAAATGAAGATGGCATCCGCTCTGTCCGACGTAGTGTTTTTCTCAGTTGTCACAATTTATTTTGTAAATAATGTTTTGTTTGTCTTCTTTTGTTTTGCTTTTTTCATCTTTTGGTTTGTTGATGATGTCGATTAGAATAACGATGAAAATTCCATGACCAAACCATCTAACTCAAAGAACAAAACTCCATCAACATCATCTACCTAAACTATAAGTCTTCTCCATTATCTCAAAAGAACTTACTGTTCATTGTGTAATTCATCTTTCAATGGTAAATGTATACAAGGTTTAGATGTTGTATACTGTGATAAATCATTTTTAAAATAATGAGATGATATTAAATCAATTGGTTGTTTATTATCATATGAATAAGATGAAATTTTCATATCATCATTACACCAATTTGATATATCATCAAATGAAGATTTATGATATTTATTGATAATTGATTGTTTATTTAATTGAATTATTGGATAATAATTAGATGAAGGTAAATTTCTTCGAATTGATTCAGTTGATATTCTTTGTTGTAAATTGTTATTTGATAATTGATTAGAAGAAGAAGGAGTAATTGTATTTGAAGGAATAGAATAATCTCTTTGATCAACCAAATAACTAGTTTAGTGTAATAAAAGAAAATAATAATAATAATAATTTCAAATTTGGTCCATTTTATACTTTTTTTGAAATCATGAGTCAATTGAAGCTAGAACACCATGGAAAACCTGGGAGCACTGGACGGTCGTTTCGTCCTAGTATGGGACTTCTCAGTAGTGCGCATCCACGATTCCGCACCCCGCGAGATTCGAACCCAGGACCTAACAGTCTCACGCCAGGCGCTTAGCCAACTAGACCACTGAGTTTTTTTCTCACAACAGACCTGGTTGAACTGAGCTGGTAACGACTATTTTTACTTTTAAATGTGTTACGCATAAGTATAGAAAACATTTTAGTGAAACAAAAATGTTTAAAAAAAGAGAATATCACTAGAATCCATGTTAACAACAATAAGTAGTAAACAACATACATAATTAATTATTCATTTCTACTAATGATGATAATGTTGATTAGTAGTCAACATTTTAATATGTCGCTTTAAAATGAATGTACTACATTGAAATTAAAAATAAAAATGTAATTAACAACAAAATATTGCATGCATAACAACAAAGAATTTACCCCCCCCCATGATCATAATCATCATTATCAATATCATGATGTATCGAAGAGAGAGAGAGAGAAAAATGAGAAAGTAAGCATTAAAAAGAAAATTAAATGAATAATAAATACTTCAAAATGAGAGTATATAAAACTGCATAAGTTTTTCAGCTAAACTAGGATACATGTATAACATTCGTTGTTATATAATGAAGTAAACATTTTTAAATTATAATCTATTATTTAGTAAACGGAATACACTCATTAAGATATTAAATAAGAAACATTAGTTCAGTGAATAGTTCTCCCCTTTTCGGCGAATTCATTATCAAAGCTGTACAATCGCAAATACATAATAATACTGGTAATAAACATTTGTCAGACATGGTGACAGTGAGATATGGCACGTTTTGTGTACTGATTAACTTTTCAATTTGTAAATTGACTTTGACACATGTCACTTGCTTTTTTATCTCCAAGTTCTTTGATTTTAGAGATGTTTGCTATTATTTACTGTTAATTAATTGTATTTTTATATAATCATCGTTTTCTAATTGATTTCTAATATTTGGAGCAAATTGAATTGACCTACTCTTCTTCTTCTTTGGGTAGGATATTGTTCTCTTACTAATAAGAATATTTATCTTATCGTGACAATTTGGTTTTATCAGGTGTTTATACCAGTTGAATAAAGTTTCATTCATTTATCATTATTTTTACTCATACTTACATTTTTTCTTATAGTACCTTTCCTGGGTATCTTCTGTACCATCTGGAATGTTTGTTAAATTATTACGAGAAAATTATTGATTATTATCGTCTTTTGAATAACTGAACTTAGGAAAACGTCATTACACTTCTAGCCCTGATATAGACACACTGAAGCAGTCCAATTTCCGGGTCTAACACACCACTTGTATGTTCCTAAACAACTTTTACTTACATTAAATCTACCCTGGTGATATTTAATTAATCAGCCCATGGTCTAAACCACAAAAATTTCACAATCTTCACAATCCCCTCTGAAATGATAAGTAAATATACTAAATAACAGTAAAACAGCTGTGGTTTTGAAATTATTATCAACACCCTCTCGTCCATTATTAGAAAAAATTTTCACACCTTCCATCTCAGCACTTAAACTTGTTCCTCAATAACATTAATAGTTTTAAAAAATGGTTAATCGGTTATTATAGTTGTTTTAGGAAGAACACAAAAGCCGATAATTTTTGTAGTGACTAGCCTTTTAATAACAATAAGTTCAAGAAATCACGTTATCGCTAGTTTAAATTCAAATTTGGACATGGTTACAACCAGAGATATTTTGTGATCAGATTGTGTTTGAAATGCATTGGGCTAATTTATCACATCGTTCATTTAGTCATCATTTTCTGGTTGAATTATCTAGATTTTTATTAGAATGCGGGATTGTGGAGACTGTAGTAATTTTTAATATTTGAATTCATAAGTAGATTTAAACTAAACCACCATTCAAAACCTGGAAGCACTGGATGGCTGTTTCGTCCTTGTATGGAACTCCTCAGAAGAAAGCATTCATGACCCCGCTTGCGGGACTCGAACTCAGGACCTTCCACTTATGAATTAAAATGTTAAAAATTATCTGGATTTATCAAAGAGCTAAAATGTTTTAAATAGTTTCATTTTATTTACATCTTATCAATATACGACTGTTGTGTAACTTACATTCTATATTTGAGATTGTTGTTTAAATTTTAGGGACTTTGTTGATGACTAACAAGTTTCTGTTTAAGTCTAGACTACTTACTGTAAAATAACTAAAAATATAATTGTGGTGATTTAGTAAATGACATCGTAGAAAAGAAAATTTGCCTCATTGAAACAACTATTACTCCTTGGTAATTGTTCGTGTCAATAATGAGTGACTCTAGAAGAATCAATCAGCTTGACCAATCTTAACAGGCCTGAAAAGGGCACTTTGCTGAAATAATTTTATATTGCTTATTAGTATAACAGGGTTTTTTTGGAGCATTTTAGAACCTGATATACTCACTAAGTTGAAAAACTGTTCTGCTAAAGTTCATTTACTTCATTATCAGTCAGTCAGTTATAAACATTGTAGGAGTTTTAACCAATGTTCATCGACCCACAAACAAATAGCAAAGAAATACAAATTGAGCACAAATAATATAGTGAGCAACGAGCGTATAAAATTAAGGACAAATATGAAAGGATTTATGTTATCATTACAATTATAATCGTGCAAAATGCATATAAGGAAGTTTGTACTTTCATTTACGGTATAAACGAATGGTTAGTAATTTCATGGATCAATGTTACGTTCTTGATTTGGTTACTTCTAGTTTTTCGTTATATTGGTCTTGTTAGTCACAACCATTACACTTAGGAGTAGCTTATAAGGAAGGAATCTTTGCTAAACTGTAATTATTCAGGATGGTAAACATTACAATAACAGAGCTTATTATAAGAAACAAAAAACCCTATCAAATCGGATACTTTATTCAAATCAAAACTACTAGTCATTTAGTGACGCAATAAAATAAATAAAAAATATCACTATATAAAAACAAATACTCACTTTCTTTGAGCATCAACTTCACTAGTGATAACTTCATTTTTCAACTGATTTACTGACTTGGCTAACTCATTAAGTAATTTTGTATGCTTCAATGTTTTAGCTGAACTATGAACAAGTGCTTCCGCTTTCTCTGGTAAAATTGGTATTTTACCACGATACTCTGAATGTGACTATATCCAATGAGTACATTGAAGAAAAAAAAGAATAAAACAAAAAAATAAAAATTTATAAAATCATCAAGACAATTATCAATAATTTTAAGCAAAGATGGATAGTGGTTAGCAGTAGACGAAACACGAGTCCTTGATTTCACTGCCAGCCGCCTGCCATCTTTGCTTAAAAACCTTGTGACTTAAGACTATATCGAGGCAATCCACACAGGATACACATATGCCAACATGAGACTGGTCAGTTGCAGTCCTAAATAACAATGGGAAGATACAAGTAAAAAATAACACCAAGTGAGTTCAATTATCAATAAGTCACTACAAACTACAACTCATTTCAACTATAAAATAATAAAGAAATCTAATTAATTGCTAATGCTTCAGCAAATTTCAGAAGGTTGGAGCTTGATTGTTTATTAATCACCTTGAAGGACTTCAGTGCATCAAATTCGTGTCCTGTGTCAAGATGTCTTGCGATGACACTGTTGAATGCCTTCAATCCATTTGATGTTAAACGTTTCGGAATATGTTCTTTGAATCGTTTTGTCCTGTTCAAAACAACGTGTTCTTTGACACAATCAAAGGTCAACAGGTATCCCTTTCATGGTACCACCAACTGTGTATACACATTTACATGTATCTGCCAAAGCAGTTACATTGGTAGAACAGAAAGGAGAGCCTAAGTCCGATTCAAAGAACATATTCCGAAAAGTTTAAGATTAAATGGATTGAACGCATTCAGCAGTGCTATCGCAAGACATCTTGACACAGGACACGAATTCGATACACTGAAGTCCTTCAAGGTGATTAATAAACAGTCAAGCTCCAACCTTCTGAAATTTGCTGAAGCATTAGCAATCAAACGTCTAAAACTAGAGCAATCTAATTAATGCAAAAAACATAGACAAATAATAAATTATCAATGTATATAACAGAATACTTTGTCTTATGAATAACTAGTCCATATGTTAACTGTGAAATTACTTTGTTTCATAATAAAAATATTTTCTTTTGTAGAACAATAAATCTTAAGGTTTACATATTTTCATATTTCATTATCTATAAAAGGTTTACAATCAATCTCAAGTATTCACACTTTCAAACATTTCTTCGGTACTGTAAGTATCTGTCAAATCTACTTCTATTTATGCAATTGTTAGTACTTGTACAAATTATCTTACTGTTAATATTAAAGAATGAATTTTGATTCGTTTTCATTAGTATATATGAATCCTGATCGAATTGTCTTGATACAGACATTTTGTTGTAAGTTTTATAGAAGAGATGGATTGTAGCTAGCGATTGAATCCAAGATTAGTGTTTCGTCCCATTTGAGACTCGTTAGCTAAATATATGTAGTTACATCTTATTTTAAATGTGAGAGATATGACTAAAACATATGTATACTCAACTGATAAGTTTCAAATAAGATAAAACAGACTTTCTGAATCTAGCTATAAACTATCTAAACTACTTAGTTTGAATGATATTAAAAATTGTAATTTGTTGTAATCTTTCATCTCTTGTACTGATATCATGAGTTGTGGAAGCATTTACCAATCTATTCGATTTAGAACATAAGTACTTTTATTATGAAGTTCATTTTACTTCATCACTACCATTCATATGTGTCTATAAGTTTGTTAAAAGCACTAAAAATACTTAACCACACTAATGATATTTGATCAAAAGCTTTTCAAGTTTCAAAAATAATGATATGAAATTCACTTCAGTTAAACTAGACCAGGAGAGAAACTCCATTTGATTTCAGACTATTAAAATCGACTAGTAAATATAAAGCTTCTAAACACTCATAATAAAAAAAATCAACTCAACAAACTATGTTACTTTAACACTAAAGATTCAATTTTTAGAAGTATGCTTCTCTATTTCAAGAATTGATAATATAAAGCTGAAGCAAAACTTTACCATCACAATACTCATAAATGAAATCAGCTTTGTGAATTTTAGTCTCATTCAACCTGATCTATGTGTTCAGATGGAGACGATTATTAATTTTTTAGTCAGAGAAGGGTTTTTATGGATATTATAGTAATTTTAATGTTTGAGATCATGAGTGAATTGAAGCTAGACCATCATGGAAAACCTGGGAGTACTGGACGGCCGTTTCGCCTCATTGTGGGACTCCTCAGTAGTGGTCTCGAGGTTAGGCGCTCGCACGCGAGACTGATAGGTCCTGGGTTCGAATCTCGTGAGGCGAGGTCGTGGATGCGCACTGCTGAGGAGTCCTGCAATAAGACGAAACGGCTGTCCAGTGCCTTCAGGTCTCTCATGGTGGTCTAGCTTTTATTCACTCATGATCTCGAACATTGAAATCATTAATTTTTCTTGCCTTGGTGACAAATACTCTTTTGCTACATCTTAAAAAGTTTCTTTCTTTTTCTTTAAACTCTTTCTTGCATTTATTACATCATTGAGTTTTATTCCAACTATCTTCCAAATTTGTAATCTTATTTTGTCAACTGAGCTCCACTCACTATATTCCTATCAATGTTTACTCATTATGTAATCACTTGTTTCCAGCCGTTTGAACTGTTGTCACAATCAACGCTGTAGAATGTTCTTTCATATAAGATATATATTTACAATATTTAGTCTATTAATTTTATTTGCACTCTTGCTATACTATACGAATATGTCTTCAATATAACTTCCAACCAAACCCTTTCATGTAAGTAATTTAAATCCATTATGTAATTATGATTTTTAAATATCACAGGTTGTAAGCAGCTGACGAGAACCTACGAAATAAAAATGAATTCATGATATTCTTGCACTTTTCAAACTGATAAAGGGAACTATGTGTATGAAACATCTTATAGTACTCAAAAGCTAAACTAAATATTAGCGAACTTAATTAAGATTGATAAATCTTCTAGTTGAACACATGAATTGGTTTCCTAAGCTCTTCTTGTAACCCCCAGTCTAAATATGCAAGGCAACTTGAACACCAGAAAAAAGTTGAGAAATATGGAAAGAACGCTTTACTCTAAGGTCAGTTTATATACAGAAAGTCAAGAGTATTCACAGCATTTCAAATGGCCTTTGGCTTTTGGAAAGTTTTGGGACCGTTCAAAACATAATAGCAGGATAGTTATTCATCCAATCACTTTCTGGATGTTTTCGAGTAAATCCATGAAATGCTGATTGGATAAGACGTTTTTTAGCGTTTTCACAGTATCTTTGATCATTTTTTGAGGAACTTTCTGGTTCTCCCTAACACAGATTCACTCTTATTAAGTTAATATTTCATATTTGCCTATATCGGTTAACTTGTTATGAGGCAAAATAATGAAAAGTTTCTGGAATAATCAAAAATGAAACTTGAAGAATGTGCTTTTTCTATTTCTCCTCCTTTTAATCTAACTTCCACAATATCATCGATTTGATAAAATAAACATGTATGTGAAATAAATTTTGTTAGCTTAAAATCTAAAGCAATATGGTTAGCTTTGTAGTAAAACGAAAACAAACAAAGTGCTCAATTCATGATCATTAATTTACACGTCGATGATCATAAGGCCATAACAATCTAGCTATGCCTCTATTTCCACCACTGTTTCTTAATCCATACTCCATACTAGGGATATCCAAATCATTACTGTCCATAGTGTTTGAATGTATTAAATATTCATTGAATTGATGACGTTGGTCAGCTGGATAACTTTTATATGTTTGCATAATTTTAGGAACAATTGTCTCCTATGAGAATGTTATAAGTAGATTCGTAAATAAATTAAAGATTAACTAAGAATTTTGAAACAATATGATGAATTTTTGATTGAAGAAAATGATGAAACTAATTCAGAAAATCGGTTCATATTGCAGTGAGCAAGAACGTAAGTGGGGACAATCGAATCATTTGAACAAAACATTATAGCATATCTCAGTAAAATCTGAGAACCATACAGCAAATACTTAATTTGTAAAATATTAATCAATTGTCTCAAACTTAACTGTTTCTTTAGCAAATATCAGTCAATCGTCTCAGACGTCATAGTTCTTGAATTTTCATACCAATTGCTTTCTGTTCCCGTTCTTTCCTTCCCAAACTTCTTCTGCCAGACATTCAAATCGTCACTATCGTTATATACTACTCATGTCGATATGAGTGGCACACACCACAATATCTCATCTGTGATAGCCTCTTAAATGTAATATCAAACTACACGATCGAATGAACATTTCTGTACACAATTATATAACACTACTCTTTTATAGCAAATGGTTACACTCATTTATGAAACTTCATTTTCATCTGTAATATAACTTTAGTAAGTATATGCATATATATATATATATATATATATATATATATATATCTTATTGGTGAAAATACCCACAAAGAATCTCTTTTCAGTTTTACCACTAAAATAGTTAACTACACAATTCAAGATCTCTTATTATAAAACCAGAGATTTTTGTCCTTAAACTGAATCATATTGAAAAGGATTTAATTCATTTATGTAGACAAAAATAGGCCACCGACCAAATTTCTCCAACCCACTCTGTCCTACTCCTTCCTTTCTAGTTCTATCCAGTTATTGTTCATGCTTTTCATGTCTATCTACATTTCTCAAAGTAATGTGTTCTTTCGTCTTCCTCTCCTCGTTTGTCCTTGAGAATTTCAAGTGAGGGCTTGCCTTGTGACGAAGTTCGGTGCTTTCCTCAGAGTGTGTCCTATCCACTTCCAGCTACTCTTCCTGATTTCTTCCTCCATTGGGACCTGATTTGTCCTCTCACACAGTAGGGCTGCTGTTGATAGTGTCTCGCCAGTGAATCCGAAGTATTTTGTGTAGACAACTGTTAGTAAACACTTTATCTTCTGGATGATGGCTTTCGTAGTCCTTCATGTTTCCACCCCATACAGTAGAACAGTTTTGACATTTGTATTGAAAATTCTGACATTAGTGTTGGTTGATAGTTGTTTTGAAATCCAGATGTTGTTCAATTGTAGAACTGCTTCTCTTGCTTCGCCGATCCACTCATTCACATCCGCATCAGATCCACCGTGTTCACCAATGATGCTGGCCAGATATGTAAAGGTTTTTACATGTTCCAGATTTTCTCCGTCAACTGTGACTGGATTAATTCCTGCTGTGTTGTGCCGGAGAACCTTTCTTTCCTCCTTGTATATATTGAGACCTACTGCTGTTTAGGTTGCTGTTACACTGATCGTCTTCTCCTGCATTTGTTGTTGCGTGTGCGATAGAAGAGCCAAATGATTTGCGAAATCTAGATCACCCAGCTGCGTTCTAGCTGTCTTCATGATCCAGTCGAAACACCGAAGTTTATTTAAGTAAATATTGGTATTAAAACAAAATTACTATTAAATAATAAAGAAAAGTAAATTAATTTTCAAACTTACTTCTTCTACTGGTTTTCTTTCATTTTTTCTTTTTCTACTCGTTTTATTCTTGTTATTGTTTGATTTAATAAATTTTTAAACTCTGTATTTAATCTATCTAATAATGGATCAGTAATTTGTGAATTATGTTGTATAAGTTCTTGATATATATTGTTAATTGATTGATTTGTTTTTCTTTATCTTTTAATGTATTTAAAAAATCCTTAATGAAAATTGATAATTGACATAAAATATTTGATAAAGTAAGAAAAAAAAAGGAAAACAAGCGCATTAGGATTGATTTTTCAAAATATTACAGCATTTAAAAGAAAAATGTTATAGTTACGAAGGAAGAACGGGCGAGACTCTAATTTATGGACGAGCCAATCAGAAGCGTTTGAAGGATTTCAAGGTTACGGCGTCAACTTCAGTGCTTAATGCTAACGTACAATGGGTTCACAAGGAGTTTTGTACAAAACGTGATACTTGAGCGGCTACAAAAAGTAAAACGGCGAGACTATAATTTGGTGAACGAATCAATCAGGTATAAGATAACAGATCTCGGGTTTGGGTACTAAAGCTTTTCATCCATTTGGCTAAATAGATTTCTGGCATTATAGCTGATGTCAGTTCATGATGAAAACCCCATATATAATTCCTATATGAGGCAACTTATGACAATTGTCGCGAACTGGATAATAGAAGTACCAGTAACACTGGCTGCAGCCAGGTACTAAAATATATAAGGATGATTGGAGAACGTACAGATTCCCACATAGACCTGGTTATGTGCAACGTGTCCTTATCCACAAGTAGCATTTTGTGTACTCAACAACCGAAGTGCACATAAACAATACTGAAACTATGTGGTCGAGGCTGAAAGAGTTTTTGAGACTTTAACATGGCTCTAAAGGCCGAGTATTCTGTGGACGTATGGGTGATTCCCTCTACTACATGCATTAGGATTTTAGAACCTCTGAACCTCTTTCTAACCTTGACAAGTTTTTGAACCACGTATAAGAAGTGTATCCACTATATTTCCTTGGTTTTGTATAATATATTTTTACCCTATACTGGCTGTTTGCTGACTGACTAATATTCTCAAGGTCACTTAAAATTCGTTCAAAGGTCGTCCATAAATTAGAGTTTCGCCGAAAAATGTATTTGTAACGAATGCTTTTGAGGTGAATCCAATTTTTCACTCGTTAATCTGCTCTAAGGAAATATTAGGCAAACTGCAATCACAATTGATTGATCACTGGGTGGTGATTAATGGCATGTGTGTCAGGTCCTTCTTAGTGCAGATTCAATGCTATCGACCAAGTTGCAATGTGACAACTAGTCTAGGTAACTCGATATTGCGTGCACTATGTTGAGATTAGATGGTGTTTGGAGGTAGTCAACAGGAAACCCTGGACCCGGGTTTCGTGCTATTTGGCAGTCATCAGCAAGGTGTACGTGCAATCTTGAGGGGTCTGGTTCTCCCTGATGGATTTGATCCGTGTCACCCAGCTTCTTCAAACTACTTATAGCAAGACTATAATTTATGAATGAACCAATTACATTTAAGATAAAAGGCCTTGGATTTAAGAGTGAAATTTATTCATTCATTCGGTTAAGTAGAATTTTGAGATTTTAGTTGACGTCAGTTGGTGGTGAAAATCCTAAATCTAATTCTTAACCCTAAGCGTCAAGAGTAAATCATAATTGTAATTCTTCATACTGGTTTATAATCCTGATTTATTCCAAGTTAGTAGGTGAACTTTTTCAAGGTCGATTTACCGTCGCTCAAAGGTCATCGATAAATTATAGTCTCACAGAAATATTTAGTATAGAGTTAACTGTAGAATTATATACCAATTTGTATTCGATAATTTTGATGTTTCAATACATTTCCTTGAAAAAGCTTCGACCAAATTGATAAGTAAAATGTTGGATTTACTTCAGATTCATTCGTTGAGATTTTACAAATACAGCCTTCCTCCTTAATGTTTTATATGAACTCAGCACTCAAATAATGTGAAAATATTCGATCAAATCTAGACGAAAGTTCTTACAGATTTCATGGTTATTTTAAAAATAGTGTAGTGAATGATAGCACAATTAAGAACAATCGAATGTATTTGAACGCAAAATTACAGAACATTTTAGTAAAATCCGAGAATCATCCAGTAAATAAGTATCATTTCCAAGATTTGACCTTGACCGAAATGACATGACGTTGACTTGTTGAGAGCTGTTTTTTTTCGATTGACCGCATATAATATTCTTGCTTTGTTCCTTTGCACTATTTAAACTTGGATTAATTTTGATTTGGTTATTTATTCACTAAAGAAGTGGCTTACACTGAGTTACGAAACGTCAGAAAATTTAATTTTTCTACTCATTGGGATATTATAAATATATGAATTTATTCATACAGTAAATATGTCATTCGCAAAATTTTAATCAATTTCCTCAAAAGTGACTGTCCATTTTACAAATGTTAATCAATCGTTCCAAACTTCATTGTTCCTTCATTTTCACAGCAATCATTCTCTGTTCTCATTCTCTTTTTTTTATCTTCTTAACTTCCTGCCTTCAGGTATTTCACTTTTGATTGATGACACATACTACTTATATCTGTTGACATCAGTAGCACATACCACAATTGTTATCAGAATAAATTTTGTAGCATATGAAATAATTCATAACAGTAGCTCATACGAAGACAGTGACTGATTACTTGATTTATTTATATCAATTTTAGGAAACTATAAATACTAAAAATAGTTAACTTAGTGATTGGATAGAAGTGTGTTTACATTACTATATTCCACACATTGAAATCATGAGTCAGTTGAAGCTAGACCACCATGGAAAACCTGGAAACACTGGACGACCGTTTCGTCCTGGTATGGGACTCCTCAGCAGTGCGCACCCACGACCCCACCCCCGTGAGATTCGAACCCAGGACCTGTCAGTCTCGCACCAAGCGCTTAACCAACTAGACCACTGAGCCGGCATCCAATGGTGGTAATGTCTAACTTCAACCAATCCACGAAGTTGCGCCACCGTATACCATTGTCTTCAGTGAGTTGATATCTAACAACAGACTTGGGTAAACTCTACTGGTAACGGCTTCTCACTAGAACTCCAGGAGTATCTCTTGAAGTCTAAAATCTCCACAAACCTCTTCTGATAATTATTATATTTCTTTAGAATAACAATTAAAACAAAAGTATATACAATTGACATATACAAAGTATGGTGAAATTTGGATCCAGAATAATCTAGACTAACATGGAAAATCTGGAAGAACTGGATGATCGTTTAGAAAAATATTTAGCAAAATAATGACCATAAATTTTGCTTTAAAATTGATTTATTCTGTTGAGAATTAATTATGCTCAATTTAGTAAAACATTTAAAGAATTGCTAATATATAAAAACTATTATGTTTGACATTTGTTGTCCTTTAAACTTTGTATGATTCCTCCAGTTCACAATCCCTTTCTATTTCCATTTCTGTTTTTCTCAAATCGATCGTTTTAGCCTTTTGCTGTCAGCTATTCCACTTTTGATTGTGTTACATACTACTTACGTCTGTCAACATAAGTAACATACACCACAGTTGGTCTATATATTCAAGAATGAAACTTTTAACCGTTTTCCCCACATCCTTTTAGAAGTATGATGTAACAACTTGTATCTGTATTGAATAAGAGCATAAGTTACGGCCCAAAAACAGTTTTAAGTCCAGGTAGAAATCTACCTGAAGTTTGTGTTGATGATAATGTTCTTGTTCCAATCCACGTGGTTCCACAAAACCATTTGAACTAATATACACAAGAATGTATACGTTCTTTTGAAAACAAACGCCAGGGAAACGTTTAAAATCACAGATTCAATTAATTGAGAGGTTACAAACAAGTTGTAGAGTCAGCATGGAAAGTTTGAAAATGTCGAGTACAAAAAGCATGAACATTAGCAGAGAATAGTCCATTTAGTCCTTAAATTTAATCTCAATAAAGAGTAATTACGAACACTTGATCAATATGAGCTATGGATTCCGTCTACAGGAAGCTCTGAGCTTCGATTTTCTGCATATATATATATATATATATATATATATATATATATATATATATTAGCGGATAAACATAACTCCTCGTTAACTGAAATCTTACAGTAATAAAGGTAGCAAGCAAAAGTGCCAATGTTGATCCTATTTTCACGAACTAACTACCCTAATTAATTTGTTTTTCAATTATAAGTTTTCCCCTAAATCATTTATTTATTTTCCTTGGTGTCGTATACAATGGGGATGCTTACACAATTCATCATTTTAAAGAACAGTAAACTGATTCAAGTTAACAAACTAGTCATCATGCCATTTTGAATTTAACGTATTATAGGATTTTTAAAAAAATCCAAGTACTGATTATTTGTCTGTCAGTAATTCATCTTCACAAATAATAAATTAATCCTTAAGATGGATAGTGGCTAACAGTGGAATACAAGACGCATGTTTCATCCTATTTTGCGACTCGTCAACTGGAAATACCTGTTACCCACCATCCAACTTTGCTTATAATACTAACGACTTAAGGCAATATGGAGGCCATCCGCACAGGATGCATATATATATATATATAGTAGTATAAGACTGGTCAATTATAATCCCAAATATCAATGGGAAGATTCAAACAACCAATACAAAATGAATTTAATCCTTAAATTGATCAGCACTAATATCTTTTAATAGTTAAGCTAAAAATATATTGTAAAGCATATAAAATACGAATTTGTAGCTTCATGATCTATACAATCAAAATAAATAAAAAAAACATTAACCTGACATTTTGGATCAAAATGAAGCATATAAACCGAAGCTTTCAATTATTATTATCATTATTATTAATCACAAACAGATAATGTGCAAATGAATTTAATAAATTTCAATAACATATAAGCAGTTTTAAAATGTTGTGCAATATTATAAGCAGATAATGATTAGTGGCTAGCAGTGGAATCCAGTTTGACGCGTGTTTTGTCCTATTTAGAACTCGTCAGCTGGATGTACTTGAATCTTAGCTGTGCAATATTGTTTATAGATAATTTAAGGCATATTATAAATTGTAATAGGTATGTATAGGTAACAGCAGGTTTTTTGGGGGGGGGCTGGAGGGGTTGCTACACGTATAACATTTATTGGTAAAATATTATCTTACCTTATAAATAGTTGGGAATTTTTGTATAAACTAAATAGAGATATAAACCAAAGTGGTTTTGTTGTTGTTGTGAAACAGTTTTAAGTTTGATAGGGAGTATTAAGAATCATATTTTCATGATATTCTTTTCATCAAAGAATTCTTATGTCTATAAAATAGATATCATTCCAAACTAGCGACGAAATTCTTTAAATTACTTATAGCAAGACTATAATTTATGAATGAACCAATTACATTTAAGATAAAAGGCCTTGGATTTAAGAGTGAAATTTATTCATTCATTCGGTTAAATAGAATTTTGAGATTTTTGTTGATGTCAGTTGGTGGTGAAAATCCTAAATCTAATTTTAACCCTAAGCGTCAAGAGTAAATCATAATTGTAATTCTTCATACTGGTTTATAATCCTGATTTATTCCAAGTTAGTAGGTGAACGTTTTCAAGGTCGATTTAGCATCGCTCAAAGGTTGTCCATAATTTATATTTCATGATAAGTTTTTATTCAATATTTTTTTCTTCATTTGAACATAAATATTAGCATAAAGTGGCACCGAATATATATGCACCACACAAGTCACTTGGTTTGTGTGTATGGCGTGATACTGCCCGGGAGCCCAGACAAAAACAGGTGGTGTATTTTAGAGGGCCACACTCGGAGCCTTCGATCTGAAGGTCCAATCCACAAGGCAGTGGAGCAACGTCAGGAGATGCGGTCCCATGGTAGCCGGTGACCAACAATAGGTTCATACGCCTCTTATTCCCTCAGGAGCCTGGATCCCATGTGCACTATTGGTTTGGAATCAGGGTTTTCCAACTGCCGTAGATAGACCCTCCATATCCACCTACCCGATTAAAGCACCAGATATTCGATTTTTGTCCTCTCTATTTCGTAAACAACAGTAATACCACGAGAAGACATTGAGTAAGATTTCCCTGGCAGTGGCTGCATACACGTGACCATGTGAAAGCATTTGGAGAGAGCGGGCTGACTCTCCCCACTCTCGGCCGTACCAGGGCATTTGGCCATTTAATGAACCTACAATACCTGCTGAAATCGATGTTAAAAATTTCGAATTCATTCGTTTATGGGGTAATAAGATACACTACTAATTAGTCTCATATTAAAACTGAAGGTTTTTACGATTGACCGTAGTGTTCAACGATTGCCTGCAGACTGTTAGTTCAATTTCAAATTGAATAAATTCTTCGATAACCACGGTGATGAAATATGCATTCGCTTTACCTAATCATTCGTATAGATCAACAAGAAATCCTTCATTGTAACAAAATGTTTGCAACACAATCTTTTTCATTTGAATTATATTAGTGTTTGTTAAAAACTGTTTTTCACTTTCAATAATGAATAAGACACAAGTTTAAAAAGCCATATACATATACAAGCAATATTCATTTTTCTAACTGATAACACATGAAATTTCCATTAAAAAAATTTCTTACTTCAAGTGCTCTACTCTCTTCATCTTCTGGTTGTGCTGATCTTGATCTCAATTCTAATAAATGATGACAAGCTGTTTGACGTTCAGATAACCAACGGCCAAATATATCACGTTCTTTAACATAATGCTCCCATTTTGTTCGTAATTCACGTAGTTGTTCAGTGTGACATTCAAGCTAGTCATTAGAATAGATGGGGTTTAGATAAAAATGAATACATATTTAAACCAATAAGTTATTATGTAAAAGTATTGAGGAACGGAATGTTTTTGAGATGGTCGAGAAGATTTGTCAGTCAGTCAGTAACAACGTAGAACTTCGTACGTACGTACATCAGTTCGAGTTGCAACACCACATTAGCACAGAGATGCAGTTGTCGAATCAAATCCCTTAGTGGTAGAGGTAGTAAGAGTATAAGCAGTAATCGGAAAGATTAGGGTTTGAAGATGTTATTCAAGGAGTATAATCAAGTGAAATATATTCGGAAAGAGAAAAAAAAGAGACAATGAGAATTCGTAAGATTCGAATTTGGGAGAACACAAAGAATGGATACACCTGCACCATTGTAAACGATTTTGAGTCATGTCATTCAAGGTCTCTAACCATCGGTTACTGACTTCATGGATTTGTGCCATGTTTTGGTCTGGTGGAGAAAATTTGTAGCTCAGGTGAATGATTTTGGTGGAGTTTTGTTATCTGGGCTGGATGGTTTGGTCACGGAACTTTCATCGTTTTTCTGAACGACATCATCAGCACAAACGTCAGGTAGAAGCGAAGTGTTCGAATTTCTCCACATGTGGTTCACAGCTTGTCCTGTACAGGACTGTCAAAACCATCCAGCTCAGAGAAAAAACTCCAACAAAAACGGCATGTTTACATTTCTGTATGTATTTTATTGTTATTGTGTTGTATATTTTATAATTACATTGTGATTATACTACTGACTACTTGTCATAAATAAATTTGAAAATTGTTTAATTAAATAAAACGTTGTAAACTTATTGGGGTGTTGGAATATATGGAACTTAATGGATCTAATAAATCAATGAACCACTTACTCAGGTTTACTTTAAAAAAATTAATCAAAAAGGGTTTTCACTAATCGCAAATACATCAAGACAGAATTTTAAATATAACTTCAAAATTAATCACCGATTGATCGATTATTTATTAGTTACTGAAGTTATTTTCGCCTAATCATTTTAGTGCTAACAAAATTCTATCGACTAAGTTGTAATGTGGCCACTGATCTAAGTGACTTAACATTACATTCTCTGTGTTGAGATGTTAGGTGGTTGGTGATAGTCACCAGGAAAACTTGTACCTAAGTTTTATTCATTTATCATCATGGTCTACTTGTGACACGGGATCGAATTTACTAGGAAGTACCAGGTACATCAATAATACAGGTACAACTGACTGATGAATGCCGAATAACATATAACTAAGCTTTCCTTATAAATGGAGTCTATATTCATTATTCAAGATGAGTAAGTTTATATCAATGTAAAGAGTCATGAGAAAAGTAGAAGAAACTGTAAAATGTTTTAAGTATAGGCTTAATAAGCTATTCTACTGTGAAGTTAAGGGTGAAACTATAATTTATGGACGACCTTTGAGCGACACTAGACTGACCTTGAGAGTGTCCACCTAATAACTAGGATCAAATGAGGGTTATAAACCAGTGTGAGGAATCAGAATTATGATTTACAGTCGATGGTTAAAGTTAGAAATTAGATTTAGGGTTTTCATCACGAACTAATATCAGCTATAATGCCAAACCTTTATTTAGCCAAATGGACGGTGAATTTCACGCCGAAATCCGAGACCTGTAATCTTATATCTGATTGGTTTGTCTATAAATTATAGTCTCGCTAAGTTTTTTTTGCAGATGAATACTTAAATAAAAGGACAGTAAGAGAGATAAATATATAAAATATTTTACGTTCTATTAAATGTACAACAATATGATTGTATGGAAGCTTCACGACCAAACCATCCAGCTCAGAGAACAAAACTCCATCAAAAAAGGATTATATACCTTTTTGTTTTCTATATCGACTCATTTTGTACATGTTTAGCTAACAATTTCACCAAAGTTTGATCTGAACTATTTCCTTTATTATCAGAGCTCTTATCGCCTTCTTGTGAAATATAATCGATTTCCACTGAAGACATTCCACATCTGTAATAAATAGTGAAATGGAAAAAAAGACTGAAACTTGTTCAAAAAACAAACCATGGACTATGAAAGAATACAAGCAGAATACAGTAAATTGATAGGGATTTTGACCATTTAATGTTGCTTCATTGGTTTAAAGTTAACGCTCACATTATATGGTCAGGTAGTCTTAAGTTCAGTCTATGGGTTTGCACTTCTGGACAGTTCCATTTAAAGATATAACAGCTGGGGAAATCATTCTATGTTTTAATCCATTTAGTTAAATAATCTTCACAAGTCGAAAATTATGATAAATATTTATATAAAATATATTGAAAATGACTGGTTATGTGAATCGTTAATTGTTTACTACCTTGTCTCCATGTTAAGTAGGTTTGAATAACTTAGATTATCTAACTAGCCATGAGTGAATTTTTTTCATGTTATGTAATCCTTGTTATTAAATTAGCTCATAAAAACAATATAACATCAACTTGAAATGGAGTGAACTATCCTACTGTTGATATCTTGATTGTGTTGTGATGAGTCTTCGTGAAGTGGATATAAACTTTAGATAGACTTGTCAAAAATGGTTATACCGACTCAATTTGCACTGAATACACATATACTAATTAAAACTGATCGAATTTCAGCCAAAATATTAACAATGGGATAATCCGACCCATTGTAAATTAAATTAAAACTTAGACGTTACACAAGTGTGAGTCTAAAGTTTATCTGAACTCAGTAGCTTAGAGGATAATGCGATGACGTTTGAAGTGAGAGAGGTTGAGTTCGAACCCAAGAGTGGATATCGACTTGGATGCAGTTAGATCTATCTGATAAGTCTGAAACAAGATACATCGTGTGTCTTGAATGCCGCTGCTAGCCACAATCCAGCTATTCTATATAATATAACATTATTAGTATCTAAGTTAATACTCAGGTGAGCGGTATGTCTTTTAGTAATAAAACCAATTTGAAAATGTGACTTCCTATTATGCCTGCTGGATGTATTTGAATGAAACTAACTAGAGTGACATTATATATATATCAATTTCCGAATACCGTGAACTTTAAAATGTAGTATCACAATTCTTAACAGCAAATTAGTGTTATCTAACTTACTTATATCCAAGTGTGGACAATTCTCTTTTCATCGTCATCAACTGTGATTGCATAGCCAGTGTCATAGCTAACTGATGACCAACGTCTTCTAGACTTACTGCTTTAGCTAGAGGTTTGTCATCTGTCAATTGTTTCAAACGGTCTATTTGATAATTGATAAAACTTTTATTTGGATAGGTTGTTAATCCTGTAACATTATAAGAATTCGAAGAGATTGGATCTGATGTTGTGATGAGTTGATTTGTTGTCGTAATTCCTGTTATTGTAGCTACTGCTACTGATGACTGACTAATAACACTTAATCGTTTCCACCAAGACTGTAAATCATTTAGTATAAATGTGGCGACTGAATTCAATGAATCAATGTAAGCTTTGAAACGATTCAACTGATCATCTAGTCGACTCTATATTAATAAAATAAGAAAAATTTCGAATCCAAATCTTATACAAACATCAAACATATGTTTGCTTAGAAATAGTTATTTCCTAGTTACAAATTTCGACACTATGGAGTTCCTGAGAAGATTGTCAACATTATCCGAAACTCATACGACGGACTACAGTACAAAGTCGTGCATGGAGGACAACTGTCAGATGCATTACAAGTAACGACCGAGTCACACAAGGCTGTCTATTCTCCTCCTTCCTCTTTCTTCTCGTGGTCGACTGGATTATGAAAACCTCAACATCTGAGGGAAAACATGGCATACAATGGACAGCCCAGAATCAATTACACCATTTGGACTTCACTGATGACCTAACAATCCTATCCCATACACACGAACAAATGCAGATAAGACAACCGGTGTAGCAGTAGTCTCTGCATCAGTAAATCTCAACATACACAAGAGAGAAACCAAGGTCCTCAAATACAACACGGAGAACACCAATCCAATCACATTTAATGGCGAAACTCTGGACGATGTAGGATCCTTCACATATTTGGGAAGCATCATGGATGAACAAGAAGGAACAGATGCAGAGGTAAAGGTGAGGATCGGAAAAGCAAGGGGTGCATTCCTACAATTGAACAAACAACATATGGAACTCAAAACAAATGTCTGTCAATCAATATCAAAGTCACAATCTTCAATACGAACGTCAACACAGTCAGTTCTACTATACGGTGCGGAAACTTCCAGAACTACTACAAGTAGCGTCAAGAAGGTACAAGTATTTATAAATGGTTGTCTACTGAAGATACTCAACATCCATTTGCCGGATACCATCAGTAACAGCCTACTGTGGGAGAGAACAAACCAGGTTCCATATGAGGGGTAATCACTAAAAGACGCCAATCTGCATCACGAGGCAATTGCTAACTTGGAATCGTAAAGGGAAACAGAATAGAGGAAGGCCAAGGAACATATTACGTTGGGAAATAGAATCAGATATGAAAAGAATGAATGCGAACTGGAAGGAGCTGGAAAGGATTGCCCAAGACGGTGTTGGATGGAGAATGCTGGTGAGCGGCCTATGCTTCTTCACGAGGAATAACAGGCGTAAGAAAGTAAGTAAGTAGTTATAAGTAATCTGGAAATTTCCTTTAAGAAGTAACCCTTATTTCTAAAGAATTCTTCAGAAACAATAAAACATCAGTGTAGAAACTTATGTGTGATTTACCAAGTTCAAATCTTTTATAATATTAGCTTAAGTATGTAAATTAATAAATGTAACGGAATCTTTGAAAAATGAATTTTAAATATTGTTCCATATTATATTATAAAAAGTAAATAATATGGATCAAAACTATGCATAAATCTTGTTTATCATTAACTTAACATTAAGAAAACAGAATGGGTTTTGTGGAGATTTCCAGAAATTTCACAGGTTGAAATTATGAGTCAATTGAAACTAGACCACCATGGAAAACCTGGAAGCACTGGACGGCCGTTTTGTCCTAGTATGGGACTCCTCAGCAGTGCGCGCCCACGATCCCGCACCCCACGAGATTCGAACCCAGGACCTACTGGTTTCGCGCACGAGCACTGCTGAGGAGTCCTATGCTAGGACGAAACGGCCATCCTGTGCTTTCAGGTTTTCCATGGTGGTCTAGCTTTAATTGACTCATGATTTCAACCTGTGAAATTAAGAAAACAATTTGACATACCTTGATAGATTGTGCGTTCGAATGTATATTCATATAATTAATTTCAATCTCTTTATTTCTTTCTAAAACATCTAAAATAATTCTATCTAATAGTTTTTCATCATTTGAACTATTCACTAAATATTTCCAATTATCCACTACACTATGATCAATTGGAATTTCACGATATGGACATGTGATCGATTTACATATTCTATTCGTTCTTGATATTGTTGCTTGATCTTTAGTTATATTATGAATAAGTAAATGAATTAATTGATGTGTATTTTCTAAAAGATTTTTGCCTTCTTTATTAATTTCTTTCATGAATTGATCAATTTGAATTGTTGAATCTTGATAAGCAGATAAATTTCCTGTTAGATTACTATTAGTATTATTAGTACCAGCGGACATAAGACGAAAATTTATACTATTCATCCATCGTTCAATTGTTTGTGCTGAATCACGAAATGCAGAATAGTTTTGTTGAATTGTATTAATCCAGGTGATAAATCGCTAGAAAAAATATATATAGCAAAATGATTACAAATAGGCATTCTTGATGTACTATTTACATTTTTCATGATCTCAATCAAAAATTTAATAATCTAGGCAACCCCTATACTAGTAATCAACATGTGCTCACTAGTGACTAGCTTCGTGAGGGGATTCTCGGAGTTCTAGTGAGAAGCCGTGATCAGTGGAGCTAATCTATGTCGGGTAGAGACAGGCATCTACCTCAGTACAATGGAAGTTGGTCGCGCAATTTCGTGGATTGGTTGATGCTAGACACTATCACCATTGGATGCCGGCTCAGTGGTCCAGTAGGTTAGGCGTTCGCGCGCGATACCGAGGCCCTGGGTTCGAATCGCGCGAATGGGCTCGTGGATGCGCACTGCTGAGGAGTCCGGCAATAGGACGAAACGGCCTCCAGTGCTTCCAGGTTTCCAAAGGTGGTCTAACATCAATCGGTTCATGATCTCAATCAATAACATTTACAGTGTTTGAAGGGAATAAACATGATTCAGATTACAAGCCAATCTCTGTTCAGTTGTATAATTCCAGGCAATAAGTATAGAATGAATGGTTTATTATACTCTAGTATATTTCCACTTTAGAATGCATACAAAAACTGACTATGTAATCGTCAATATAGGTTCTAATTTCTACTACTCTTCTTCTCCTAACACCTTCGATGCCACTCTCATTACCGGTCAAGTAAATTCTATAAGAATATTATAATAAAAATGATCATTGGTAGTAGTAGTGGTAGTAGTAGTAGTAGTGTGGTGTGTGATACTTGACATAAGTAGTATATGATGTTAGTCGTGAACAGAAGGTCTGGCAGCAAAGAGACAAGAGGATCGAACAGTAAAGAATGAAAACAGAATGCAATTTGTATGAAAATGCAAGGACAATGAAGTCTGAGTCATTTTGAAACAATTGGTGGGAATTTCGCAAATTCAGCATTTACTTTATCATTGATAGATTTTATTAACAAGTCCTGTAATTTGGCGTCAAATACATTCGACTGTCCCCACCCGTGTTTTATTCACTACAGTAGTAGTAGTAGTATTAGTAGTAGCGTAAATAGTATGAAATACTTACGTACTATAAAAAATCAAGTATAATACTTCAAATTTACCTGAATTCTTTCTTTCATTTCGGTAAATCTTCCGGTCAGTTGATTAAATTTATTTGTCTGGCCATTTATCTTAGTAGTATCAGGTATATTCTCACAAAATTGTTCATATTTTTGTGAATATTCATTAAGTTCTTTATTTAAGACCTGTACAAAACAAATTTTACATATAAAGAAAAAACACTGAATTAATACTTCACTGTGACGAAATACTTAAAAGGATTACTTACCTAAAAATTTATTTGGAAAGACTTTATAAACATAAATGGTCACTAAAACACACATTGGTTACCACCCAGTGATCAATCGAATGTGATTACATCTCAGTCGTACAGGAGGTCAATCGCGACCCGGATAACCCTGTGGTAACATCTCTGACTGTGAACCTGGGTGACACGAGATCGAATCCATCAGGGAGAGCCAGATCCCTCAAGGTTACAGTTACACCTTGCTGATGACTGCCAAATGGCACGAAACCCGGGTCCAGGGTTTCCTGTTGACTACCTCCAACCACCATCTAATCTCAACATAGTGCACGCAATGTCAAGTCACCTAAACTAGTGGCTACATTGCAACTTGTTCGATAGCATTGAATCTGCACTAAGAAGGACGTGACACACATGCCATTAATCACCACCCAGTGATCAATCAATTGTGTACAATAGTCTTTACATAAGCAATTCATTAAATATTTATCTGGTGTAAATAATCACGTAGTTTACTAATTAAACTAATCAATAACAAATTTGGTTCTTCCACAGTATTTCAAATCTCTTTCTGTAGCTCTTCTAAGGTTACTGCCTGTCTCAATGAGAATTGTCAGGTATAGGGTCAGTTGCCCCATCCCATAGAAAACAAACTTGCTAAACAAAAAAAAAACGCTAATCAGAATGAACATTATTGAAAAAGTAATTGAAAGATAAATTGTCAATTGAACTTACCGTTATTTGTTGAATATAAGTATTCCAGTTGTTTTCATTAAACTTGATAGATTCATGAATTAATGTTCTTATATTTTGTTCATTTGTCTCTGTTTGATTTACCAACATGCCTGATTCTAAAATATTTAACTTTTTCTCTGTTTTATCTATCCAATTGCGTAAATCATTGTATAATTCAGACAAATTTTTCTGTTCATTGACCATATGATTTAATTTTTCTTGGTACTAGTTATTTTTAATAGAGAGTTTATGTTATGTTATGTTATGTAATTCGTTAGACAGACAATTACAAACATTAGATATATGTTCATAAAGTAAAATGAATTAATTTAAGTCAGTGTTCATTTAAAATCTTTAATTTAACAAAGAATGAGTTTAAACATATGCCATGTTTGCTGAAACATTCATCATCCAGAATTTGTACGACAGACTACACTGAAAATTCGTACATGAAGGACAGCTGACAAACGCATTCTAAATAAGGACAGATATGGTATAAAGATGCTTAATCTCTCTTCTGTTCTCTTTCTCCTAGAGGTTGACTGGATTATGAAGATCTCCATATATGACGGGAAGTACGGAATACAATGGATAGCTTGCATGGAACTAGACGATTTTGATTTTTTAGATGACCTGGTCCTTCTAACCCGTACACAACAACAAATTCAGGTGAAAACAGACAGTGTAGTAGTAGACTTCGTATCAGTAGGTTTCAACATAAACAGGGAATAAAAACCAAGATCCTCAAATGCAACACGAAGAACACCGACACAATCACACTTGATGGAGAAACTCTGGAACAGGTGGAAACTTTCACGCACCTGAACAGTATAATCGATGAACAAGAAAGATCCGATACAGATGTAAAGGTAAGGATTGGCAAATCAAGGGTACCGTTCCTACAACGGAAAAACCTATGAAACCAAAAACAACCGTCTGCATGTCAACACCAAAGTCACAATCTTCAATACGAACGTCGAGACAGTTCTACTGTATGGAGCTGAAACTTGGAAAACTACCACAACCAACATCAGTTATGCACAAGTATTTATAAACAAATGTCATCACAAGATGCTCAATGTCCGTTGGCCGGATATCATCGGCAACAGCCCGCTGTGGGAGAGAACAAACCAACTTCCAAATGCAGAGGAAATTAGGAAAAGATATTGGAGGTGGATAGGACACACATTGAGGAATTCATCGAACTGCTTCACAAGACAAGCACTAACTTGATATCGTGAAGGGGAACGGAAAAGAGGAAGACCAAAAAATGCACTGTTACGAGAATTGGAAGCAGATATAGAAAGGATGAATAGCAACTGGAAACTACTGGAAAGGGTTGTTAAGGACAGAATCGATGTAGAATGCTGGTGAGCGTCCTATGTTCCTTCACGAGGAGTAACAATCGTAAGTATGGATTGAAACATTCTCAGTTAATTATAAATATTGTCTTTTATGAAATGCAATATTCTCTGTCACTTTTTACAAGTGGAAAGGTCATCACTCTATCACAATACTTGTGAGTACTCCTCTATGATCGAATTATAAGAGGCTTTAATTTATCGAAGGCTTCAATTCAAGGTGACAAATTACCTTTTATGACCAAGAGAATTCGTATAAATCTGTCAATTCTACAATCTATTTATTAGACGAAATGATCTGTCGGTATAGGACAATACATTTGTAATAAATGATCATAGAAGAAAAGTTGATAAGAAGTTCCTTTAGACTGTAAATGAGCTTTATTTATTTAAAGATTTCTACCAATTGTTACTAACCCTTCAACAAACCATATTTATATGAACATATTTATCTCAGTCACATAGCTTTATTAGATGCAACAAGAATCTCATGGTCGACAGAATATCCTTTTGTTAAATAAAGTATAAAGGAAAAACAGCAATTTAATCTATCTCTCAAAACATCAAATATTATTCACTTGGTGTTATTTTACTTGTATCTTCCCAATGTTATTTAGTACTGCAATTGATCAGTCTCATGTTGGCATATGTGCATACTGTGCGGATTGCCTCGATATAGCCTTAATTAACAAGCTTTTGAAGCAAAGATGGATAGTGGCTAACAGTGGAATCCAGTTTGACGAGCGTTTCATCCTATTCGGGACTCCTCAGCTGGACGTACCTGCATGCCAGAGTTGATGTCCACTCCGGGACTCGAACCCAGTACTGTTCGATTCAAACGCCATCGCGTTATCCACTCATTATTATTCGTATATCACTCGTTTGTTGATCGAAAATTCTCATTTATCGTTATCTCAAAATGTTTTTGTATAGATGATAATTCTGGGATGCAGGTACATCTGGCTGACGAGTCCCAAATGGATTCCCATGCTGGCCACTATCCATCTTTTCTTAGAATGTTTGTGAATTAAGACACAGTATGCACATATGTCAATAAGAGACTGATCAATTGCATTTCTAAACATCAATGGGAAGATTCAATTAAACAATACCAATTGAATTTAACGATAAATGTGGTTAGAAAATATTTCAATTGCGTTAGGGTTTTTAGTTAATTTTTTCCGTTTAACCAGATTGGTACATTGTCAATTGAAATCTTAGAATGCTAATTATGATTTATTTGTTTTAATTGGTCTTGGTAATGTATGACTCCCAATGGAGCATAGACCAACAAACAGCAATCTCCAACCCACTTTGTCCTACTCCTTCCTTTCTAGTTCTATCCAGTTATTGTTCATTTTTCTAATATCTGTCTCCATTTCCCAAAGTAGTGTGTTCTTTCGTCTTTCACTTCTCCTTGAGCATTGAGGAGTTCATGTGCGAGCTTGCCTTGTGACGAATTTCGGTGCTTTCCTCAATGTATGTCCTATTCACTTACAGCTACACTTCCTGATTTCTTCCTCCTCTAGATTCTGGTTTGTTCTCTCCCACACTAGGTTATTGCTCATAGCGTCTCGCCAGTGGATCCGAAGTATTTTGTGTAGACAACTGTTAGTAAACACTTGTATCTTCTGGATGATGGCTTTCCTAGTTCTCCAGGTTTCCACCCCATACAGTAGAACTGTATTCATATTTGTATTGAAAATTCTGACATTCGTGTTGGTTGACAATTGTTTTGAGTTCCAGATGTTCTTCAGTTGTAGAACTGCTTCTCTTTCTTTGCCGATCCATGCATTCACATCTGCATCAGATTCACCGTGTTCATCAATGATGTTGGCCAGATATGTAAAGGATTTTAGATGTTTTAAAGCTACACCTTGAAGTGTGATTGGACTGGTGGATGTTTTGTTGTATCGTAGAATCTTGCTTTTCTCTTCGTGTATGTTGAGACCTACTGCTGCTGATGCTGCTGCTATACTGGTCGTCCTCTTTTGCATTTGTTGTTGCGTGTGCGATAGGAGAGCCAGATCATCTGCGAAGTCTAGATCGCTCAGCTGCATCCTAGCTGTCCACTGTATTTCATGTTTTCCTTGAGATGTTGATATCTTCATGATCCAGTCGATCACTAGGAGAAAGAGAAAGGATGAGTGTAAGCAACCTTGCCTGACAGCAGTCTTTACTTCGAACGAGTCTGTCAACTGTCCTCCATGCACGATTTTGCAATTGAATCAATCATAGAATTCCATATGATATTGACTGCTTTCTCAGGCACGCTGTAGTATCAACGAAGCTTCCATAATGTTGTCCTATCCATACTATCAAATACTTTCTAGTAGTCAATGAAGTTGAGATCAGGTTAGTTACATAGAAATAATGAATATAGTTGAGATAATCACTGAAAAATAATCAAATTTAAGACAATGAATAATGAATTTCCATTAGATTTCAGTCATGTTTCGTATGACATTCAGTAAAATATAAATTAACTTTATCCAAAAATGAAATACTGAAGTTCTAGTGAAGAGATTTTGTTTTTGTTACATCATCTATAGTTTTAATGTTTGATAGTGAACAATATTCATTCAGAATTTCACTTACTTCTGTTATTTGTTGATTGATTTCATTAAATTCATTTCTAAATTCATTTAATTGTCGTTTAGCTTTAGATCCAATAGTTTCTGTTTGTAAATTGTTGATTTCATTTTGATTCGTTGCAAGTTTATGTTGATGATCGTAGCCTGTAAACACAGGTGTGTTTACAGAATCGTTTATATCTAATTGACTTGAGTGTGTCATAAATATTTGATTCATAGTTAATGCTGCAGTTGATGAAGCTCGACAAATTCGATCTGCTCTATCGCTAAGCTCTAGAAGTTTTGGTTGATATGAACGTAATTTTTCACGTATACTCTATTTAAAAAAAACAATAATTATCGACCGAGTTATTCATTACATAATTTGACACATTATGTTTGAAGTTTTGTATAATAATTTCACTTACCTATGAGACTCTGGATGGCATGGCTCAGAATTGATCACACTGGTGTAGGTGTATACACTCATTGTCTTCCTTTAAACCATGAGATTAAAATTGCTTTATACCTTTCTTTCTACGAATTAATTCTTTCTTCTTGGATCATATACTTATACGTAATCTTTTATATATTACCACCATTGAATAAACTACTTCTATGGATCCAGTGTTCATCTTGCTGTGCTAATGAGGTATGGCAACATGGACCGATGCATGTATGTGCCTGGTCCTACGTTATAGATGACTCATTGACTTCACTTACCTATTTGAATATAAAGTTTATGGCTGAGAATTTAATTCTTTTGCAATTAAAGTAATTATCTGAACGTCCGTTTATAACTCAGTTTTCAGATAATTTCTTCCTTCACTTTCTGACCAATAATCAAGAGATCTTTATCCAACGAACTAATACATATCAAGACTTAGTGGGCCAAATGATGTATGAAGCTATTTTGGTCACTTAAAACCATTGAACTACATTTCTTAAAGTTACTCCACAATCTTGTAGGTTAGAATTTTAGTTTAAAGTGTAGAGGAGCTTCCCTATAATAAACAACTGTCTGTTTCAGCTTTTGTGTTTGCAGAATTTTCCTAGCCCACATAAATATGATAATTAACACTGTGTTTATCTTATAATGAAATATATGTAGTTTAGCTTTCCTGAAATTTTAGTATATCATAAACAACTTATCAGTGATATCTCTTGCAACTTTGCTGACTAGTGCAGTGGTAATTTCTTAGCTTAGAGAAATCATTAGATAGAACTATCACCAAGTGCACGTTATTCAAAGATGTCGAGTGGATAACTACAAGCAGAAATCATAATTCAACTAAAAATCTATAATTATTTATTTCAGATTATCTCAATTTCCATAGATATTGTGCATTGAACAGTCTACATGAACTATTCAACAAGCAAGTTGACAACCACTAAAGTCATATGCTCCACAACTTATAAAAGTGATCGCCTAAATGAAATTTACGATATTTTTCTATCTCTAGACTTAATTTCTTCGACACTGCGGAGTTCCCGAGAAGAATTTCAACATTAACCGAAACTCATACGACGGACTACAGTACAAAGTCGTGCATGGAGGACAACTGACAGATGCATTACAAGTAACGACCGGAGTCACACAAGGCTGTCTACTCTCTCCCTTCCTACCTCTTCTCGTGGTCGACGACTAGATTATGAAGACCTCAACATCTGAGGGAAAACATGGCATACAATGGACAGCTCAGAATCAATTAGACCATTTCGACTTCACTGATGACCTAACAATCCTATCCCATACACACGAACAAATGCAGATAAAGACAACCAGTGTAGCAGTAGTCTCTGCATCAGTAAATCTCAACACACACAAGAGAAAACCAAGGTCCTCAAATACAACACGGAGAACATCAATCCAATCTCACTTAATAGCAAAACTCTGGACGATGTAGGATCCTTCACATATTTGGGAAGCATCATCGATGAACAAGAAGGAACAGATGCAGAGGTAAAGGTGAGGGTCGGAAAAGCAAGGGGTGCATTCCTACAATTGAACAAACAACATATGGAACTCAAAACAAATGTCTGTCAACCAATATCAAAGTCACAATCTTCAATACGAACGTCAACACAGTCAGTTCTAGTGTACGGTGCTGAAACTTCCAGAACTATCACAACCACCATCAAGAAGGTACAAGTATTTATAAATGGTTGTCTACTGAAGATACTCAACATCCATTTGCCGGATACCATCAGTAACAGCCTACTATGGGAGAGAACAAACCAGCTTCCAGATGAGGGGTAATCAGTGAAAGTCGTTGGAAATGGATGGGACATACATTACGCAAATCATCAAACTGCATCACGAGGCAAGCTGTAACTTGGAAATCCTGAAGGTTATCGGAAAAGAGGAAGTCCAAAGAACACATTACGTTGGGAAATAGAATCAGATATGAAACGGATAAATAACAAGTGAAAAGAGCCGAAAAGCATCGCTCAGGACAGAGTTTGATGAAGAATGCTGATGATCGGCCTCTGCTCCTCCACGAGGAGTAACACACGTAAGTAAGTAAGTAAGTAAGTAAGTAAGTAAGTAAGTAAGTAAGTAAGTAAGTAAGTAAGTAAGTAAGTAAGTAAGTAAGTAAGTAAGTAAGTAAGTAAGTAAGTAAGTAAGTAAGTATGTAAGTAAGTAAGTCTATACTTAATGTATATAATCATTTGCTATGTGACTCGTTCATTTTTGATCTCAGAGAAATAAGTTACGAAAACAATAAGGCGTTCATATTTTTCTTTGCATGGCGAATCATCTCAGTCGAATATAACGTGTTACAACGCGAATCCCAGAAATTTCTGGAGCTGATTTAAATCTCAGATGTTTCTATGTAAACATTAATAACCCTAGGATCTACGTTTCCTAATAACTACTATTTCCTAACAAGGTTTATCCGCAACTTTGAGGGTGTTTCAAACTCACATTATTACGTTTCATAATTAGAGACATCACCACTAATATCTTTAGATCATGACTTACCTCCATTAAGACTGGGATTGAAATGTAACATAAAATATGTAAGAATCTGAATATATGACATACCTATATAAATTAACCATTTTTATGGTATTAAATATATTTTTTGTGATATCATAATGATAAGAAAAATTGTATTTCTGACGTTTCGTGACCTAATACAAACCGCTTCTTCAGAGTAGTGGCTCAAATAAAATCTCGAAACCTCGGAAATAAAATTTTTCTAAGAATGAAGATATAACAAAAAAAGTATATATATTTATTATTAACTTTCTACCCAATGCTCAAATTATTTGAAACTATCAAGTCCAAACTTCTGGTTAGCTTTTTTTTAGCGAGTTAATTTTCTACGGGATGAGGTCGCTAACCTCATGCTCAACTCTCCTGCTGTATCTGAGCTTGGGACCTACAGTAACCCCAGATGGAGCAGCAATTTTTATTTATGGTTGTCAAGTGATCTATAGTTTGAATAAACTTCAAAATCAATTTATAAAAATGAACTCCATTATATTGATAACCATTTGAAAAGATTTGATTAAACTCACTGTGATTGTATTCAAATGATTCTCAGATAAATTTAGATTCTGTTCATTTATATTGATACTTTTTAATTCTGTTGTTAAAGTATCAAGGAAATTTCTAATATTATTACATAATACTTGAAATTCTCTATTTTCCATAAATACAAGTTGAAGTTTAGATAAAACATCCTAAAGTAATAAAAGATATTTAATTAATTAAAAATTAGATATTAATATAAAACTAGTTTAACAGACATATATCTTGAACACTGATTGACACATAAATACTGGTACAAGAGGGCACCATATACATATACGCCACACAAATCTCATTTGATTTGTGTGAGGGTTGTGATACTTCCCGGGTGCCCAAACCGAAGCAGGTGGTTTTCTCAAGAGGCCACGTTCGGAGCCTTCGACCAAAGGTCTGATCCACAAGGCGGTGGAGCAACGTCAGGAGATGCAGTCCCATGGTAGCCGTTAACCAACAATTGGTTCGTACACAATTTGTTCCCTCAGAAGTCCATGTGCACTACTGGTTTGGAATCAGGGCATTCCAACTCCCCTAGGCGGACTTTTCGTATCCACCTACACGGTTAAAGCACCAGATATTCGCTTTTTGTCCTCTCAATTCCGTAAACAACACCCCCGCCACGAGAAGGCAGTGAGTAGGACTTCCCTGGCAGAGGCTATATACGCATGGCCATGTGAGAGCATTTTGAGAGAGAGAGCGGACCATTCCCATTCTCGGCCGTACCAGGGCATTTGAAGGCACACTGACTGACAATTGAAAATAAGTAGAAATCTTTCATAAACTATATAAAAACTTGAAGAAAATAGTAAAATAATACAGTTTGATATGATAAACATCTGAAAAAAATGTGATCATCAATAATTCTTTATCACTTGTTATCATACTTTTGATTGTTAAGCAACATTTAGTTGTTGTATGACGTATCCCCATTTTTACTTGCCAACAGAATAGTTTCTAAAAACTACAGATTATCGTTTACTAAATATTCTTGATATTGTCATATGAACAATACAGTAGGTTTACTTCCTTATTGATCATTGACAGATTTTTAAATCAAGAATTTTTGGAAACTGTTATTTTGATGTAACAAACAATGATTTTATTTTGGTTGAGACCATGAATTGACGAGTGTTAGATCACCGTCCTCGTATGGGCCCTCAGCAGTGTGCATCCACGGTTCCGCATGCGGGACCTTTAGGTCTCATGAGAGAACGCCTAACCTCTAGACCACTGAGCCGAATCCCGCGTGTGGGATCGTGGATGAGCGCTGTTGAGGAGTCCCATACAAGGACGAAACGGACGTCTAGTGTTTCCGGATTTTCAAAGGTGCTATAACATTCTTTGATTTAAGGGTCTTAATCGAAACTTGACAATCGCCAGAACCCCACAGTGATAATAATTATATTACTGGTCACAAGATATGTTCAGTTTATTGATTACAGTCTCCTACGTTCACAGCCACTTTTTGGGTTGATCTTGTTTAAATCTTATTACATATTTTAAGGTGTGCTGTGTTCTGTTTGGCTGGTATATAAACCAAGTTTGTTTGAAATAAATGATTCGCTTAATGGAAACTAGTATTGATGTTCTGGACTCAGTTGGACGGGCTATGGGAACAAAGGACCAATAGGACGCTAGGCTGACCAGACCGGTCGAACGTCATTGGTTTAGTACAGCACTAAGATTGAATAAATTGTATTTCAATTAGCGAATAAATTACGTGATAAAAAGCCACAGTTTAAGTCACAAGAGTCTTAATATTTCTTTCTCTATGTAGTTGGTAAGCCAAATACTAAAAATCTATTAATGATTGAATTGAATTTTAGTGAATGAGAATACAAATGGGGACAATCGAATATATATTTGAATACAAAATAACATAGTATGTTCATAAAATCTGAGAACCATACAATAAATACTTCGTTTGCAAAGTATCTATCAATCGTCCCAAACTTCAGTATTCCTTCGTTTTCTACACTAATCATTCTCTCTTGTTTTTCCCTTTACTTCAATCTTCTTAACCTTCTGCCAACAGATATTCTACGTTCAATTGATGATACATACTACTTATTTTCATCGATATCAGTAACACACACCATAGAATGATTTTATTAAAAAAAATTTCAATATTACAAATCTTGTTATTATTACTTACCTCACAACTTTTAATTAAACTATGATATTGAACTAATAATTGATTTAAAGAATTTTTAACACCAGATTCATTAGTTCTTTGTTGAATTGATTCACATAAACTATTTAATTGTGTTAATTCAGATTTTTGAGACATTAATTCACTTTGAAATACCTGACATTAAAAATACAAACAAAAATAATATTAGAAGGAGTTTTGTGGATATTATAGTGATTTCAGTGATTGACATCATGAGTCACTTAAAGCTAGACCATCAAGGAAAGCTTGAAAGCACTGGACGGTCGTTTCGACCTATTGAGGGACTCTTCAACAGTACGCATCCACGATTCCGCTTCGTGAGATTCGAACCAGGGACCTATATATACAGCGGACAAAGGTGCGAAATTTCGCAAGGAGGACAACTGACAGATGCATTACAAGTAACGACCGCAGTCACACAAGGCTGTCTACTCTCTCCCTTCCTATCTCTTCTCGTGGTCGACGACTGGACTATGAAGACCTCAACATCTGAGGGAAAACATGGCATACAATGAACAGCTCAGAATCAATTAGACCATTTCGACTTCACTGATGACCTAACAATCCTATCCATACACACGAACAAATGCAGATAAAGACAACCAGTGTAGCAGTAGTCTCTGCATCAGTAAATCTCAACACACACAAGAGAGAAACCAAGGTCCTCAAATACAACACGGAGAACACCAATCCAATCACACTTAATGGCGAAACTCTGGAAGATATAGAATCTTTCACATAGCTGGAAAGCATCATGGATGAACAAGAAGGAACAGATGCAGAGGTAAAGGTGAGGATCGGAAAAGCAAGGGGTGCATTACTACAATTGAACAAACAACATATGGAACTCAAAACAGATGTCTATCAATCAATATCAAAGTCATAATCTTCAATATGAACGTCAACACAGTCAGTTCTACTATACGGTGCGGAAACTTCCAGAACTACTACAAGTAGCATCAAGAAGATTCAAGTATTTATAAATAGTTGTCTACTGAAGATACTCAACATGCATTTGCCGGATATCATCAGTAACAGCCTACTGTGGGAGAGAACAAACCAGGTTCCAGATGAGGAGGTAATCATTAGAAGATGTTGGAAATGGATAATACATGCATTACGCAAACCATCAAACTGCGTCACGAGACAAGTGCTAACTTGGAATGGTGAATGGAAGCGGAAAAGAGGAAGTCCAAAGAACACATTACGTTGGGAAATAGAATCAGATATGAAAAGGATGAATGAGAACTGGAAAGATCTGGAACGGATTGCCCAGGATAGGGTTTGATGAAGAATGCTGATGAGCGGCCTATGCTTCTTGACAAAGAGTAACACACGTAAGTATATATATATAAAACAAATCTTGAATTGAATAATAATAGTATGATATTACTTGATAATTTTGTATAATTTCATCAAGTGGATAATAAATATCAATCATTAATTGATTATTTTTTTCATTCATTAATTGATTGATTGATAGATTATTCAGATTATTGATTGATTGTTGATTAATTTTTTTAATTTTTATTAAATGATTCATAAATGATTGTTTAAAATCATTTAATTTATTATTGAATTGATTTAATTGATTAATAAATAGATTTAAATCATTTTTATAATCAATCATATGAATCAATAATTGTTCTATTGAATTTTGTCTATTATGAATTTCATCAATAATAATTGTATCATTAATATTTAATTTTAATAAATCATTTTCTAATTCATTAAATAAATGATTAACATTATCAGCTATGATTGATGATGTTTTAGTGATTTCATTAATATAATTCTGTAATAAATCCATTTTTAGATGAGATTGTTTTAATAATTGATCAATTAGAAATGAGGATGATGCTGATGATGGTGACGGTGTAATTGATTGTAATTCATTTCTTTCATTATGATTAGTTAATAATAATTGTGTATTCATTGAATAATTGGTTTTCCAATATTCCGATTTATTTGAATCATTTTTCGATGGATATGGTGATATTCTAATTGGATTCTATGAAAATGTTAATTTTTTTTAAAAAAAAAAGAAAAAAAAACGAAAAATACAGTTTCATGTAAGGGGGAACATATATATCTCTATTCATGTTATATTATCAGAATAGGTTTTGTGGAGATTTTTAGAAATTTCACAGGTTGAAATCATGAGTCAATTGAAGCTAGTGGTTAAGTGCTCGCACGCGAAACCAGTAGGTCCTGGGTTCGAATCCTGCGGGGTGCGGGATCGTGGATGCGCACTGCTGAGGAGTACCATACTACAACGAAACGGCCGTTCAGTGCTTCCAGGTTTTCCATGGTGATCTAGCCTCAATTGACACATGATTTCAACCTGTGAAATTTCTGAAAAAACTCCACAAAACCCATTCTGACAATTATCAACTGTTCACTAGTGACTGACTTCAGGAGATACTCCTGGAGTTCTAGTGAGAAGCCGTTACCAGTGAAGTTCAACCAGGTCTGTTGTGAAATATCAGCCCACTGAAGACAATGGTGTACGGTGGCGCGACTTCGTGGATTAGTTGAAGTTAGACATTAACACCGTTGGATGCCGGCCGGCTCATTGATCTAGTGGTTAAGTGCTCGCGCGCAAAACCAGTAGGTCTTGGGTTCATATTATATTACTTTAGAATTACACTCTATGTTACAAAGGATGAAGCGATTATACAGTGTATTCAAGGTTTCCCATGATGGTTTAGCTTTATTTGACTGATGATTTTGTACTGACCTACTTTTATGAAGAGAACGCGATTGGTTTAAGGGAAAAAATTATTATTATAATCAATTGTACCAACGATTGTTTTACTGTACTTGTTTGTTTGACTGTACTAAAGACATACTTTCTTCCGTTGATTGTGGCCTTGCGCGAACTCGGTCACGCTCAGTAACCACACTTGTACTCCTTTGGCACGATCTTGTTATTCTTTCGATACTACGAGATTACCAACAAATACATTTCGACTACAGCCATCAATTGCCTTCTGATATTTGGCCTACGGGGGATCTTATCGGTTAACTGGCACGTAGTCTTCCTGTAGCGGTGATCATAGTCAACCGCGACTCGATGCCACACAACAATTTCAGCTATTACAAATTACTATAATATCCACAAAAACTACCTGTGATATTTGGCTGTTGTAATATTATTAATGAGTAATACAAATGATTTTTTCAATAATTTTAAAACTTATTTATTGGAGAAGATAATATTCCTTAATTTCAACAAATAATATTCTGATTAGTAATCGAAAGGACTTCTTTATGATTTCTTTCAATAGTGGAGATCATGAGCCACTAATGACTGGCTTCAAGAAATATTTCCTGGATTTGTAGGGAAAAGCAATGACTAGTGGTGTTTCACCGGGTCTGTTGTGAGATAGTAACACACTGAAGACAATAGTGGATATGTTGCTTAATTTTGTGGATTAGTTAAAATTAGACATTAACATCGTTGGATGCCGGCTTAGCGGTTCAGTAGTTAAGCGTCCAAGGGTGAAACTTATAGCTTCTGTATTTGAGTGCTATACTGGGACAAATCGGTCGTCCAGTGTTTCCAAGTTATCAATAATGATCTAGTTTAAGTCAGCTCATAAATTCAACTTGCTAAGCTAGAAGCGGTTACGCGTTCACTTAGACTGCGAACGGAAACATAGATTCGGTGACTAAAGACTAACAAGCTAGCTATTCAATGCGACCCAGCCTCTCTAACCATAGAAAAAAGTTCAAGCTTGTAATGGGATAGTATATTCCGCAAACAGCCAGAACCGAACGATAACAACAAACACAAATCACAACGTATATATACAGTACAAAACCGTCCTTGGGGAGAGTTACAAAATAGCATACTAAAAGACACAACAGACCAATAGCATTTAAAATTCTCCCAAGTAGGAAATAAAGCATGAAGGTGAAAAGAGCGTTTTTGGCACGAAAACAGCAATTCAAATTTTCCAAATAAAATTACAAAATTAGGTCCTTTCCCAAGCGAGTTCTGGGATCTAACGTCCTCAACACAATTATTAAAACATTGACACAATCTCAACAAACCTCTGTTCTGATAAAAACCAATTTCAATCCATAGAACAAAAAACGTTTAATACCAAATCCTATATTGAAATATATATTTAACGATAATAGTCAATGAATGTTTGATTATGAAATATGTAACAAATTGTTAATCAGTTTTGAAAGAGCATTTAAAGAAAATATTTGCATTATTTCATTTTATTACATCTAGTTTCAAAATAAAACATTCATAACAGTCAGTCAGTCAGCTACAACGTAGGACCAGGCAATATATGCATCGGTCCAAGCTGCCATACCTTATTAGCACAACAAGATGAAAACCGGATTCATAGAATTAGTTAATTCAATGGTGATAATATATAAAAGAAAGACTGTATGTAAGGATATAGTACAAAAACCAAGAATTAGTTCTTTGAAAGAAGGATATAAAGTAATTTTAATCTCACAGTTTAAGGAAAGACAGAGTGTGTACACACCGACTCCATTGTAATCGATTCTGAGCTATGTCAATCACACAGTCTCCAACCACTACTCGTTATGATAGTCACGCGGACCACAACCAAGTAGTCTGCATCTACCAACATGCCTCAAACTAGAAGTTAATAACTTCAAGAACTGATGCCCATTTTTTGATTTGGCCGCCCCCAAGTTTATTCCAACCATCTCTAACACTTATCAGCATTATGCGTCGTCGTAATCGGTGTTCACGTGCATACGTGACACATGGCCCAACCATCTCAGTCAATGAAGATTCACAACCTCATCAACTGATTTACCATCATTCCCTATTACCCTGCATCTAACCTCACTATTACTTGTCTGATGATCCTAGCAGATGCGAACAGTATTTCTAAGGCATCTATGGTCAAATACTAGTAGCTCATGAATATCTTCTACTCTTAACAGCCACGTTTTGCAGCCGTAAATTAGAAAAGAACGGACTGCCGCTCAGTATACTCGTCCTTTAAGTTGACAAAAGCCAAATGTACTTTCTATATCCTCCTACCTTCAACATCATATTCAATCATAGAATTTAACTTACTTTTCCTTCTTTTATTCTACTAAATTGTTCAGAGATTTCTTCAATCCATTGTTTAGAATTTTTTAAATTAATCATTAATTCTTTTAATTTCATTTTGATACGTTTTAAACAATCGATTATTTGTTCAATAGAATATTGATTTTCTTTTATTTCATTCATTAATAATAAGAATTTTTTTTCATATGATTGATTGAAATCTAATTTATTGATCGATTGATTATTATTATTATTATTATTATTATTAGTAGTAGTAGTATTGATTTTTAATAATAATGTTTGTTTTTCTATTAATTCTTTATTTAATTCATTTAAAGAATCAATAAATCGATTAATTTCAATATCAATCATATGAAATTCATTTAATTGTTTTAAATCAATAAATAATTTAGTTATATTTAATTGAATTAAATATAAATTATTTTTCCATTGTTTAAACCAATTTTCATATGAATTATATTCTATTTCATAAGTTTTCATTAATTCATAATGTTGATTTTGTTGATTTTTTATATTATAATTAATTGAATTATAAATTGATAAATTTGTTCAGATCTTTTATATTGTTGATTTAATAAATCATTTATTAGTGTATTGATTTCATTCGTTTGGTGTTGTTGTTGTTGTTGTTGGTCCTGGTGATGGTCCTGATGGTGGTGTTGCTGTTGTTGTTGTTCTTGTTGTTTTAATTGTTCTATCCATTCATGTATGGATTTTAAATAAGTTTTACCAATATCTAATTTTAATTGAATTTCATCTATTCTATTATTAGGATGATGATTATGATTATCATTATAATATTGATATTGATTTTTCTCATGATTATCTTGTTTGATTTGATTGATTAATTGTAAAATTTCTTTGATCCATAGATCTAAATCTTTATTCGATTGTATTAATTGATTAAAATAAGTTAATTTAATTTGTATTATATTAATATCATAATTAATATTATTGATTAAATGTTGATTACATTGTTTAATATAATTACAATTTTGTTCAATGATGTCAATACCATATATTATAGGATGTATTATCATTTGTTCGTCGGACTGATTATGAATATTGATTTTTGTAAATGATTTATGAATATTGATTATTTGTCTAATGAATGTTAATAATTTTTCTGATAAGATATTGATTGATGGATTATATTCTATAAATAATTTACGCAATTCATAAAGTGTTTGTAATAATTTTTGATATTGTAAATGAAGTTGTACTAAATGAGTTGAATTATGATTTGATTCCTTTTCTAATTCATGAATTGATATATCAGTTATGGATTGATATAAATTACTTTTATTCAATAATATATTTCCTATAGTATATTCTATTTTAGTTTGTTGATATTGTTTATCTAAATTGTTAAACCATTGTTCATAATTAACAATATCTGTATTAAGATTATTTAATTGATTATATAATTCATTAAGATTATTTGTATAATCGGTTAATTCGGTTTTCAATGAAATGAATCGATCAAACATGAATGAATTTTCGAATGCTGATTTTAATTCACATTCTATAACTTGACTACTTATATCTTTTTCAGTAGTTTGTAATTTTTCAATAATATTTAAGTCATATTCTTTTAAATTAACAATGATTTGTTGTATTATTTTCATAATTGATTGACATATTTCACTGAGTTTACAATGAGTATATTGTTCATCAAATTCAATTTTAAATTGGTTTGTTAATGTTTTATATTTCATATTGGCTCCTTCAAGAGATCTATTAAAATCTTCAACATTTTGTTTTAATTTTTTTAATTTCAATGTATAATTTTCGAATTCTTCAATTTTATCTTTCACTATTGTTAAACACTGATTATATCGTGTTTTAAAGCTATTCACATAATCTTTTGATGATTTTAAAGTAGCTTTATTATGCAATATTTCATAAGGATCTAACATATCATGTTTAAATCTTTCTAATTCAATTAATAAATCATTCCATTTCATTGTATCCATGAATGTTTCTTCTAATAATAAATCTTCTAATTTACTGATTTTAAATATCATTGAAGTTTGTTTTAATTTATCAATAGATTGTTCATATTTTGTTAAGTGTTCATCAATATGATTCCCTTTAGATGTAAGATTATCTAAATTATTTTTAATTTGTAATAAATTAGTTTTAATATTATTGATTCGTGATTTATCTAATGTGATAATACGATTATGTAGCTCTTTCAGCTCTGCATTATTATATAATTCATCATATTGATTAAATTTATTCATGAATATTTCGAATAAGTTTTCACCTTGTGAATAATTTTCTTCTATATTATTTATACTACTTAAATGTTTTTCAATAGTTTTATGAGTTGGTGATAAATTTAATTGTTGTTGATGTTTAGGTTCAATGATAATTTCTGATATATTACCTTCGATATTTTTTATATCATTTTCATAATTGATTATCCAATCTTGTATTGATTTATATAATTTATTGATTTCATATTCATCAGTTAAAAGATTTTACATTTTATTATATTATCATTTAATTGATTAGATAATAATTGTAATGATTGTTCCATTTGTGTAATAAATTCCTGTATATAATAATCATCTATAAATTTCAATTTTATATTCATTGATTGTGGTTTATTAAATAATTGATTCGATTGTTGTTTAATTGATTGAAAATTATTCAATAAATTAAATAATTGATATTGTTTAATATTATTTAAATCATTCATGATGATTGATTTTATTGATTTTTGATTTTGTATTAAATAATTATATCAATTTGTAAATGTTGTGATTTTTCATGAATTAATTTAGAAATTTCATCATAATTTTTATTTAATTGTTCAATTTTATCTAATAATTTTTGATAATTTAATTGTATTACTTTAAATTCATTAGTAGTATTTTCGATCCATTCTATTAAATTATTTAAATTATTTAAAAATTATTCCAATTTATTAATTGATTAACTGTTGATGTTGTTGATGATGACGATGACGAGGATAATGAAAGGGAAGAAACATTTGTTTTATTTAACTGAATGATTTCTATAATTAATTGATATAAATCATTCATTTTTTTAATATTTTTATTATCGATTAAATTTTGATCATTTTTATTGATTATTTGTTGAATATTATTTAAATCATTGCTATATTCTGTGAAATCAATCAATAAATTATTGATTCTTTGTTCCAATGATAAATCATTCATTGAATGTATCGTAAATTGATCAATAATTTTTGAATTTCTAACTGATATTTATTTAAATAATCGATAGATTGATTTAATTTATTTTGTATTAATTCATAATTATTTTTTTGTAATTCATAATTTGATTTTAATTTCATTAAATTTTCATTGATTTGTTGAATCATGATTGAATTGTTTGATAATAATTCATTGATTTTATTATTTTGTATATTTGTTTCTTTAAAATTTTCATATAAATTATTATAACGATTATGTAATCTTGTATATTGTTCTGTAATAGAATTTAATTGTTGATTAAAATCAATATTATTGATTTGATCTATAATTGTTATATGACATAATTGATTTAATGAATTTTTTAATTGATTTAATTCATTATTTAATTCATTGAAATTATTGAAATAATTCATTTCAATTTGATTAGATTGTTTATATAATTCAATAGTTTCTTTCATATTATTTATTAATAAATCTTTTTTATTCATAAATTGTTTGAAACAATTAGATAATATATCATTGATTATTATAGATTGACATTTTATACAAGTATTTTCTATCGATTTATTCAATGTCATTTGTATTGGATCGATTTTAATTTGTAATTGATTGAATAAATTATTGATTGATTGAATTAAATAATCATAAGAATCAATATTTTGTTTTAAACATATTGTTTGATATTCTTTTTTAATTAAATCAATATTATTTTGTCCTTCATGATAACATGTTAATATATGATTTAAATTATTGATTAATTGTGATAATTGAGTTAATTGACTAAATAAATCATTCGTTAATTGATTGATTTGTTGATGTAAATCATTTTGTAATGAGATAAAAAATTTTGAATGTTTTGTATAAGTTCTGATCAGATCATTTAATAGATTATTGATTTCATTTTCAATAATTGATAATTTAGATGATTGATTACGATTTGATGGTGATTCACATGATAATTCTATACCAAATTGATTACAAATTAATTTAATTTCATTCAAATTCAATTGATAAAATTGATAAAGTTGATCTAAATCATAATTAATCGATATTATTGATTCTTTATTTAAAATCAATAAAAATTGTTCATGATTGATATTTAAAAAATTTTTTAAATTTTTAATTAATTCATTTAATTTTATTAATTTTAATAAAATAGATTGAATATCATTAGAATCATTATGAAGTTTATTAAAAAATTGTTCCATTTCTTGTTGACATTGATTTAAATCATCATTTGGAATAGATTGAATGGATTGACTAAGATATTCAATATGCATAAATTGTGTTTTTAATTCTGATTGATTTGTAAGAAGATCCTTGAATTTGAACGAAAAGAGATGAAAATGAAATAATAAGAAAAAGTAGAAGTATGTATAGTGTTATATCCTAGTGAATATTACAATACGAGTAACGTCTGAGACCTATTAATGGACTAATATTATATATATATATATATATATTCTTATGGTATAGCTATTCAGTGATTAGATTATGTATATCTATATTCCTTACATTATGAGCTTCATTTTGATCTAAGGATTATTATTATACGATTTACCATTCTTGAGTTATGCCCTGCCTATTAATTACCATCTCCTTCATTCACTGCCATCTTTTGGCCAAATCTTGTACAAATGTTGTTTCCTATTTTATTTGTACGATATAGTCTGTTTGGTTGGTATATAAATGATTCGTATCTGCACTCAACAGGTAGGGCTAGGCAGGAAGCAGGACCGGTAAGGGCTGTAGACTGTGCGTACAGTTTTTATACGTTATTGGTCCGATCGATAAATCACTGTACTCTAACTGGTGGTATCATTAAGTTATACATTGATAGGGACGCAAACCCACAAGTTATAACACATTGTCAAGTAATGATTACTGAACTATTATTAAGTATTTGTAATTTTCTTTAAAAAATTTACTTATGGTTATAGTTAGACAAAATTGCATCCATCAGTGTTTTAACGTTTCTTACTTTCTCTCACTCTACAAAAAAAAAACGACAGTTCATAGTGGTTCCTGTTATATCCTAGTGAAGATTAAATTACGGGTAATTTCTGTGAACTATTAATGGACTAATATTATCTATATATATATTCTTATGGTATAAGTATTCAGTAATTAGATTATGTATATCTATATTCCTTTCATTATGAGCTTCATTTTGATCTAAGGATTATTATTATACTATTTACTGTTCTCAAGTTATGTTCAGTTTATTGATTACAGTCTCCTACAATCACATTCACTTTCTGGCTTGATCTTCTATAAATGTCATTACCTATTTTAAGGTGTGATGTGATCTCTTTGCCTGGTATATAAACCCAGTATGTTTGAAATAAATGATTCGTATATCGGAAGCTGTTATTGGCGTTCTGGACTTAACTGGACGGGCTAGGGGGACACTTACTTACGCCTGTTACACCTCGTGAAGCAGCATAGGCCGCTCACCAGCACTCTCCATCCAACACCGTCTTGGGCAATCCTTTCTAGCTCTTTCCAGTTCTCATTCATCCTTTTCATAACTGATTCTATTTCCCGACCTAATGTGTTCTTTGGACTTCCTCTATTCTGTTTCCCTTTACGATTCCAAGTTAGCCAATGCCCTGTGATGCAGTTCGATGGTTTGTGTAATGTATGTCTTATCCATTTCCAACGTCTTTTAATGATTGCCCCCTCATCTGGAACCTGGTTTACTCTCTCCCATAGAAGGCTGTTACTGATGATATCCGGCAAATGCATGTTGAGTATCTTCAGTAGACAACTATTTATAAATACTTGTACCTTCTTGATGGTGGTTGTGATAGTTCTGGAAGTTTCAGCACCGTACAGTAGAACTGACTGTGTTGACGTTTGTATTAAAGATTGATTGATATTGGTTGACAGACAGTTGTTTTGAGTTCTATTTGTTGTTCAATTGTATGAATGCAGCCTTTGCTTTTCCAATCCTCACCTTTACCTCTGCATCTGTTCCTTCTTGTTCATCGATGATGCTTCCCAAATATGTGAAGGATCCTACATCGTCCAGAGTTTCGCTATTAAGTGTGATTGGATTGGTGTTCTCCGTGTTGTATTTGAGGATCCAGATTTTCCCCTTGTGTATGTTGAGGCCTACTGATGCAGAGACTACTGCTACACTGGTTGTCTTCATCTGCATTTGTTCATGTGTATGCTATATGAGGGCTAGATCATCCGCGAAGTCTAAATCATCTAATTGGTTCTGAGCTGTTCATTGTATTCCGTGTTTTCCTTCAGATGTTGAGGTCTTCACAATCCAGTCGTCGACCACGAGAAGAGATAGGAAAGGAGAGAGTAGACAGCCTTGTGTGACCCCGGTCCTTACTTGGAATGCATCTGTCAGCTGTCCTCCATGCACGACCTTGCTTTGTAGTTCGTTGTATGAGTTACGAATAATGTTGACAATCTTCTCAGGAATTTCTTAGTGTCGAAGAAGTTTCCATAACGTCCTCTTATCTACACTGTCAAATGCCTTTTCATAATCAATGAAGTTGATGTACAGTGCTGAGTTCCACTCAACTGATTATTCAACGATGATCCGTGGTGTCGCAGGTGACCAATAAAGATCACAGACTGCTCATACCGGTTGAATATCATCGATTTGGCACAGTACTAAGATTGTATAAGTCGTATGTCGATTAATAGATAAATCATATGATAACTAGTCACAACATATAGATTTTAACAATCAAGGTTTATAAGACAGATGACTTCATACATCACCTAGAGACATTACAGTGTGAACTATATTTTCTATTTGTATAATAAATTCCTAAGCTATCTATTTTCATATCACATTATTATCTCAACGAGTTCTTTATGTGTTTTTTAGTTTATCCAGTTAACGACGTTATTATGTAATTGAGCAGCTTTTCTTTGGCCTAACACCTATCTTCATGTTAAATATCATCAAACTGAATTGAAAACAGTGGTTAATAAATTTTTGATTTGACTATTCTATAGCTTAATGAGGTGCTAAATGAGTAGAATCCATTCATATTATTTAAAATATTAATTACCTATCATATTCTATATAACATATGATATGATAAAGCAACGTAAATACAAAACTAATCTGAAAATTATTCATATAAATACAAGTATACATTATTTATACTAAATAACTTTTAATATACTTATGAATGATTACGAAAAAAAAAAAACAGAATAAGTCAAATTAGTTCGAGAGCAGTTTTGTGGATATTATAGTAATTGAATTTATGAGTCAGTGGTCTAGTGCTTATGCATTCGCGCATGAGATTGATAGGTCATGGGTTCGAATCTCGCAAGGCACGATTGTGGATGCGCATAAAACGGCCGTCCAATGCTTCTAGGTTTTCCATGATGGTGTAGCTTCAATTTACCCATGATTTCAACTATTGGGTTAAAATTAGTTCCAATATTTTATATTTCATACAATAAATTGTCCATTGTATTTATAAATTAAGTGGCAGAAGAGACAATTATTATTATCCTTAACGAGAGAAATTCATTTTATGAGAACAGAGAAACGATTCAAGAAAATGTAAGCTGTGAAATGACTTATACCTAAAACGACTTGTCTGCTTCAATCAAGTAATAAGTCCGATCAGCAGAATATGACATTAGGAATCATAGATTATTGTTAAATCATGTCAGTAATCTTTAGACGAATATGGCAATAGAACTAGACGAATCAAGTCTTAATCATCCATTAAATGCCCCAGAACAAATGAGGACAAGAAGAGTCCTCTCTCCCTCTCGAAATCCTCTCGTATAGACACACATATACAGCCACTGCCAGGGAAGTCCTACTCATTACCTTCTCTTGGCGGGAGTGTTGTTTACGAAATTGAGTGGATGAAAAGCGAATGTTCAGAACTTTAATCGGGGTGGTGGACAGAGAGGGTCCAAACCAATGAAGTAATTATTGTATGGTTCTCAGCTTTTACTAAGTAGTTCTGTAATTTTATATTCTCGTTCACTAAACGTCTAGCATGTTTTATAGTCATGAACTGATACAGAATAAAGTTGTATCATCCACTTATATGATCTATTTCTCATAGGAAATTGAAGGTCCTGGGCTCGATCCCTACTCTCGAGGAATCCTATGCTAGGATAAGATGACCGTCCAGTGCTTTAACACTTTCAGTAGTTTTCTACCTTTCATCAGTTTATGATTTCCATTAAATTAAACTATCTCTGCAATCCCGTAATGACAAACAAGAATCGTTTTCACAACTTATAAATTAACTCTTAGATGAACTTACTTCAATTTGCTTTTTCATATTCACATAAGACGCTTCTAATAGCTGACTATCACTTTCCATGTTCACATAACTAACTGTCTGTATTTCTAAGATTGAACTCCTCTGACGTTCGAAATTCTTAAGATTAAATCTAAAGTTTTCCACAGCTTGTTGAAAAGCATGAATTGATGTAGCTTGTATATTCATATCAGAAATCATTTTTTCCAAATTTTGTTTGAAAGTCTTGATTTTACCTTTCAAATTATCAATTCTTTGCAAAGATGAAGAATCTTTCAATGACTGAGCTTCAGGAAGTAGTTGTTCATCAATCTGTTGATTATGCGTATTTACATTACTAAGTAATTGATTGTAACGATCGGTTTCAGTTTGAATGTCCTGTAATAGTTCAGCAGTAGATTGAAAATTGTTTAAATGACTGTGATCTTGATTAATCTTGTTTTCAATGCCATTTAACCATTTCTCTTCAGCTTCAATATTACTGAGAAATTTAGATTGACGACTGATTTGAGCTTCGATCTATTTAGATGAAATAAATGATTGTAACGAATACTTGAAATTGAATAATACTTTAGAATTTTTATTTATAAACCTGAGAAGTATCAATAAATGTAGTGCATAAGCACAATAATATTATGAATAAAACACGACTTGAGTTGACTTATGTGTTATAAGTCAATAAGTCAATCAAACTAAACGTGAATATGGTACAGATGTATTTCGAATCAAGTTGTCAAATATATCACATTTACACAGCTAAATGACAGTAATAAGTGTCATTTAGAATGTCATTCAACCACTGATTGTAATTATTACACGCTCCTGTATCAGCGATTAATATCCAAATATATTTCTCCGATCAATATTCAACTGCTTTTATATTCCTGTGTGATAAACTCTGACTTTCTTCTAATCTACTCTTAAACTAGGTAGTTGTTATGCATTCAAATGTGTAGTGATAGAAAATCAGAGAAGCACATCCCAATCAGCGTAGTCAAAAAAGATTCAAAGCATCATTGAAATATTTTTTATAATATCAGTGTCTAAATACAAAAAGATTTGATTTCACATTTGTTATATCAATAACTTACTTATTTACGCCTGTTACTCCTAATGGAGCATGGGCCAACAAACAGATTTCTCAAAACCACACTGTCCTACTCCTTCCTTTCCAATTCTATACAATTATTCCTCATCCATCTCATATCTCTCTCCATCTCTCAAAGTTATGTGTTCTCTAGTCTTCCTCACCTCATTTGACATTGAGAATAACATGTGAGGGATTGATCTATGGCACACTCGGCTGCTTTCCTCAATGCGTGTCCTATCCACTTCCAGCGAATCTTCCTGATGTCTCCTTCCTTCCTTCCTTCCTTCCTTCCTCGAATCTCGTTCGTTCTCTCCCACAGTACATTGTTGCTGATGGTGTTTGGTCAACCGATCCAAAGTATTTTACATAGACAACTGTTAATAAACACTTGTATCTCCTCGATGATGGCTTTCGTAATTCTCCAACTTTCCACCCCATACAGTAGAACTGTCTTCACATTTGTATTTAGAATTCTGAATTTGTGTTGGTTGATAGTTGTTTTGAGATTCAGATGTTGTTCAGTTGTAGATATGCTGTTCTTGCTTTACCGATCCATACATTCACATCTTCACCAGATCCACCATTTTCATGAATGATGCTGGCCAGATATGTAAAGGTTTATATATGTTTTAAAGCTTCTCCTTCAAGTGTGATTGGATTGGTGCATGTTTTGTTGTATCGTATAATCTTGCTGTTCGCTTTGTTTATATTGAGACCTACCGCTAATTATTATTATTATTATTATTATTATTATTATTATTATTATTAGTAGTAGTAGTAGTAGTAGTAGTAGTATTGTCAATAAACAGTTAATTATATTTAAATTTGTTGCAGTTAATTTAATGACTTACTTACGCCTGTTACTCCTCTTGGAGGAGCATAGGCCACTCACAAACACTCTCCATCCAATCCTGTTCTGAGCAATCCTTTCTAGCTCCTTCCAGTTCCTATTCATCCTTTTCATATATGCTTCTATTTCTCGACGTAATGTGTTCTTTGGTCTTCCACTTTTTCGTTTCCCTTCAACATTCCAAGTTAGGGCTTGCCTCGTGATGCAGTTTGATGATTTACGTAATGTATTTCCTATCCATTTCCATTGTCTTTTCCTAATTTCCTATTCAACTGGAAGCTGGTTTGTTCTCTTCCACAGAAGGCTGTTGCTGATGGTATCCGGCTAATGGATGTTGAGTATCTTAGACAACTGTTTATAAATAATTGTTCTTGCTTGATGCTACTTGTAGTAGTTCTGGAAGTTTCCGCACCGTACAGTAGAACTGACTGTGTTGACGTTCGTATTGAAGATTGTGACTTTGATATTGGTTGATAGACATTGTTTTTAGTTCTATATGTGGTTTGTTCAATTGTAGGAATGCACTCCTTGCTTTACCGATTCTCACCTTTACCTCTGCATCTGTTCCTTCTTGTTCATCGATGATGGTTTCCATATATGTTAAGGATTCTTTATCATCCGGTGTTTCGCCATCAAGAATGATTGTATCGGTGTTCTCCATGTTATAGTTGAGGATCGTGATTTTCACTTGGTGTATGTTGAACCTTACTGAGTCAAAGACTCAGCCAATTTACAGGAGAGAAAACAACAACAACAACAACAATAATAACAACAATACATTACACAACTAATACATTACCTCTTTTAATTCTTTATCATTTTCATTAGTAATATTATTTAATTCTAATTGAAATTTAGATAATTCTTTACGTGCTAATATAATCATAGATGTATTATCATAATTATCATTGAAATCAATGAGATGTTGAATTTCATTTTGACATTGTATTAATTGTATATTCCCTTCTTTATTTAGTAATGTAGCAAAATTCATTAAATATTGATGTTTCACTTGTAATTGATTTAATATATTCATTTGATTAAATTCATTATTATTATTATTATTATCAATTAAATTATTGATTGTTTCATTATGTTCATGATAACATTGATATAACCATTGATAAGACGATTCTAATTGTATTGAAAATGAATTAATATTCTTTAATTGTTCTTCTGCTATATTGTATACTTTCTATTTTTTTTTTTGAAAAAAGAAAGATAATAATTTAACATGGATCAGAAAAGGATTTTGTAAAGATAGTTTAGATTATGAGTTCATTGAAACTAGATCACTATGAGAAATTCGCCTGAAGTCTCTCTGGGGCTACTGCTGGTTCGAATAGGAGGGTTGAGTATGGGGTTAGCAATTTCTATCCTGTAGAAAACTAATCCGCTAAAAAAAGCTAACCTGATCACTATGGAAAACTTGAAAACGTTGGACGGTAGCTTTGTCTTATTGTAAAACTCGTCATCAGTGAGTATCTATGATCTTGTCTTGTGAGATTCGAACCTAAGACCTGTCAGTCTCGTGCACTAACACTTATCCACTAGACCAATGAGCTGGTTAGCATCCAACGGTGTTCATGCCTAACTTCAACTAATCCACGTAATTGAGCGATGCATCAATTATTGTCTTCAGTGAGTTGCAATCTCATAATAGACCCGGTTGAACTCTACTGGTTACTGTTTTCCAATAAAACTTCAATAAATACCTTCTGGAGACCGTCCCTAGTGAGTATATGTTGATTAGTATTAGAACAGGTTTTGTCGTGATTGTGGTAATTTCAATAGTTGAAATGCCAGCTCAGTGGTTAAGCGATCGCGTGCGAGATTGATAGGGTCTGGGTTTGAATCTCGCGGGGGGCGGTATCGTGGATGCGCACTGCTGAAAAGTCACAGTGCTTTCAGGTTTTCCATTGTAGTCTAGCTTAAATTAACTGGTGATCTCAACTATCGAAATTTAACATGTCTAATAATTATAAAAGTTATTTAAAACGTAGAGATTTTAAAAAATGGTTTGAATTATTTTTTTCTGGTTAGCGTGTGTAATGGCTGCTTCAGTAGCAGTAGGTCTCAATATAAACAAAGCGAACAGCAAGATTATACGACACAACACAACATGCACCAATCCAATCACACTTGAAGGAGAAGCTTTAAAACATATATAAACCTTTACATATCTGGCCAGCATCATTCATGAAAATGGTGGATCTGGTGAAGATGTGAATGTATGGATCGGTAAAGCAAGAACAGCATATCTACAACTGAACAACATATGAATCTCAAAACAACTATCAACCAACACCAAATTAAGAATTCTAAATACAAATGTGAAGACAGTTCTACTGTATGGGGTGGAAAGTTGGAGAATTATGAAAGCCATCATCGAGAAGATACAAGTGTTTATTAACAGTTGTCTATGTAAAATACTTTGGATCGGTTGACTAAACACTATCAGCAACAATGTACTGTGGGAGAGAACGAACGAGATTCGAGGAAGGAAGGAAGGAAGGAAGGAAGGAGTGAGAAATCAGGAAGATTCTCTGGAAGTGGATAGGACACACATTGAGGAAAGCAGCCGAGTGTGTCATAAATCAATCCCTCACATGTTATCCTCAATGTCAAATGAGGTGAGGAAACTAGAGAACACATAACTTTGAGAGATGGAGAGAGATATGAGATGGATGAGGAATAATTGTATAGAACTGTAAAGGAAGGAGTAGGACAGTGTGGTTTTGAGAAATCTGTTTGTTGGCCCATGCTCCATTCGGAGTAACAGGCGTAAGTAAGTAAGATTTTTAAAAAAATCATGTTTGGCAGCATATATCCTGAAGCGAAACGGAAAAGTGGAAGGCCAAAGAGCACGCTACGTCAGGAATTGGAAGTAGACATGAAAAGAATGAATAACGATTGGAAAGAACTGGAAAGGACTGCTCAGGACATGGTTGGATAGAGAGTGCTGTTGAGTGACCTATTCTCATCCACGAGAGGTGACAGGCGTAAGTAAGTAATAAATTCATATCTTAATAGAATAATGATATGAGTGGACATACTTTTCTTTATTATTTTTAGTTAACTTGTGACATTCTATTATCAGCTAATATATAATTCTGCTAAGCATTTTAAAGATTAACCAATTTTCGACGTTTGCATGGTGAACCATAAAAGCCTTATATTAATCTACAGGTGATTTGAACTATGGATATTTCATTTGAATTCCTAAAAGTATGAAACCTTTATACAGGTAGGTAGCTATAGTAAAGTAGGATGACGAGATCCATTAATTTATTTCTGTTCCTTTTAAACGTTATAATAATGCCATATGAAGATTGAGAAAACGATAAGCATAGTAACATTTACTTATTTTAAAGACAGTCGTGTTTTTTACGAACTCCTATTTTCAACGATATAGTTTAATTCAGAATAATAAGAAAATCATGATGGTTTGATTAAATGTACTATTAACTGATACGATCATTTGCTAATGAGCAGCAGATCTGTGCAGCTGTACAAAACTTGTTCTCTATCTGTTATGTCCGTTAACTTGAATGCAACTACTGATTCGTCTTACTCGGAACGGAACGAAGAATCAAGGATTCATAGACTCGATAGGCTATACTAATCCGTTGTCCCCGATTCAGCTAACTCGATCCAGAAGTCTTAGTAAGATGCAGAGTGTATTCTACAGACAACCAGAAGATACCAGGTCTCTCAAGCACACAATCAAGCGTATTTATACAAAATATATATAATCGATATTGCCATGGAAGTTTTTTAACATTTAATCGATAAGTTCGTCAATCGACTATGTGCGTGGGTGGTAAGAAATGCCCAAGCATACATCTGCATACAAGCTCCACAAAGATAAAATTACAAATTATGAGTTTTGGGGATCTAACGTCCCCAACACTATCCTTTTCTTTACAAGTTTGAACTATGTGGTAAATATGACATGACTTCACGATAGTCATAGAACATAACACCTAGTTTAACCAAAATCAGTTGACTCTAGATACATATCGAAATTATATTACTCAGATAAGTCTATCTGATATAACTAAATACGCTTTTTATCACCTTGATTTTAAATAACTGTGATCTGATTTGGAATGCCTTTTAAACAATGATTATATGACTTATTTGACAAGTACATATTTATATGCCCAACTTTGAGCCACACAGATTCCTTAGAATCATCTGTTAAACTTCAAACTGTTTCGATTCATACTTTCCATTTGCCTCTAGTTATCAACCCTGAATTTTTACTGAAACTGTGTGCTTAAATGATATTTCCGATGAGCTATCTCCGTAGATTTTTGTTTTTCGGAAAATGATACCATTATTAACGATTTGCAGCACAGCATGAATGATAGGAGTCAAGTCTTCAGAATCAATAACAGGTATCTGATCACTAAAGCCTAACTTCTAGATGCATTTCTTTTTATTCATTTAGAAAACAATGATTATTGTATGAAAAATTGTTGGAAATAAGTTAGTTATTTGCCAGTAAAAATTAGACGCAAATCATGACCAATTACAACACAATGTCACTGAGCCCTAGCCAAATCATTCGGCAGTTAGGTTACTGAATATCGAACAAATCATCGATCCTCGTCAAGGTCAAGGACAACCAACACGCATTAGTTAGTCTTATGCCATGGACTGGTGCATGTGGTGGTGGTCTCGCTATCTTCTCTGTATTCATGCTTACTAATACATTTTCATTGTAACGTCTTTTGTGTTATATGGTCTTCAAAGCAGCCATGGTACTTTGATACGCCAAACGGTTAATTCAAGTTAGATGCTGATCGCGGGGTTTGATTTCGAAGTTATCTTTTCCTTCATATCACTTCCGTCTAACTTGAGTAGACCTCCAATCATTCGACACAGATCATCTACATTGGTGGTCTACATTGTCGTGTAAAAATGTCTTAACAAGTATATGTGTGATCAGATTGTTCAAAATGTATTGTCAGTATAGGGTTGTGGAGATTATTAAGTTAATGTTAATGTCTAACCTCAACCAAACCACGAGCGGCACACCGGCTCAATGGTCAAGTAGGTTAAGCACTCTTGCGCGAGACTGAAGGCTCTGGGTTCGAATCCCACGGGGCGGGATTGTGGATGCGCACTGCTGAGGAGCCCCACAATTGGATGAAACGTCCGTCCAATGCTTCCATATTTTCAATGGTGTTCTAATATCAATCGGTTCAAGATCTCAGTCAAAATGTATCTCACAATTATGTTGCATAATTCTGATAAACTTTATCTTCTCATTGCCCTATCGAAATTTATCAAAGGAACTAATTGTTTTAAACATATACAATATATGTATAGGATTATTTAAATCTATCTCTTTCAAAATCTATACTACTGATATTGTTTTGAAAGTAGACAAATCTTCCCGCACCATATAATGTGATTTTTCTTGACAAAACTCACTAAAAATAAATAAAAGTAACCAGGGATATTCTACTGAACCATTCAGTAAATAATCTTTACAATATTGACAGTGAAGATTTATCTTCAACACGAAAGTTATTCATAGATAATCAGTTGTTAGGCTATTTCAATAAACCAGTATTTATGAAAATAAAGAAAAAAAGAAACACAACAAAAATCACCTTACTTTAGTATCAGTTTCTAAATGTTTCATTCTTTTGTACATCATTCCTACTAAATCAATAGTGGTGATGCAGTTTCAAAAACAGAATCAACATCATCTCGTTCAGGTTTTAGATTATGTTTTTGAGAATATTTTTTGATGCTTTCAAGTAAATTCTATAAAAAGAAAATAAAAGGAAAATAAATTACATATATCGATTGTGAATAATAATCATATTCAGAATAAAAATAGGCTCAATTCAACTCAACCCTTTCTTTATTCACTTATATCTACAAAGACTGAAGAAAATTCCGTACCTATGGTCAACAATGAGATATCCTTCAAATCTGTCCACGTAAGATACTCTATGTAGGTTAGTCAGATACCATTAGCAATAGTCTACTGTGGGAGAGAACAAATCAGCTTGCACTTGAAGAGGAAATTAGAAAAAGATGTTGGAAGTGGATAGAATATAGATTGTGAAAATCACCAACTCCATCACGAGGCAAGCACGAATATGGAAACAGAAAAGATGAAGATCAAGGAATATATAGCAGCGAGAATTGGAAGCAGACATCGAAAGAATGAATAGTTACTTGAAGCAACCGGAAAGGATTGTCGAGGACAGGGTTAGATGGAGAATGTTGGTGGTTGGCCTATACTCCTCCACGACGTGAGGTAACAAGCATAAGGAGGTAAGCTTCTAAATAATTAATTCATAACATATAGGATCAGCGTCCTGCCAGTCTTGTACTTTACACTTCGAAGGTGCAAAGCACATATCATACCTACGGACACTAATCGGCAACTGATTAAGTGCTCATTACATGGCTTGGGTATTATTACACAGTTTCAGTGAAAACCTATGTATTACTCATATCAATAAATCATTTGCTCAACTACTGTATTTCAAGGCGATAAGTAACTATATTCATGGAATATGTATTATGGACACATTCTCATATGATAATAACCTATCCGGAACTCTTTTACAGAAATCTAAACATGTTCAGCATAACCATAATCAACAAGAGTGACAATTTCAGATTTTACCATTTAGTTACTTTAAAGACATTTGGTCTATTATAAGAATAAAATGTTTATATTGATGAATATTACTGGATAATAATCAATGTCATACATGTTTAATTCTTATATAAGTTACATAAATGTAGTATTCTACTATATTATTGAACAATGAGAATATATATGGTCTTCATCCCTATAAATGTAACAAATTGTTGCATAATCCAAATGGTCTAGACAATTGGTATTGTAAATAAACGTAAGATTGTGATTGAGTTATTTTGTAAATTCATTAGAACTTACATTTTACATTCTATGTAGTTGAGACGTATATAATTAAGACAAAAATTTCGATAATGTAATAAGAAAATGAAGATTATCAGAACTATGTGATGATATATTGGCGTAATACATTTCGAACAATCTGATCATACATAGTATACTTGTTTAAAACGTTAATATATAAAAAGATAAAAGGTCAGCTAGACTGAAAATGGGGTAAGAGGAGAAAAGGATAATAATAAGAGACTGATAGGTCCTGGGTTCGAATTCTACGAGCGGGATCGTGGATGCGCACTGCTGAGATGTCCCATACTAGGACGAAACGGTCGTCCAGTGCTTCCAGGTTATCTATTGTGATATTTGACAAAGGCTAAAATAAGGTATGTGTTATTCAATTTGACAATATTATATGCTTAAAATGGTGAACGTTTGCATCGGTTACGACATTTATCCTTCATAATTGTGTTATTTGTAAATTATAAAGGTCATTGAATGCTTTGGAGTAAAGTGTCCAGTCACAATTAGTAGAATAGTATTATAGGAAAAATGAAAATGCAACAAAATTGTGTGAATAAAATGTATAGCGGGAGAATTTCATATTGTCAATTGATATAAGGTCAAGATAAACATAGAGTATGGATATACCTTTTTTGGATACATAAGTTTGGTTTTCTGGAGTTGATCCAGATGGCTTCGGTTAGGTAGAGTAACCGCAATCTAGCTCCTTGAGGTAAATATTTTGCTTACGACTAGATCACCGAATACCTAGACTGAATATTATAAACCTTTTATCCCCTTCCTTTTTTTCCTCCTTATTGTTATTATTTTTTGATGACCTCTATCTTAATCTTCACATCCATCATTCGCGATTCGTTTATCGTAATTACCTTGATAACACCCCCCTTATTACATATTGTATTCACACAACAATATTGTATGTACACTTACGTTATATATACGACTATTTATTCCTTTAACGTCAAACATGAAATATCCAAACATTACAAAAATATCCATTTTTGACAAGCATTTGAAACATTGTTCTCATTCTTTTATAAGCTAAGATGGATAGTTGCTAGCAGTGGAATCCACGACGCGCGTTTCTTCATATTTGGGACTCGTCAGCTGCATTCACCTGCATCTCAGAGTTGATGTTCACTCTGAGGTTCGAAGCCAGTACTAATCGTTTCAAACGCCATCGTGTTATCCACTTAGCTACTGAGTCCTAATAGCCACTTGTTTGTCCAATGGGGTGAATTTAAATTCACTTGGTATTGTTTTGCTTGTATCTTCCCATTAAGCTTTAAGACTGCAATTGATCAGTCTGTTATTGGCATATTTGTATACTGTGCGTATTTTTCGATATTGCCTTAATTTACAAGCTTTTATGAGCAAAGATGGATAGTGGCTAGTAGTGGAGGCATACGCACAGTATGCGCATATACCAATAACAGACTTATCAATTGCAGTCTTAAACCTCGTTGGGAAGATACAAACAAAACAATACCAAGTGAATTGTTTGTATTCAATGCAAATTAACAGGTTTACATCTCACCAAATAAATATTTAGGTCAATTGTACCGCTGAATGAGATTAAGGTCAAATTTTAAATGTACTTTTGTTAGACAGGTTAGTGTATAATCTAATGTATCATCTAATATTAGATGATATGTATATATTCTATAAACCGTAAAAAATGTATTACTAATACGTGAACGATAGTCACAATATTATTATTAATCTCAAATTATTATATAGATTTTAATCACTATGGCTTAATGATATGTAATCAGGGTTTGTTCAATTTACCTATTACATTGAGAAATACTTTTATTGAACTGAATTCAGCGACAAAAGTTGCGTCTTAAGAAAGATTTACGAATACATGAGCGATAATCACATTATTATTATTATTAATCTGTAATTAAATTTTGATAGCTTAATCACTATAGTTCGATTTTAATTCATCACTTGACATTTCCCATGGAAACAAGAAATTGAAACTAAAGAATTTTAATCAAATTGTAGGTGGCCCTAAAAAGGGCCTTTTACTCGATCTCTTAAGAGTTCAGATTTTCTTGAACAAAGGGGTTACTATGAATCCATAATAGCGCAGAACATGGTACAGTGGATTCTATGGAAGTGTTGTAATGGGTCGTAAGCACAAAATGAATGGAACATTACTTCCCATGGACAAGAAATCCAAGCATTTCCTTTAACGCTTTCACTAGGCGGCTGCATAAAATTGCAAATATCACAGTCTGTTGTCATAGGCATGTTCGTCATTGTCTGGTTCAGTGAACTCTTCTGAGTTAATAGAAACAATCTCTTTTTCTTTATTCCTTAACGCAGCATCCAAATCGACGTTAAATTCATAGTTGGTAACTACTGTCTGTTGGATCAACGGCATTGCAACAGCTGTAGAAGTGGAAGCCTCAATTTGAAACTGTGTTGGAGGCATCCTACCGTAAATAACTTGATACACATTGTTATACACTAAACTACACTGTTCTTCAGACATATGCCTTAATAAGGAAAGACAAGATTCTTTGGCGCTTGTTTGTCCCACTCTTTCAAATCCAGCCTCCGTTAACGTATGCATCCAAGGAATTCTGTTGTACCTCAGGGAATTGCACTCGTGATTGTGATGCACATTCCCACGAACAACAGTCCAGTAACCTTCAATAAACTTACAAAAGATAAAGGCCGGACAATGAGTGTTCATGGAAGTCCTTCATGAAAAATATAATAACACTAATCAAATTACCTCCTTCGTCTAATCCGCTGTGAGGAACCGCTAGATCTTATACGGCCATTTCTCCAACATACAAATCTAATATACGATTTCTGATCTCTGTGGAAATGAGAATCTCTCACCACATAATGGCAGTAAGTAGATCTTTCATAAGTTTTGATGGCGCACTTCAACGCTTCAATTGATTGAAATGCTACGAGATACAATGTATTCAAGAATACGTTCTCCGTTTCTGTGACAACGTGAGAAACCACAGAGCTTGTACTTTGCACGTTACTATCGTCCATAATTTGAAGAAAAATGTGATCGATCGACTAATACTAACATTTTATATTAATTTTGAGAAATAACTGACCAATTATAACGAATTTTTAAAACTAGCCATTTAATTGGAGCCAATAGAATGAGAAATATTTGGAAAAAATGGGATGAAAAAATATACTACAGTGAGTTTAATGCTATTCAATCTGAACAATGTTCGTTTTTAATCCAATTTTGTTGTTGTTATATCAAAGGTACTTTAAATGTATTCATCATCCAGTGGTACGACTAGTAAATGAATGAAGATCCATACATCTTAGATAAATGTCGATAATGCAATAAGAAGACGAAGTTTATCAGAATTATGTCATATATATTTGCGCAATATATTTCGAACAATCTGATCACACATTACATACTTGTTAAGAACATTTATATATGAAAATTATAAGGTCAACTAGACAGATTAAAGGGAGGCCGTAACAAAGAAAAACAATAATATAGTACACAAAAACAATGTGACAAACACTCTGGATAATAAATTAGTGTTACCAGGGTAGATTAAGGGTAAGAACAAATAGTTTTTGAACGCATAAAGGGGTTTCAGTTTCCGTATAGTCATGGCTTCAATAAGCCTTAGTATACGCCCTTGAAGGCTTTTGTACAAAACTACAAAGGCTGACTTGATGTCAACCTTATGACCAGTCTCAACCAAATGTTTCGCAATGAGAGGAGATGTCTATTTATTCTGTGATCTTATTTGACCATTGCAATTCATTTGTTTCTGCAGCCATTTGAGCATGTGATCCGCCACCCTTACTTACAGATCACATAATTTTGATAAACTTCGTCTTCTCATTGCATCATCGCAATATAGAATTCTTAGCACACAATTTTCCAACAAACGTCTCTTACTCTTCTATACACAACCACATTCTTAATGATTCATTATATATCTTACTAAGTGTTTTAAAAACACTTTCCGCAATGCAATAAGTTCTTTTCTTAGAAATCGAGGAAAAATAGTGTGGTGCAGTAAGGGTTAAATGGTACTACTCTAGAGTTTAGAATTCATAAAAGTTAGTGTTCAACAGTCCTTTAAAGCATTTAGACTCTCCATATAAGAAGTTAGACATAAGTCCATCTTCAAAATTTTTAAAAGATTAGATCATAAGAGATTAGAGGTAAAACGTACGTCAAGGTAAATGACGTTATAAATAATAATAATTATTATTATGTTAATAATTATAAGCAGAGATGGATCGTGGCTACCAGTGTCACTCAGAAGGCGCGTTTCACCCTATATAAAAACTCGTTAGATGAATCTACCTGGCTCCAACAGTTGATGTTCACTCTGGGACTCGAAACCAGTACTGTAAACTTTGAACGCCATCGAGTTATCCACTTAGCTACTGAGGCCTGATAACCACCAGCATGTGTAGTATGGTGAAATTTTAATTCATTCTATACTATTTGTTTGTATCTTCTGATTGATGCTTAGTACTACAATTTTCAGTCTCTTATTGGCATATGCGCGTCCTGTGTGGATTGCCTCGATATTACTTTAAATCACAAGTATTTTAAGCTGAGGTAGATGATAGCTAGCAGCCCAGAGACTGATCAATTACTGTTTTCAACATCAATGGGACATTTCAATACAAAATGAATTAATATTAATAATTATGATAATACTAGTTGAAATCATGAGTCAATTGAAGCTAGACCACTATGGAAAACTTGGAAGCACTAAACGGCCGTTTCGTCCTAGTATTGGACTCCTCACCAGTGCGCACCCACAATCACGTCTCGCTGGATTCGGACCCAGGAACTTTAAGTTTGTCGTTTCTTTTTCTCATATCTGACAATTGGACTATAATCTGATCCATAAACTATTTTCTTCCTTAACTCTTGATTAGTACGTAACCTCATTTAATATTTAGTCTCGAATTACTTTTATGATGCCATCCAATGCTTCCAGATTTTCCATAGTGGTCTAGTTTCAATTGACTCATGATTTGAACTAATGAAATTTCTATCTGTTTCAATCTGTGAAAATTTCTAAAATCTCCACAAACCCCTTCTGATAATAATCATCTGCTCACTAGTGACTGACTTCAAGAGATACTCCTGGAGTTCTAGTGGGAAGCCGTTACCAGTGGAGTTCAACCAGGTCTGTTGTGAAACATCAGCTCACTGAAGACAATGGTATATGGTGGCGCAACTTCGTGGATTGGTTGAAGTTAGACATTAACACCATTGGATGCCGGCTCAGTGGTCTAATGGTTAAGTGCTCGCGCGCGGGAGCAGCAGGTCCTGGTTTCGGGTCCCGCGGGGTGCGGGATCGTGGACGCGCGCTGCTGAGGAGTCCCATACTAGGACGAAACGACCGTCCACTGCTTCCAGGTTTTCAATGGTGGTCTAGCTTCAACTGACTCATGATTTCAATCTGTGAAAATTTCTAAAATCTCCACGAACCCATTCTGATAATTATAATAATAACTTTTAATAATATATCACTAACAGATTATAATTTCATCTACATACTTTACATTCATCTACCCATTGTTGATGAGATTTTAATTGTTCTGATATACTATCTACTGTATCACATGATTGTGTCGGTGGTCCAGTTGATAAAGCAGTTAAACGTCTTTCTTGATTGATTAACCATTGATCGGTTTGTTTTGCTTTTTCTTCAATTTCATATAGATTTGTTAATGATTTATTTAATTGAATATCTAATTGTTGCATTTCATTATCAATTTCTGTACAATGTTCATTTAGATCACTTTTCTGAATGAATGAATGAATAATATAAAAATACAAATTTTTGAGCATATTTAAAGTAAAGATATAAAATCTTATATACATCAATGTGTATCTACTATATTTATTTGCTTATGTGGGTCACGTTACATAGGCCACATAAAGAGATCACTGTACAAACGCATCACAAGGAAATGTTCTTTCACCCCTTTTTTCTGTATGATCTGACATCTTCTACAGGAAACACTTTTATGAAATATGCGGATGATCTCACTGTATGTATGCCTATCTCTATCTCTTTACATTCCATAGAAATGAACGAGTTTTTGTCTCGTATTGATAGTTGGTCTGTTGTTAATGGTCTTATACTTAATCCGTCTAAATGTCAAGCTGTAAACTTTAGCATGAGATATGAACGGCATCTAAACTCTACTTGGGGATCCCATGATGCTTGGGCCATTGGAGGCTCTTTGATAAACACAGTGTCGAAGGTCAATTATCTTAGTGTTACCTTTTCCTCTGATCTTTCTTCGTCTTCTCACGTTTTATTGTTATCGAAGAAGGTTTTCCGTCTGACTTACTACATAAAGTGATTGCATGCTCTTGGGATTACTCGTCATTTACTTTTACAATTTGTCAATTGTTGCATATTAACTATTATTCTTTACTGTTCTCCATTATTCTTTTCCGGGCTTTTGAGGAAAGACTTTGATGTATTACGGAGAGTGCTGAAGGCAGTTAGCAAGGTGTGTGGTGAATCTTTCGAGGTCATAATTAATATGGTTGTGGATAGACATTTAAAGTCTGACAAACTCCTGTCAGGTGTTATTTTATCAGATACTAACCATCCCCTTCACCCATATGCTTCTCCTTGGATATCTTCTGGTAGAACGAGATGTCAATACATTAAAATCCATTCACTCAAGCAAAAGTATAAAAGTTCTATAATACATTACCTAGCAAATATACTCTGAGACCAACAGATTGTTAGAGTTGACCTAGTAAATAACCAGTATTCTTAAACGTGTCTCTAATCTTTGTTTTCACCTTCTTCTTTTTTGTTGTTTTTATAAGAGAAACTTGTTGAAATACCTTGTGCTGAGAATTCTATATTGTACCAAAAATATAGTACTGAGTAATAATAATAATAATAATAATAATAATAATAATTTTGGAACACTATCCCGTTTGGCTTTTAAAAGGAGAATGTAAAACAATTACTAGTTCTACACATGAGCATTTAATCAATTGTGAACACATCACTCCAAAAGATTCTTCTTTAAAAGAAATCTACAGAGTCAAAGGAACTGGATTTAATGGGCATCGAATCAATGTTTTATGCACTGCTGAAGTAATGACAATCCACGAACTCAATCCTGAACTTTGCGTGCAGAAAAGATTCGTCCAACCTCTCATTGTTTTTTGGCCTAATTCCCTTAATGGGCATGTTTCGGGTTTTTTCTGCATGTTTTTCTGCACTTTTATTTGATTATTATTGAATTTCTTTAGTTTTTTAAACTATTGTTTTACATATTTACACTCTAATCAGTTATTATTACTACCCTATACAAGTTTTCTTGATTATTATTCAGTTTCAGAAGGGTTTATGTGGAGATTTTAGTAATTTCAATAGTTGAGATCATGAGTCAATTGAAGCTAGACCACTATGGAAAACCTGGAAGCACTGGACGGCTGTTTCGTCCTATTGTTGGACTCTTCAGTTGTGCGCATCCATGATCCCGCCTTTTGTGTTTGTCACTTTCCTTCATATCTGTCAATTGGACTATTATCTGACCCATAAAATATTTTCTTCCTTAACCCTTGATTAGTACGTAACCTCATTTGCTATTTAGTTTTGAATCCATTTTTGTGATGCAATCATTTCTATTCTCCTATATACATGTATTTTCCATATAACTATATATAAGAATGTACAGCTTAAATAAATGAATTTCATACACATAATTCCCTTTATTATCTTAAAGAGAGCAAGAACAAAGACTGATGCAGAATAATAAATGGATTCATTTTATTTCGTTAGGTTCTCATCAGCTGCTTACAACCTAAAATATTTGAAAATCGAAGTTATTACAGATATTGACATACTTATACATAAGAGGGTGATTATGGATGCACATATGTATCATGATGTAGCGAAGATTTCGATAGAGTTAAAGAAGTCGTAAAATGTTTGTTTCGAACAAATAAAAGTTCCAGAACATTGAAATAGTGACTAGAACTCACGGAATAAAAAACACATTAGATTATTATGTAATGAAGTAACTGAAAATAGATTAATGGTAATAAAGAGAGATATGAATTGAAATTGGTCAGTTATGAATGATGTAATTATAAAATTCAGGAAGAGTTGGAATAGTGAATGACGTAATAAATAAATGAAAGGGGGGGGGTAATGTTACCAGGGCAAAGAAAGATTTATTACTGTCTCTTTTTGTATACATAGATCTGGTTTTAGATTTTCATTGGTATATAGGGTTTGTCGAAATTATTGAATTTTCATATTTCCTATCAGAAGCTGATCTAAATTAGACAACTATTTAAAACCAAGTATCACAGAACAAGTGTTTCGTCCTAGTATTGAGCCGGAGATTGGACCCAGGACCTACAGATCTAACGACGAGCTTTTAACCTTTATACCACTGACTCTCAACAATCAGTGTAAGTGTTTGACTCCAAATGATTGATGGAATGACGCTAACATATTTCATTGTCTAGAGTGAACGATTTATCAATAGAACTCATGGAGTCACATCTCAATATTAGTCCTGGACTCAACTCACGGTTATTCTTTTGCTACATAGTCCATAGACATCTGGATCACCAAAATACAATTGGTATCATTGGTTAGTATCAGATGAAGATTCGTTGAAAACCGGGTGAAGTTTAACTGCTATTTTTCATCATGATCTAATAATAGTGGATATTTATTATAGTACATAAAACTAAACCTAGTACTTTAAGGTTTCATGTCAAAAGGTTAAAATTTCAGTAACACTACTTATCAGTTATTTTTATAAACTGATATACCACTTCTAGCCACTATCCATCTTTGCTTAGAAAGCTTGTGACTTAAGTCTATATCGAGGCAATCCGCACAGCATGCACATATGCCAACATGAGACTGATCAATTTCAGTCCTAAATAACAATGTGCAGATACAAGTAAAACAACACCAAGTGAATGTAATAGTTAGTTTTCAATTTCACCTATATATCTCTTTAATTTCTTACTCAATCTTAGTAGTAAATAAGGACTTGACACACATGACATTGATCACCACCCAGTGATCAATCAATTGTGATTACATCTCAGTTACAGGAGCTCAGTGGTAACGTCTCTGACTGTGAAGCTGGATGACATGGGATCGAACCCTCCAGGGAGCACCAGTTCCCTCAAGATTACAGGTACACTTTGCTGACGAGTGCTAAGTTGCACGAAATCCGGGTCCAGGGTTTCCTGTCGACTACCTTCAACCACCATCTAATCTAAGTAGTATATTAGATAAACTAATTAAATATTATCAATAGTAACAATATATAACCTGAGGTGTTTGTTGTTGTTGTTGTTGTGTAGTTGAACTACATGCCCTAGTTATCAATTTTATATTTCTTTATGGATGTACTTTAAAAGAATTAAAAAATTAGTGGACAACATTTAAATACTTTAACGGAAGGGCGTTTTACTAAATGACTCATTTATTAGAATCTACATTTGTACAATTGAGTTATAGAATGTTAAGTATTAATAAGTGTACTTGAAAATATTATAACATTAGTATTCTGAATTCTTGTAAATAGAAATAGGCAACGCCTAAATCATGTCTTACAATAAGACAAAATGGTCATCCAGTACTTCCAGGTTTTCCATAGTGGTCTAACATCAAATGACTCATGATTCCAACCATTGAAATATATATTAGTTTGTCTTATGTTAATATTATGTTTATGACAATATTTAATACGTTTATTCAATACCTATGAAAGGACATTATAGAGTATAGTTGTAAGAGAAGAGAATTATGATGACCATAAAGTTCAAATGACTAGTAAAGATAATTGTTTGTATTTCACTTGATATTGTTTACCCCATTGCACAAGCTAGTGGATAGTGTGATGATGTTTGAAGCGAACATTACTGGGTTCGAGTTCTAGAGTGAACATCAACTTTGAGATGCAGGTACATCCAACTGACGAGTCCTAAATAGGATGAAATATGCGTCCTGGATTCCACTGCTAACCACTATCATCTTTGCTTATAACTGTTTTATGTTGTTGTTTTTTCTTCTCGTATATAAGTATGATTAAAGTTTATATTCTTGATTTTGAAAAATTAATTAAAAAGTCATACTCATATTGTAAATGACAGAAGTAAATAAGGGCAATCATTTAGTTGCATTACAAACTGATCACAGTTGACAAAAGTAACCTAATGGATATCCGTAACCGTAAGTGGTGATTAGTTAATGAAAGAAATTAGATATATCCGGGTTACAATTTTATGATTTCTACCCGGCTATCATTCTGTTGAAATCTTGAAATAAACTATTATTGAGGCCTTATATCTGGTTTTTGATTGTTCGTTGGATATTGTACATACCATATAGTCCATTATGATAACTGACCTACTGTAGAATTCATGATTCTCTACTTCACATTAATCTTTAATGAAAACAGCCTTCAAAATTATTATTATTTATTAATTAAAGGCTTTATTCAATATTATATTTTGGTACAACATAGAATTCTCAGCACAAGGTATTTCAACAAGTTTCTCTTATAAAAACAACAAAAAGAAGAAGGTGAAAACAAAGATTAGAGACACGTTTAAGAATACAGGTTATTTACTAGGTTAACTCTAACAACCTGTTCGTCACAGAGTATATTTGCTGGGTAAGGTATTATAAAACTTTTATACTTTTGCTTGAGTGCATGGATTTTAATGTATTGACATCTCGGTCTACCAGAAGATATACAAGGAGAAAGATATGGGTGAAGGGGATGGTTAGTATCTGATAAAATAACACCTGACAGGAGTTTGCATGACTTTAAATGTCTATCCATAACCATACTAACGACTTTGTCGATAGGATTCTATCTGCACTAAGAAGGACCTGACATACATGACATTGATCACCACCCAGTGATCGGTCAATTTTAAATATATCTCACTCCTACAGGAGGACAGTTGCGACCTGGATAGCTCAATGATAACGTATCCAAATGTGAAGCTGGGTGACACGGGGTCAGCTATTGTTTGATAAATTAATTTGTATATTTTTGAACCGTATTTATTTCATGGTACTTATGGTTTTCTAATAGTTGAATTCATGTATCAGTTTAAGCTAAACCACTATGGAAACACCTGAAAGTACTGGGAGGTCGTATCGTCCTAGTGCTTTATTCCAGTGCTTATAGGATTTCCACGATTGTCTAGATTAAATCGATTCATGAATTCAACGATTAAACTACTACAATTTCCACAAACCTGCATTCTGACAAGATTTATTTTTAGTGGCATTAAGAAGAAGAATAAGTTAACAAAACATTGTAACTACTAGATGCTTTGTTTACTTTGTAACTCGATAAACAAATATTCGTGAATATATATTTTTTTCATAGCTTACACAGTAATCACATTTCTCATTGGTATTTTACTGTGCATCTAATATCTACTTGTATAACCTATGAATAAACGAGAAGTCATGTTACTTTCAGTTATATCCCGATGAGTATAATGAATGGTAACTGTTGGAATCTATTTCTGGACTAATACTATATGTATATTCTTTTTATTGTATGATTGTTAAGCAGCTAACCTATGCATATTCATGTTCCTCTTATTTTAAGCTTTATTTTGATCTATAGACTACTATTATACGATTTGCCGTTCTTGAGTTTTGCCCAGTCTATTAATTACAGTCTCCCACATTCACAACCACTTTCGGCTTGATCTTGTACAAATGTTGTGTTTCTATTTATGGTGTGAGATGGTCTGTTTGGTTTGTATATAAACCCAGTATGTTTGAAATATGTGATTCATATTTTAGAGACTGAGATTGGTGTTCTGAACTTAATAGGCAGGGCTAAGCGGGAAGCAGGACCGCTAAGGACTCTAGACTGCTCATACGGGTTTTATGCGTCATTTGTCCAGTCAACCATTCACTGTTCTCTAATTGGAGGTATCATTACGTAATACATTAATAGGACACAGTGCACAAGTTATAACACTTTCAAGAATGTTCTCCTAGGTGTTCTGGTCCACAATGTGGACATAGGTTCGACTCCCTCCTCTGACACATACATGTTACTTTATCACTGAATCTGAATGTTATTTAATGCCCAAATTTACAGATTTCCCACCAACTGAACTCATTGCTATAAATTAAGATGTTTTTAATCTTGATAATTGATAAAATTTATCTGATAATCTGATTAAATAAAACATTTGTAATATCCCAATGAATAGAAAAATTAGTTCAGTGCGTAATAATAATAATTCGAATGAAATGGCATGTATTGGTACTGCAGTTTTACCATACCGTCATGGCACGACAGAAGAACTCCAAAGAATCTTAAAACAACACAGAATTAAAGTATATTACAAAACAACGAACACACTTCGAAATACTTTAGTTCACCTGAAAGAAAAAATCCAATGTCTACACAGAACTTTGTCTACAAATTAGGTCGTATCGATTGTGATGCCTTCGATATTGGCGAGTCATCTCGAGAAATCTTGACTAGAGCCAAAAAACATATTAGGTACACAAAGAAACCTCCTAACAATCCCGTAGAACTGGATAAACTTCAATTTAAATCGGTAATAGCAGTTCATGCCATTTTCAACGACCATCAAATTGATTTTAAAAATATCAAAATATTGCAAAAAGGCTTTTCCAATTACAAAGAAAGGAGAGTAACTGAAGCGTTCCATATAATGCTTAATCCTACTTCTCTCAATAGAAAAGAAGGCCTTACCATACATCCTACTTGGACTATCTATCCTGGCCACCTAGTCTGATATTATCTACAATCTTACAAATTAAACATTATCCTTTTTCACCATAAAGGTCACACAATTTTCATCTTTAATGGTGCACACATACGTACACACAAATTTACATACATATCGCTTATGAATCACCTTGACCGAAATGACATGACATTGATTTATTTAGACCTGTTTTTTTGATTGATCACATAATATTCTTCTTGTTCCGTTTTGCTATTCAAACTTGGATTAATTTTGATTTGGTCATTAGTTTATTCTCTGAAGAAGTAGCTTTCACTAAGTCACGAAACGTCGGAAAATCTAATTTTTCTACTCATTGGGATATTACAAATGTATTAATTTATTTATATTAATCTACCCAATGCTCAAATTATTCGAAATTATCAAATTAAATCTTGGTAATGATACCTATGATAATCTGATTGGTCAATAATCAAGATGATTTTCATTTGAGGAGGTATAGTTCTCATGAATAAAAAGGATTATATGGAAAAAATGGAAACAATGCTTAGTGATCCTAGCAAATTTCAGAAAGTTACTAGTAATTGTGACATCAATAATAAAGTAGAAAGACAACTGGCTAATTTCCTTAAGGATCTAAAGAAAAAAGGAATACCTACGACTGAGATTCATGATTCAGTTAAGCCGACTGGATTATTTACACCACGACTGTATGGTTTACCTAATGTTCATAAACCGGGTCTTCCTCTAAGCCCAGTTCTAGATATGTACAATTCTCCTTACCACAAAATTGCAAAGTGGCTAGTGCGAATCTTAGAGCCTTTGCACAAATCAGTTGTTAGAAATATTGTAAAAGATGTCTTCGACTTCACCTTCAAAGTGGAAAATATTAATGTTAGTATGAAAAATATGATCTCATTGAATGTAGGATCTTTGTTCACCAACGTACCACTTATAGAGACTATTGAGTTTATATGCAAGCAAATATCAGAAAAACAAATCAACACTGGCTTGCCTGACGATAGTCTAAAGTAACTGCTCTTAAGATGCATGCTAATTGTCCATTTTGTCCTTAACAATACTTATTATAGACAAATAGACGGGATAGCCATGGGCTCACCTCTAGGCCTGATTTTAGCTGATCTCTTCCTAGCAAAGCTAGAAAATGGACCTCTTAATGAGACTATTAAGAAGCTTGATTTATATTTCCGCTACACTGACGACACTTTCATTATCGTAGATCAAAACTCCAGTAAGAATAAACTCCTAGAACAATTCAACAGTGTTCACCCAGCGATCAGTTTCACTGGTGAAAGCGAGTATGACGAAAAGCTGAACTTCCTTGACGTCACACTAAGCAGACGAAGTGATGCACATTAAGTAGAAGCGTGTATGGAAGAAACCCCTCTTCATGCCAATATACTCACTTCTGCAGTTTCACACCTGTCCTCTACAAGAGAAATTTGGTCAGATGTCTCACTAGCAGAGGAAAAAAGATCTGTACAGTAGATACATTAAGTCAGGAGCTTGAATTTATCAACAAGTCACTGACCGAGATCGGCTACCCCAGTGCTTTCATTAAGAAGTACATGTATGACATAATAAAGAAGTCGGAGATTCGACTGTTCGTAAGAAACCTTTATACATGAAACTACAATTCAACGGGATGTGGCTAGTGATACTCTGAATTATAGGTTAACGAAAGTAATCACCAGGACATTCTACGCAGCCAATCTTGCGTCGACTTTCTCTTGTCGACCAGAGATGTCTATGCAAACGAAGGATAAGTTACCTGAGTTGGCTTTCTCAATGTGCATTTACAAATTCAGCTGCTCCTGTGGAGATAGCTATATTGGATACAATGAGTGAACATCTACCAGATTGGTTTATAAAGGGCCAGATAAAAACAATTCGCAGTTCTATCTTGGCACATCTCATTGATAGCGGTCATGCAGTAGATAAATCGAAATCATTTTGAGTTATCTATCGTATACCTCCACCATTTCCCAACGGAGTTCGTTCCCGCCTCCTACATATAGCTGAAGCCATAGGAATTCGTATATATAACCTCAATCTATGTGTACAGAAGAAATTCGTGACCCCCCTATCCCTTCCATACATTAGCCTTATTTCCACATCCATTATTTGTTTGTAATTTTCCGCCTCTTTGTATTCTTCACTATCTGATTATTTACACACATCTTATTACGTAATGATTTTAATGTTTTGTGATTACTATTCCTAGTCTATTTACCCATGTTTGTTTGACCTTCTATTTCCAACGCTTAACTATTGATAAGACTTTTGTTATTGTATTTTATTATTCTTACTATTATCAGTTCACCTGTCTTCTTACCATAAACTTGTACTTTTACCTATTTTATGTGTAGTGACTTATTCTATTTCATTGTGATTATTGACCCATATTGCCTTGATTGGTTTAAAATTTTCGTATAAATATTCATGTATATTAGAGTAAAGCCTGATGACGATCTAATTGAAAACAATATTGTTCGCTTATATGTGTTGTTCTAATTTGATCTATTGTATAATTTCAACAAAGATAATTTAACAATGAGAAGACGGAGTTCATCTCAATGTTCTATCGAAATTTATAAAAGGGACTAATTGCTTTAAAGATCATTTAAAGGAAATATCTGATTAGTTAATACTACTTAGACTAAAAGTTGAATGAAATTGTATCTGTAATAACATTACCATCTGAGATATTTTCGTTTTCATCTCATTGAGTAACATATCACCATCACCTTGAGAAGCAGCTGAATTTAAGAAATTCTGACATCGTCTATCATTGGTTTGGATACTTTCGGTGTATTTACGGCGTAATGTCTATAAATGGAACAAAGAAAAACTGATAATGGTCATAAAGACAGTTTAATAATTATTTTGATGACTATTAAATTAGAACTGCTTAAAGGTAATAGATGTTTTATATATAAGAGACAGTAGTTATTGACTAGTCAGACTGTAATCTGTTCAATGATTCGATGTAACTGTTGACTGATGTCAAGTTAAAGCCATATGTTTATAATGATCTATATATGCTTAAGCTAAAGTTGATGATTAAAATGTTTTCCTCTTATGAATTATATATAGATATACAGTTTATCAACTAGAGTGACTTGATACAATTACTCAAGAGCGATATTTATAATAAATCTAGATGTTTCGGAAACACTCAGTTATATGTACGTCGGATAGAACCCACTTTACAAATAAAAAACTCTGTTTTAGGAGATTGCAGAGCAAAATATGTTAATCAGATACGATCGTACATATCAGTCGTAGCAAAATACTAGCCATTACTTTGGATAAGCTGGTGGCTATCATGAATCAATATGTATGTATAACTATCCAAGAAAAGAAGGGCCAGGAGTCAAAAGATGTAAGTTATTTATTCTGTAGACTTTTTATTATTTGGCACTTTCGGTCAATGGGAGACACAACCAAAACAAAGGAGTAAACAATGACAAATCTAAGGTCGATAAGAACCAATCAACGTCGAGGTGTACAGAACAAGCTGTGAAACGCATATGGAGAAATTCGAACACTTCACTTCTATCTGAAGTTTGTGCTGATAATGTCGTTCAAAAGAACGATGAAAGCTCCACAACCAAACCATCCAGCTCAGAGAACAAAACTCCATCGATTTATTCACTTCATGAATGTGATATATTAAAGTGAGACTTTTCTAAGAGATTTCATTTCATACTACAAATTTAATATATTTGTATTTGTCTAATCAAAATGTCTGATGGTGTTACACTAATGATTTAATAGCACACAACTACATCGAACAAAATTTTTCGTGTAAACTATCTTCAGTCAGGCAGTAAATACAACTAAATGAACTAAAGAATGGCTGGATGCAAAGGCCACATTCATACAGTTAAACAACATATGCAACTCATAACAACTACCAAGCAATATTAAAGTCACAATCTTTAATACGAACGTTAAGACAGTTCTACGGTGTGGAGCTGAAACTTCCAGAACTACCACAACTATCATCAAAATGGTACAAGTATTTATAAACAATTGTCTACGCAAGATACTCGACATTCGTTGGATGGAACTCATCAGCAACAGCCTACTGTGGAGAGAACAGACCAGGATCCAGATGAGGAGGATATTAGGAAAAGATGATGGAGTTGATGAATAGGAAATACATTACAGAAATCACCAAACTGCATCACGGAGCAAGCGCTAACATGGAATCGTGAACGAAAACAGAAAGAAGGAAAATAAACTGCAAGCAGACATGAAAAGAATCAATAACGACTGTGAACAACTGGAATTGATTATCGATTATCGTGCGCGTCCTATGCTCCTTCACGACGTGGGGTAACAAGTGTAAGTAAGTACATAAATAAATAAGGATACAACACTGAATTCATGAATACATTAATGATAAGGTTATATTCTTTATCAAGAAATTAACATGAAAGTACTTACTTTTAAATTATCCAACAAATTCAATAAATCTTCTTTACTAATCCTTCCACTAGTTGATGTTGCATATTTTAAATCATTTAAAGCTATTTGTATTTCATCCATTTGTTGTTTTAATGTTATAAATGTTTCATCAATTGATTGTTTATGAATAAGTTTACGCTTAATTATTTTTTCAGTATTCTATGGAAAATAATGCGAAATGATGATTAGATATGTAAGTAGATTCTATATGTAATTTAGCGGTAAATAAATCCCCAAAATAAATAGCTCTGTAAGTTTTCGACATTGGATGCTGACTACATTAGTTTTAATGGACTCATCTAGCTGAAGGCGCTCGGTCATGTATCCGCACCAGATCACGAGTGGAAACACTGTGCTCAACATCCCCTGCAATCTCTAGCTAGATTAGATTATACAATTCCCGATATATTGATAGCTTATCAAATATATCTTCGAACCTACTTGCTTCTGTCTTTTGATTTCACTTGGTGGGTACGATTCATATTAAGTATTACTGGTTAAAGCGTTGTCAAACTCCGAATACCTGTGGTATCTCTAGTAAATGTCTTTAACTCAATCTATTTCAAAATAAAGTACTAAGTTATTCATACCATATAATGAGCTGATTTGATAGTTGGTATTTGACCTTTTTTCTAACATTTATATGTTTAATTGTAACTTTACTAAATACAGTGTATATAGGTATGTTCACTTTCATTTGCCTACACTATTCCTTGTCTATTTTCATAAAATATGGTCTTAATTTCGAATATATTTCAGTTGTCCTCACTTTATATATATCTGTTATCCATACTTTAATTACATATCGGTGATTCATATATTATTCACTTTATTTGAAGAATAAGTTAGCCATTATTTACTCACTAGGCTTTTGGTAACCACTTTTATTTGTATCTATTTAGTTTCTATACTCACCTGTTTAGTATACATGATCATATCATCGTCTGTGATGTTTGTTTTAAATACGGCTTTTATTCTACTTTTTTAACACTATGTGCCCCCAAATGCCCTGGTATGGCCGGGAGTGGGGTGGTTCCGCCCTCCCTCTCGAAATACTCTCACACGGCCACGCGTATACAGCCTCTGCCAGGGAAGTCCTACTCACTGCCTTCTCGTGGCATTACTGTTGTTTACGAAAACGAGAGGACAAAAAGCAAATGTCCGGCGCCTTAACCGGATCCCAAACCAAATCAGTGGTGCACATGAGCTGCAGTATCCTGCGGGAACAAATGGCGTATGAGCCAATCGTTAGTCACCGGCTACCATGGGACTGCATCTCCTTACGATGCTCCACTGCCATGTGGGTTAGACCTTTAGGTCAAAGGCTCGTGGTGTGGCCCCCCTAAGATAACCACCTGCTTCTGTCTGGGCACCCGGGCAGCATCACAGCCCACATACAAATGATGAACTGTCTATACTTATGGATACTACTTTTCTTGCTTCGACTAACAATCAAATGATTCAAATTATTAGTATTATTATTATTACTGTTATTGTTACTATTATTATTATTATCATTATTATTTACTACGTCATTATTCACCCTCTTCTATTCTTACTCTGTCTACACTTATTTTTTCGACTTATACAGCAGCTCGTCTATGGTGGAAATTCGACTGTATCTAAACGTTCTCGAGTCACTGTCCGGTTGAAAATTGTATGTTACCACCGAATATGAGTACTGATTCAGTTTTTCTGAAACCACGTGCACCATTCAAACTGGCTGCCTTCAACGTTCGCACATTTATGCAGGTCGGACAACAGATAGGGCTGGCTATGTCTTTGGAAAGTCTTAATATCGACGTTTGTTGTCTATCCGAGACCCGTATTCAAGACTCTGGCGAAGTACTACAAATTCGATCTCCATCTGTCGCTTCGAAAAGCTTGTTTTACGTGCGCTTATCCGGGGACCCTGTGGCATCTTCGTCTGGTCTTGCTGGCGTTGGTGTCGCACTAAGCGCTAGAGCTGAGGCAGCACTAGTCGATTGGATCCCCATTAACAGTCGGTTATGTGCTGTTAGATTAGAAAGTTCCATCAAAGTGAGAAGAAATCGGCGTGAGAAACGATGTCTTTTCGTCATCTCCGCCTATGCCCCGACAGATTGCAGCCCGGATGCAATCAAGGATGAGTTTTACCACCAGTTATCTGTTCTTCTCCAGAAAGTGCGTTCGACAGATATTGTAGTACTAGCCGGAGACTTGAATGCTCAGGTCGGGCGTCTAGGCACAGAAGAGAGTCGTTTAGGTGGCCGATGGGGACTCGTTGGTCGCAGGTCAGATAACGGGGACCGTCTACTGCAACTTTGCACAGACCACAACCTGTTTCTGGCTAGCACTAACTTTCGGCACAGTCATCGCCGATGTGCCACCTGGCGTCCTCCCTCTGCATCTCAAGCCTGGACTCAGATTGATCACATCGCGATCAGCTACCGCTGGCGTGGTTGTGTACAAGACTGCCGCTCCTTTTGGAGTACCTATCTGGACTCTGACCATGCCTTGGTCTGCGCCAATCTTGCCTTACTTTTCAGTGGACAACGAAGTGACCGCCATCAACGGATTGATGTTAGCAAGCTGGTTGCAACTTCTGTTGCAAGTAAGTATCGAACCGAGCTAGCCTCTAGGCTAGCTACCACTCCACCGAAAAGTATAGATGAGCATTGGTTGCAATTGCATGACGCCATGAAAATGGCGGGAACAGTCAGTTGTGGGTTTGCGAAACGTCCCGCTTTAAGCACTGGGTTTCTTCTGGTTCCTTACAACTCATTGAAGCCCGTCGGTCTACTCCGGGTGACCGTGAGTTTGACCATAAACGAAGGATGTTACGTAAGGAAATTGGGCAAAGCTTGCGTAAGGACCGAGAAGCCTGGTGGTCGATGCGTGCTAATGAGCTGGAAGCAGCAGCTGCATCTGGTAACTACCGGAAGCTCTTCCAGCTCATCCGAGCCACTGGCAGCAAGAAGTCTGGTGTGAGTGAAACAATCTGCGAGGATGATGGGATGCCAATCACTAACATCCATCGACGTCTTGGACGATGGGCAGAATTTTTCGAAGGGCAGTTCAACTGGCCTGCTGCTCCGGCAACATCGGTCAGACTGTCCTGCCCTCCATGGCCGGTGACGACTGATCCACCAAACGAGGAGGAAGTCCGCAAGGAACTCCAACTCTTGAAGCGTTACAAATCACCTGGCCCAGATGACTTACCTCCGGCTCTTTTTAAAGATGGTGGTGACTTTTTGACTAAGGAATTGACGACGTTGTTTACAAAGGTTTGGGAACTAGAGAGTGTACCAACGTCATGGAATGAGTCGATAGTTGTCCCTATCTTTAAAAAGGGTTCACGTCGTTCCTGTAACAACTATCGGGGGATAAGTTTACTTCCGATTGCGTCCAAGCTATTGGCTTCCGTCATACTTCGTAGGTTGTTCAAAACCCGAGAAAGATTGACTCGCGAGGAGCAGGCTGGGTTTCGTTCTGGTCGAGGATGTATTGATCATATCTTCACCCTCCGCCAAATGTTAGAACACCGCCATACTTTCAAAGGCCAACAATCGTAGTGTTTCTTGACATCAGGGCTGCCTTCGATTCGTTGGACAGGACTGTTCTCTGGGATTGTCTATTGAAGAAGGGTGTGCCTGAGAAGTTTATTAACATCCTAAAAGCCCTATATAAAACACCTCAGGCAGAGTGAGGGCATACAACCACCTCTCTCCATTGTTCCATTCGAGCAGTGGGGTTAGGCAGGGTTGCCCAATCTCACCATTCCTCTTCAACTTTGCCATCGATGACATTCTGGAAACAGCTCTGATGAATGTAAGTAATGGTGGTGTGGATCTGTTGCCTGGAGAAAGACTTCTCGACCTTGAGTATGCGGACGATATTGTCTTACTGTGCGATAATGCCCAAGGCATGCAATCCGCACTTAATCAGTTGGCAATCAGTGTCCGTAGGTATGGTATGTGCTTTGCACCTTCGAAGTGCAAAGTACTTCTACAAGACTGGCTCAGAATAGAAGCCAGTGGCGATCCTGCTGTAACCTTCTTTTACTTTCTTCGTAAAAAGTGGTTGTATCTTTCTAAACTGAAAGATTTCTTCTGATTGTACCTTTCCGTTCCCCCATTATTACCACTTTTATTATTACACTACCTTACACCAATCTCTTCCTTATTGTTTTTTTTCACCCTCCTTACCTTTTTTCTTTTTCCTTCTCTTTAAATTCTCATTGTTTTGTGTGGCGCATATATATTTGGCGCACTCTTGTACCAATATTTATGTGTTCAAATAAATAAATAATAAATTTTATACTATGTTAACGTGATTAGTCTACAGAACATATACGAAGTCAATCGTTAATGACGTCAAACATGAGCTATCTGTATATATCATCTATGAGTACAACAATGTATCTAAACCCGACTTGTCAGATAAACAAATAATGTGAACTTAATAGCTTGAAATTATGTGCTTGTATGCAATATTCACTGAATGGGAAAAAAGCTAAATGTCGAACATACATTAAATATTGAAGATTAGATGAGTTACAAATTCTTGGGCACTTATACTATCAAGAAACATAAGCACAATAATTAGTACTAAAACTAGATAAAACCAATGTGTGTGATACTTATATTGATATAAGTAGTATATGATGTTAGTCGTGAACAGAATGTCTGGTAGCAAAGAGACAAGAGGATCGAACAGTAAAGAAGGGAAACAGAATGCAATTTATATGAAAATGCGAGAACAATGAAGTCTGAGTCATTATGAGACAATTGATGGATATTTTTTTGCAAATTACGTATTTACTATTTGATTGTTAGATTTTATTAACAAGTCCTGTAAGTTTGTGTCAAATACATTCGGAATCAAACAAAAGATCAACATGATTGATGAATCTCGATCGTAACATTTCAACTAATCTGCTTAATTCAATAAATTTCTCAAAATACTATGATTCAGTTAACTTTACTCAAAGATACTCAATTATACCAGCGATAACATCAAGTTCAAATGTAAGAGAGGTGAACATTTAGCCTCAAAAAAATTCAAGTATTCATAAGTTATACATTTTAAACTGGTAATATTCATGACTGTGAATTAATTTCCTGTAACACATCATATAAGCAGTTAGTTTGTCATGCAAAATTTCAATTTATCAATCTCTACAACACTCAGTGATAGCAATCATCATGCCCTTACCAATAAATAAAGGCAAGAGATAATTTTCAGAATTCTAGTGAGATATCTTGACTAGTGGAGTTCAATCATGACCAAAGTGACATCAATGTAATCACCAGTGGTAATGGATGATGGTTGTGTAAAAGCGCTAAATGGTCGAAATTACAAGTACAAACAACTGAATATGAGTTCAATTGTCTGAAGGTTTAGTTATCATAACGAGATATGAATCCATGAAGTAGTAGAAGATGTGCACTTCTAAAGACGAAATGCTTCTTGGTTTTCAGTTCGTAAAAGAAAACTCCATGTTTAAAACATTTTCATAACTAATCAAAATAACAATATATTTTAATCTTAATAACTTTTAAAAGAACACTCATAATAAGATGATACAATATCATTAACTTAAAACCATTACTTACATTAAGACGATCATTGAAATCTTTTATTTCATTATATAATTCTTCGACACTAAATTTGTTTAAAATTGACATACCACGATTATCTTGTAAATTAAGTGCACGTTCTAAATCATTGACTTGACCATTAGTAAATGTTAAATGTCCACGACAGTCATTAAACTATATGAAGTTAATAATAATAATAGTAATAATAATAATAATCTTATTTCATTGTAAATCAGAGTAATCAACTGGAAAGTGAGAAAATTACCCATCATAATCCTCTAAAATACATTTATATTGGTAAAATTATTTCACCGATATATCATTTAATCATCATACTATTCCCAATGATCTATTAGTAAAAGTTTGGTAAAAGAGATCAACTTCACTGGTTGAAATCGTGAGTCAATTGAAGTTAGACCACCATGGAAAACCTGGAAGCAATAGACGGCCTTTTCGTCCTAGTGTGGGACTCCTCAGCAGTGTGCATCCACGATCCCGCCCCCCGTGAAATTCGGACCCAGGATCTATCAGTCTCTCACCAGGCTCTTAACCAACTAGACCACTGAGCTGGCCGGCATCCAACGGTGTTAATGTCTAACTTCAACCAATCCACGAAGTTGCGCCACCGTACACTCTTGTCTTCAGTGAGTTCATATCTCACAACAGACCTAGTTGAACTCCACTGGTAACGACTTCTCAATAGAACTTCAGAAGTATCTCCTGAATTCAGTCACTAGTGAGCAGGTGATTAGTATCAGAATGAGTTTTTGTGGAGATTTTAGAAATTTCACTGGTTGAAATCATGAACCAGTGAAGTTTCTAAAATCTCCACAAAAACCCATTCTGATAAAAGAGATAAACATTATTATTTTTTTTTTTTTGAAAAGTCAATAGAACTATAGTATGATCCCAAAGTTGATTAACCACTAGAACATCTACGAGATATTTATATTATCTTATTAACTAGTGAGAAAAGGCTCGAAATATGAAAGAAAATGCTTTACTCTAAAGGTTTGTTTATGTACAGAAAATCTAGGGATTTTATAGTGTTTTAGATGTCCTTGGGCCTCCGGAAAATTCTGGAATGCTTTTAAACATTGTAGCCGTATAGGTAACCATCCAATCAAAAACTTGACATGTGACTTTTCACTTTCTAGATGTTTCTGGCAAACCTTCTAGTGAACGCTGATTAGATAAGATGATTTTCAGTGTTTTCAGAGTCTTTCTTGGCTTTTTTTCAAGGAGTTTCCTGGATCTCTCCAACGAGTTAAGAACACATTAATAAAATGTTGAAAGATTTTGATGTGCTCAATTTTCCACAATATTTATAAAGTTACAGTATATTCACTTTAGAAACTTGATAAATTGCAAAGACCCTTTCAAATCACATAGTCTCAAAGATAAATTATATGTATAAAGAATGCAGGTGGGCGGACTTATTGTGAATGAGCCGATTATTCGTCTGGTTAAAACCATCGCTAACATCCTAGTCGATTTTTACATATAAACCCATGAATTATGTACATATTCCTTCGGCCTTTAGGATTTAAACTTAATTTACTGTCTTAGAGTTTTTACTCTACACAGGTAATAGAGAAAGTATAAAGAAGAGTGTATTGACAAAGGAATTGAATTATAGAATAGAACAAAACTCATCTATGAATGTCGACCATTTCACACTCGGTTCTTCTATAAAGATATATATATATATATATATATATACTGTTTAATACCATAAGGACTACGTATTACTTGTGTGTATAATTTTCTATGAATTGGTAAGATAACTTTCAATGAGTGCAGCTGATTGTGACCAAATTCAACTATACGAAAGGATTATTTGTTAATAAATGGTTCATTAGTCGCGTATTCTCTAAAGTCCTAGTCTCAAACTATATATGAACAAAGTTATTTAATCATAGTTTTAACTTTTTTGAATATAGAATTTGCTTTCCAATAATAAATCATCTCTTCTTTCTTTTTAAATATTAAGAAATATTACATTTCACTTGTTACTATTACGTAACAGAATCACTGGGAAGAAACAGAGAAGTTATATTCCAGTCTTAATTATCGGCCTAATATAAAATAAAACATCTATTCAAATGTATAGTTTTCATTTACCCTTTTAACGTTCTGGTTAGTTTTCTACGGGATGGAGTCTCTAGCCCTGCTCTTTTATCTGATCTTAGGATCGATGTTAGCTCTAGAGAGGCTACAAGCAGCGTTTTTCTTTCCGGTTAACCTTACTACTAATCAATGAAATAATTGAAAAAAGTTTATTTTGATGGAGTTTTGTTCTCTGAACTGGATAGTTTGGTCGTGAATCTTTCATCATTCTTCTCAAAGACATCATCAGAACAAACTTCAGATAGACTCAGAGAATAAAACTCCAACAAAATAATCCACTTAAGCTATAAACCTTCTCCATCATCTGAAATAGCTTATCATAGATATGAGCCACTTACGCTACATTCGATGTTTTTGAAGGCTGTGACACTGACCGAGTGCCCAGACTGAAACATATGGTTATATTAGAGGGTCACACTCGGAGCCTTCGACCTGGAGGTTTAATCCACAAGGTAATGGATCAACTTAAGGAGATACAATTCCATGGTAGCCGGTTGTTAGGTTTGAAACTAACACGAGTTCACTTGATCTGCGAACGAGAACAAAGATTCAGTGACCAAAGACCAGTAAGCTAGCTATTTGATGCGTCCCAGCTCCGCTAACTAGAGGGAGAATTCCAAGCTTGGAATGGGAAGTATATTCTGTAAATCAGCCAGAAACGAGCGATAACAACAAACACAATTCAAATAGTATATACATCCTTGGGGAGAGTTACCAAATAACATACTAAAAGACGCAACGGACCAATAGTATTTAAGATATTTCCCAGTGGGAAATACGACATGAAGGTGACAAGAGCATCTTTGGCGCGAAAACAAAATTAGGTCCTTTCCTAAGTGAGTTCTAGGGATCTAACGTCCCCAACACCGGTGACCAATAAGTAGTTCAGTTCAGTTAATTTAAACTATAAATCTTCTCTATCCTCTGAAATAGTTTATTCTTTCAAAACTCACATCAAGATATAATGATGAACATTCCCATGTATGAATATCAGTTTCCAAGAAAAGATTATTTTGTTTCTGTTCTAATTCATTTAGTTGTAATTGAATATGATTTAAATTATTTTCAATTTCATTAGTTTTCTCTGTTATATCCGTTAAATCTTTTAATTTTATTGGTAATAAATGAATAAATTTCTCCATTGATTCTTCTAAATATAATAAACGTTCATTTTGTTCTAATTGTATTGGTTGAATTATTGGATCTTGACTTAGATTAGTAGCATTTTGTAAATGTTCTGTAATCTTGAATAGAATTTTAATTGATTGATCGATTGATTGATTGATTGATTGGTGGGGGGAGGGAGGAAGAGAAGGAGGGATGTTTTGGAAAAAAGAAAAAGGGTGAAACTTATGCGATTATAGAAATTGAAATTAGGAAATTGTTATATCCTAGTGAATGTTACATTACGAGTAACATCTGAGACCTATTAATGGACTAATATTATCTATATATTCTTATGGTATAACAATCCAGTAATCAGATTATGCATATTTATATTCCTCTTATTATAAGCTTCATTTTGACCTATAGATTATTATTGTACGATTTACGAAACGGCCGTCCAGTGCTTCCAGGTTTTCAATGGTGGTCTAGCTTCAACTGACTCATGATTTCAATCTGTGAAATTTCTAAAATCTCCACAAAACCCATTACTGTTCATAAGTTGTACTCAGTTTATTGATTACTGTCTCCCATGTTCACAGCCACTTTTTAGCTTCATTGTGTACGAATGTTATTTCCTATTTTATAGTGCGTTGCAGTCTGTTTGATTGATAATATAAACCCATTATGTCTGAAATAAATGATTCGCATAGTGGAGGCTGTTGTTGACATTCTGGACGCAGTTGGACTAGCTAGGCGAACAGCGGACCAATAGGACGCTAGGCTGATCAAACCGAACGGACGTCATTGGTTTAGCACAGTACAAGAATGAATAAGTCATATTTTGATAGTCGAACAAATCACGTGATAACTAGCAGTTCATAATGACACAACAGAAATGTTGAAATGTATAGTCTTTTCAGTAAAATAAAATAAAATAAATAAATAAATGGATAGGATACATATTGAGGAAAGCACCGAAATGTGTCATAAGTTAAGTCCTCACATGGAATCCTTAAGGTCAAAGGAGGAGAGCAAGACCAAAGAACATACTACGCTGAGAAATGAAAACAGACATGAGAAGAATGAACAGCAGTTGGATAGAACTAGAAAGGAAGGTGTGGGACAGAGTGAGTTGGGGAATGTTGGCCGGCGGCCTATGCTCCACTGGGAGTAACAGGCGTAATTAAGTAAGTAAGTCAATAAATACACTAGTTGATGTCATTATTAGTTTATTTTACACAGTTTGGATATATTAATCTTGTTCCCTTCAAACATCCCTCATATATGACAATATAATGATTATTCTGTTTTTATTGTTTTAAACATCCTCTATTTCGTCATTTTAAGTTTTATTTTTTTTTTAATCCCACCAGTCTTAAACGTTTGTACGTAGATGTCTTTTTTAAATTCAATTTCTCATGAACCATCTGTATAATGCTTACTGCGGGAGAGAGAGTTGAAGAGGAAGTTAGGAAAAGACTCTCGAGGTGGACAGAATATAGACTGTGGAAATCATCAAACTATATCATGAAGCAAGCACTAATATGGAATTGTGAAAGGAAATAGAAGAGAGGAAGACCAAAGAACACACTGTAACAAGAAATGGAAGCAGACATGAAAAGAATAAATAGTGATTGTAAACAACTGAAAAAGATTATCAAGGACAGAGTTGGATGGAGAGTGCTGGTGGTCGGTCTATGTTGATCCACGAGAGATAACAGTCGTAAGTAAGAAGGCAAGTATCCGTGTGGTGAGCCGGTGATTAATAGTATAATCAAAATAAGAGGTGGACTGACTTCCTGTGCATGCATTCATTTTGAACTAATCATGGTTTTTACTTAATTGGTGATTCACTTCTAAAGAAGTGTTTCCTTAAACACATCATATTCATAGCACCGTCCTGTAGTTGATGACTTTCTTAATAAACTTTATTGCTTTTTCACCAAAAATTTGATATTGAGTAGTGCATTTGCTAAACGGACTATTTGTCTTATTTTAGTTTCCTTAGAATTATAAAAATTCAGTAACCAATAAGTAATCAGTTGCTATAAATGTCCGATTACTACAGGAAATAAGTCGTGGTCTAAAAATTTGGGTAGTAACACCTGTCATTACGAAACAGAGTGATATTGGTTTGAATCCCATGGAGCGAACCAGCTCCTTCAATAACATGAAGGCCTGTTCAAATATTTATGCCACCCATTTATAAACCATGAAAATAATACTTTAAGCCTTCCTGACTTAGATTTGTGTGAACTGAACAATCATGAATTTCAACTGTATGAACTCACGCGACATTATGAAAGACGTATAAACTATCACGATGCTCACTACTAAGATCGAGATACTGCACTCTGTGCCTATTTTGATCGAAATAACGAGAGGGAAATATGTCGTAACTCATACTTTCAGTATCTAATGACATGAAAAAAAAATAGTTGTAGGAACTCAACTGATAAACATTTTTCTCCGCTGAAGATTAATGGCAGATATTGACTATTGTAAAACCATAGAATATTATTATAGAATAACAACAATTTCAATCATTGTTAAACAGGAACTTGATGGAATGATACACAGCTGATGGTGGGGATTCTTTAATGTAACAATGTTAATGATAGTCAATAGGGCTATCATTATTAGGATAGATGGATGGTGGCTAACAGTGGAATCCAGGTAACGTGTCTCGTCTATTTGAGACTCGACAGCTGCATGCACCTGCATCTCAGAGTTGATGTTCACTCTGGGACTCGAACCCAGTATCATTCGCTTCGAAAGCAATCGCATTATCCACCCAGCTACTGAGTCCTGACTGTCGCTTGCTTGTGCAATGGGGTGAAGTTTAATTCACTAGTATTGTTTTATTTGAATCTTCCCATTGATGTTTAGGACTAAAATTGATCAGTCTCTTATTGGCATATGTGCATACTGTGCGTATGGCCTAGTATTGCCTTAGTTAAGTGGATAACGTGATGACGTTTGAAGGGAACAGTACTGGGTTCGAGTCCCAGAGTGAACATCAATTCTGAGATGCAGGTAGATCCGTTTGACGAGTCCCGAATAAGATGAAACGTGCGTCCTAGATTCCACTGCTAGCCACTATCCATCTTTGCTTGTAATGTTTGTTAAATTAAGGTAATATCGAGACAATATGCACAGTATGCACATATGCCAATAACAGACTGATCAATTGCAGTCCTAAATATCAATGGGAAGATTCAAGTAAAACAAAACCAAATGAATTTTTTACTATATAGTTCTCTGATTTTAATGAGATGTTCTGTTATTATTGTGCTCAAATACATTCAATTGTTCCCATTCATGTTCTTGTTCACATACATATATATCATTTAGATACTTAACTATTTTACTTTAATATCAGATGGGTTTTGGGGATATTATAGTAATTTCAATGATTGACATCATGAGTCAGTTAAAGCTAGACCATCATGGAAAACCTGGAAGCACTGGACGGCCGTTTCGTCCTATTGTGGGACTCTCCAGTAGTGCGCATCCACGACCTCGGTCCTTGCGAGATCCGAACCCAGGACCTATTGGTTTCGCGCGCGAGCACCTAACTACTAGACCACTGAGCTGGCTGTCATCCAACGGTGTTAATGTCTAACTTCAACTAATCCACGAAATCGAGCGACACATCCACTATTGTCTTCAGTGAGTTACTATCTCACAACAGACCTGGTTGATCTCCACTGGTCACTACTTCTCACTAGATCTCCAGGATATACCTAGTGAAGTCAGTCACTAGTGAGCATATGTTGATGAATATCAGAGGGTTTTTTGTGAATATTATAGTAATTTCAATGGTTAAGATCATGAGTCTTTAATATATTACTTACTTTTGATTGTTCATCTAAAATATTTTGTAATTGTCCAACAATAATCGATAATCCATTCGATGTACAACGTACTTGTAAATGTTTCAATTTACCATTCGTTTTATTTTCAATTAAATCTTTTATTGAATTGATCCAATTTTCTATTTGATTTAAATGATTATTGAATTCATTTTCAAGTTTTAATTTATCCGCTAATCGTTTTGCTTCCACTTTTTCTAAATTGGCTTGTTTTCTTTTTGAAATCTAATTTTAAAAGAAAAAAAGAAAAGCACATTAGATTTATAAGTATGATGATGATGATCATTAATAATGAACCAATGGTGCACATGGGCTCTAGTATCCTGAAGGAACAAATGGTGTATGAACCAATCGTTGGCCACTGGCTACTATGGGACTGCACTCCTCACGATGCTCCACTGCCTTGTGGATCAGACCTTCAGGTCGAAGGCTCCGAATGTGGCTCTGTAAGAAAACCACCTGGTTCGGTTTGGGCACCCGGTCAGTATCACAGCCCTCATACATATCAAATCAGACTTGTGTGGCGCATATGTATCTGGTGCCCCCTTGCACCAACATCTATGTGTTAAAATAAAATAATTATCAATGTTTGGGAAGAAAGTTTAAGTTTAAAACTCCCAGTGATCTATTTTCTCATTAGTGTTGTGATATCCACTAATATCTTTGGGTTGTTGATGATTCAGTAATGAAAATGAATGAGGAGACTGAAAATGTAATTCATTAGATTTATACTTGTTGACTAAATGATCTTATGCTTTCTAAATGAGATTTAGGTCTGGTAATTGATCAGTTGTTTATTATTAGGTAAGCACTGTTCATACATTTGTCCAGTTCTCCATGGTTTATAATGATTCACTAGCTGATTTTATTTGATGATGCAGTAGTAAGGATTATTAAATGATAACATACATTGATGTGCTTCTGAAAGCATCACAGAAACGATAAAATATGTTACAAGAAAACGAAATATATACAACTGGATCACATACTACCCGTAATTAGTAGTAAATCAATTCACACTTTATTTCTTGTGTATGCCCTTGTAAGAAACTCCTCATTAGTGCTCATCCACGACCCTGCACACGTGAATCGAGATCAGAATTTTTCAGTCTCACCTGTAAATACTTGATTTCTACACCACTGGGCTGGGAGCCACTGATGCACATACCTAACTTCACAATAGTGCACAACCATTATCTATTGTTTTCAGGGAATAAAAGTATCACACGTGACACAAATGGAACTACATCGATCACTGTTATGAAACATTTGTCCACTCCAGGCAATAGATGAGGGTTGTGCAATAGTATGAATTGATTGAACTTAGACATGTGCATCATTGTATCACGGCCCAGTGGTATAAAAATCAAATATTTACAGGTGAGACTGAAAATTCTGATCTCAATTCCTATGTGCAGTGTTGTGGATGTGTACTGATGAGAAGTTCCATACAAGGAAGAAATGACCTTCCAGTTCTTTCACGTTTTCATTGATGGTCTAACTAAGATTAGTTCGTAAATTAAACTGTAGAAGTTCTACAATCTCCATGAATTCCCTATACTGATAGTAATAATTATTAATAAATATATAAAATTATCATCCCAACTTATTCGCTCACATCGGATTCTAGTTTCTCAATTCTTTTACGAAACATTTCCAATCTATGATGATCGCTGATTCACCAAGATAATGAGCAGCTTCATTAGCTTCTTCTAATAACACAAATATTTCATCTCGTCGACTGAACCAATCATTTTCAGAAAATTTCGAATCTTCAAATTGTGACAACCAATTCTGATAGAAAAGAAAATACATACGGAAAGGGAATTCATAGATATTTATCTGATAGTTAGCTGTATACAACGTGTGGATAAAGTGATTATGGGATTATCAACTTTGTCATATCTGTTAGTTGTTTCGCTTTAAAAAGAAAGGAATTGGTAAGCGTTTATGGTAGACTTATTACACTATAAATATTAATCAGTGTTGTATACCCTGTTTCGTAATATTAGTAAAAGTCTCTCTAACTATAAAAAGGGATAAGAAATAATCAACAACCAAATATTTAGCGTTTAGTGACCTAATATCTAACTCCAGTAACATCGTATGTTGATCGCTATCGAAATATACATATCGTCAATTCTTGTATATAATCATTGACTTAAATCGCGCTGATGAATAATGGAATCAAATAAGTCAAATACGAGAATGAATATTTGAATACATACTATTTGTACACTCATTGATCTGTACAGACAATTAAAGGGACGAAGCAAAGGAAGAGAAACGAAACGACGCACAATGGAGAAGGCCTGTGAACTAATTCCATCTAATCAAGCGCCAGATAAAAATAGGTTACAGACATGTGATGAATAGGATAATATATTCACACGCATATGTTCATTCAAAAACAATCAGGGTTGATAAGTGAATAATCAACATGGTGAAAACGTGATTCAAGAAGAATGGATAAATGAACTGTACATGAGCTAGAATAGGTTATATGGGCTTAACATAGTAACCGACACCACAAGTGCATATATATATGTTATAATAATAGTAATAGTCCATAACTCAGGTTGATTAGTCGTCATCAAATATTCATTAGATGGTTTAATCTAGTTAAAGATAAATGAGCATGGAAAACAGGGTTTATGATCCAATCTTACTAAAAAAAATATCAGGATGGTAACTATTTCACTTTAAATAAAATTTAGTTCTATTTATGTAGCGAGGTAGTAACTTGATATTTACAACCCTTAACTTTCAAACACTGCATTGTAATATAAAATTTAACCACGCCTAATTTAATGAGGAAAATTAGTTTGTATCAACAGATTGTACATCGAAACATTTGACTTTTTTTGATATTTATTTTTAACACACATGAAGGTCTGATCCACAAGGCAGTGGAGCATCGTAAGGAGATGGGGTCCCACAGAAGTCGGTGACTGACAATTGGTTCATACGCCATTTGTTCCCGCAGGACACTGGAGCTCATGTGCACCATTGGTTTGAAATCCGGTTAAAGCGCCGGACATTCGCTTTCCGTCCTCTCATTTTCGTAAACAACACCCCCGCCACGAGAAGGCAGTGAGTAGGACGTCCCTGGTAGAGGCTGTATATGCGTGGCCATGTGGGAGCATTTGGAGAGGGAGAGCGGACTCTCCCCACTGTCGGTTGTACCAGGGCATTTTTATAAGGAATAAAAATGATGAGACGATAATGTATGAACAACCACTGAGCAACGCTAAAATGACCTTGAAAATGTACATCTACTTACTAGGATTAAATGAGGTTTATCAACTATAGCAAGGAACTAGGATCTGAATTAAAAGTTGAACATTAGAGTTAAAAATTATATTTTATATTATCATTACAAACTAACATCAGCTATAATGTTGAAATGGTATTTAAGTCAAATGAGTGGATGAATCTCGTGACAAAATCTAAAACCTGCTATCTTAATCTGATTAGTTTATCCATAAAAACATATTGAATCCATGTGAAGAATTTCTCAAAGATTACTTAGACGACTTACACTTGTTCTTGGCAATGAAGCTATAGACCTTTGTATTTAAACGATGGTATCTTTAAAAAGTATGTAGGGCCAGTGGAATGTCACTGAGCCCTAGCCAAATCATCATATTAATTAACCACAATTTAAACTTACTTCTATATTTTTAACACGATGATCTAATTTATCCCATAATGTTAAACGTTGTTTAATACGTTCACCTAATTGTATTAATTGATTAAATTTATCTATATTCCATTTCATTTCACAATCATCTTGCCATCGTTGAATAATATCCAAAGAATTTTTTGGTATAAGTTGATCATCATATTGAACAATTTTAGTTAATAAATTAAAATGTTTACATAAATCCGATTTACATTGATCTAATTTCTCTGGAATATGTTCTGTCTTTAAACAAAGCTGTGTTTTTTTTGAAGACAAAGAAAGAAAAGAAGGGTAATTGAAGTTATAGGGATATAATTTAATTTCATAAGAAATGGTTTCATAGAAATGATATGTGATAGTTGAACTCTTAGGATCTTAATACGTTAAGCTATTAGTTCTTATCAAAATTTATTTGAAGAAACTACTTATCTACTTACTTATTGCTATTACTTACAATCGAACATAGGTTGCCGACTAACTTTCTCTAACCCACTCCTTCCTTTGTAGTTCTATCCAGTTGTTGTTCATTCTTCTCATGTCTGTCTCCATTTCCCAAAGAAATGTGTCCTTCGATCTTCCTCTTCGTCTTTGGCATTGAGGATTACATGTGAGGGCTTGTCTTGTGATGAAATTCGGTGCTTTCCTCAATGTGTGTCCTATCCACTTCCAGTTACTCATCCTGATTTCTTCCTCCTTCCTTCCTTCCTCGAAGCTCATTTGTTCTCTCCCACAGTAGATTGTTGCTGATGGTGTTTGGTCAACGGATCCAAAGTATTCTACATAGACAACTGTTAACAAACACTTATGTCTTCTCGATGATAGTTTGCGTAGTTCTCCAAGTTTTCGCCACATACGGTAGAACTGTCTTGATATTTGTATTGAAAATTCTGACATTGGTGTTGGTTGATAGTTGTTTTGAGTTCCAGATGTTCTCCAATTCTAAATATGCTGCTCTTGCTTCACATCTGCATCAGACCAATCGTGTTCATCAATGATGTTGCTCAGATATGTAAATGATTTTACACCTTCCAAATCTTCTCCGTCAACTGTGATTTAACTGTCACATGCTGTGTTGTATCGTAGAATCTTACTTTTCCATTTGTGTATGTTGAGACCTACTGCTGCTGAGGATGCTGTTACACTGGTCGAATTCTCTTACATTTGTTGTTACGTGTGTGATAGGAGAGCCAGATCATCTGTGAATTCTAGATCGTCCAGCTACATTCTAGCTGTCCACTGTATTTCATGCTTCCCTCAAGATGTTGACGTCTTCATGATCCAGTCGATCACCATGGAAAAGAGAAAGTGTGAGAGTAAGCAACTTTGGATGACTTTGGTCTTTACATCGAACACGTCTGTGAGCTGTCCTCTATGCACGATTTTGCAGAAATGACAGAAGAAAAATCATATTATACACAACCTTTGAATAAACTCTATTTAAGGCATTTCCTAGAGTCCATCAGGTTTATTTTTTTTTAAATCTTTATACTTTATTAGTCTACCATTTAGATAATAAATAGAATAAGTTATGTCTTTATTGCAACATTCATGATGGCATGATAAAAAGATATAATAAGCCAATGTGATATTTCATTCAGAGATTTCAGTAAAGAAAGTTAAATCCATTTACATCTATTGCAGATATTTACAGAATGATTTCCATAATAATTTAGTCATTAGCATTAAATGACTGTAGTTAATTTATTAGATGCTCTACAGAAGAAAAAACTGTTGACCTGAATAAACCTCTTTTTACTGAAGCAAAAATCAAGATCATATTGTCAATCACACATACTTTTGAGATCAAAGTCATTATACTTTGGAAAGTAAACCTGAATGATATGCAAATAATTGTATTGTAAACTATAAAGGCAGCTTATATTATATACATGTGATGAATTTGATAATGATATACTATCTACCTAGTTGGTAACAAAAATAAATAAGCTATTTTAACCTAACAACAGATGACAATCAGTTATCATCCACTTTCATCAGACCTCATAGAAACTAGTCATAAGATTAATTTTAAAAACAGTTTTTCCAATTTCGTATACAAGTCATTATGACCGAATACATGGATTATTTAAAAATGTAGTCATAATAAAGCTGACACATTCTTATACCAGAAGAGGGTTTTGTGTATATTATAGTAATTTTAATTGTTGGAATCATGAGTTAATTGAAGCTCGCACGCGAGTTAGGATCATGGATGCGCACTGCTGAGGAATCCCACAATAGGACGAAACGGTCATCCAGTGCTTCCAGATTTTCCATACCGGTTCAGCTAAAATTGACACATGATCTCAACTATTAAAATTACTATAATATCCACAAAAAAACCTTTCTGATATAAATTCATTTTACTTTTTCGTATCATCGATGATGCGAACAATGTTTTATCATTATTGTTTTCAATTTCCTAACAAATTAATACTGAATCAAATGGTTCAAGATGTATTCCATTGATATATCAAGAGATTCTGAGAAATCTCAAATGGTATAAAATGTTTTTACATTAAACAATAATGATTACCTGATAATCGGTAAGAATTCCATTTACAATCTCTCTAGTTTCAGTATGTATATTACCATCGACTAGATCCAACCAATTACAAAAACGATATTCAAAACCTGTAGCACTTTCACGTCGACGACTACGTATACGAACACCTGTACTAGTTTCTGTACGATTAACATTATATAATATATCAAGGAATGTTCTACGAGCTTTGGATGCATTTAAAACTGCACTATATCCAGGTTCATAACCAGTAACTTTTGATAAACGTGTACTTAGTCGATCAATTAAAGTACTAGGCAAATTGGTTGTCTTTTCATTGTCAATAACACGAGATAAATCATCACGAATAGAGTTCAACTTTTGATTATTTGTTCCGAAAATTTCCTAGAGAAAATGTTAAAGTATACATTAATCAATAACTTGTCAATCAATAATCAAAATGTAAAAAAGTATCCCTAAGTTTACAAGTTTTATAGATTGGTTGAAGTAGGACATTAACACCGTTGGATGCCGGCTCAATAGTCTGGACGTTAAGCATTCACGCGCGATACCAATAGGTCCTGGGTTCGAATTTCGCGAGGTGGGCTCGTGGATTCTCACTGCTGAGAAGTCCCATACTAGGACGAAACGGATGTCCAATGCTGCCAGGTTTTTTATGGTTGTTTAGATTTAACTGACTGATGAATTAAACTATTAAATTATATTTCATGGGTTTAGATTTATCAAGAGAATAAGTAGTATGATGATAATACTAGAAAAAATGATTTATATTTAATGGTTTGTAGAAAATAATTGAAGCAATTTTTTTGAAGTGCTTTACTGAGGGTAGATAATGGCAATAAATGTATAATGATAGACATTTAGATTCCCCAAGTGTTTTCACATATAAAATAGACTGGTGAACTAATAA